AGACGGGGAAGGAAAGAAGGCTGTTACATTTTCCTACCACGCAAGATTTCCGTTTGCAATGCTATGCGTTTCCATCAGGTTATTAGTCTAATCCGCCCTCCTTTCCAGTTTCGTGACGGCTTTGTTTGACAACTTGAAGGGAATGGAGGTGAGGGAGATGAAGAAGGAGAGTGGGAAGTTAACTATTGGGCTTTTGAAATTGCAATAACTTCCCTTAAGAAGCACTTATCAAATATACAAAATAGAGCACATATTTTCCCTCTCAAGCTCCACTAACTGACCTCAGTCTAGATACCTCTACTTCGGACTTGGAGGTGATATTCGAAACAACAAATTTTTAACAACAGAAGCCATCTTCAACCAGCAGATAACAAATCCTCTGTGCAGTGGACAATGCCACGTCCGTCCATTCCCCATTGAGGCATTTTTAAAGTGATGTTTAATGAAAAAGCCCACTGTAGGTTAGGCAGAGCATCTTTGGCCACCACTCTGGAAGACAACGCCTCAACCCCTCTTCTCATACCCCCCCCTCCCCCCCGTGTTCATCGCAATTTGGCCTCAGACATGCGGTGATTTTAGGCCTCTAGGGTATGTCTAGTGCTTAAATAAAATTTACACCAATTGCAGCCATTTCTACCGCCAGATGACAGAACAACCGACTTGTCAGATGGGAGAAAACATCTCGCTACATCCTCCTTCTCGTGTGTTCATCTTTTCTAAGGCAAGGATATTCTTTTTCTCCTATAAAATCGGGTCTGATTAATAGGCTTGAAAAAGGCTTCAAGTTATACGAGAAACTACGGTTTTAAGCTCATTGAAGAGACCAAATCTCTTTGGAAGGGGAGGAGAAGGAGGAAGAAAATGAGATAAAAAGGGCAGCCATTTGGAACACATGAAGAAGTTAACAGAAATGAGGATGAATGAGATGCAAAAAAATAAATTGTGACTAGCATTACAACCCATTAAATTGAGGTGTGCTTAATCTACACATTAAAATAAGGCTGTTTATGTTACAAAAACGTCATACCTCACAAACAACGTCTAAATCCTTCTTGTACGTCCGTTCTGTCATTGTCAGCTCTCGCAACAGGTGATAGGCGACGCTGGCCGGAGCTCTCGGCTAAAAGAAAGGTGAAACAAGCAAATTCTGACTTAGAAACAACGTGAGAGGGTTAAGTAATAGCCTTAATGATGAACTGTTCTTCAATCCCAACAATTCGTGTCATGCAGCATTACAAATGACATGAAGTTCTCAAATGTACTGACCAGATTTCTGGAACTTCCGGACATTGATCCCCGTCGGGAGGAGCGCAAAGACCGATCATCACGACGGGATTTTGAGGAGAGTGAAACGAGACTGCGAGAGGATGCGGATGAGGTTGCGGCAGCAACACTACCGGCAGCCGAGGAATTCGTGGAACTACGGTTTGCTGGTAGTGCAGTGGCCATGTCATCCTGGGTGATGGTGGACGCCTCTGCGCATCGATCGCGCTTTGCCAATGGACGGTGGAGACTGGCACTGCGAGAAGCAAACTGACGATGGGCGAGAGAGCAATTTTCCAACTCCTCTCCCTCATCCTCGAGATCCTAAATCCCGGAAGGTGGTAAGTAGACCCTTCTGGTTATTTTCTTGATTAATATAAATTGAACTTGGATTTCGTAACCTCTTTAAAGTCGACTAGGTGATAATACAGATCTCTTAAGTTCCTTTCTAAACTCGGATCTGGAAGGACTAACCAACAAGTGAATTGAGTGTTAGCTACTAAAGGAGCGACACCTGTTGTGGGTGGCTAAATTCGTGATGATTTGCACTAACAGAAGAGTCAAGATAACTGCACCATAAAAGGAGTTGTTCACAGTGTCCCGCAATAGTAATAAACAATAGATGATGCCTGAGGACTTATTGCCTTTTTATGGTGTGAGGACCTAATAATAACCTATGCAGGTAACTTAACAGCGGTTAAACGACGATAAAAGGCAAAAGAAAATAGAGATCGTGAATTGAGACGTTGTCAGGTGACCAGTACCACTGGAACTAATTCCCGCATAACTCCTCACAGTAACTTGGACGGCCCCAACAAGCCTTTATACTTATGCCATCACGAAAGGTGAACGGGCAAGCACAACACAAATCAGGCATTAATACTTTAAAATTTACATCTTTATAAGGTCCCCTATCAATACATTAATCACTCGAACCTATCTTGATGGTTTACAAGGGTATGTTAAGAAGTTGGACGGCACTTTACGAATAACGTGGTCTATAAAGAGGTGCAATGGCAAGAGAACGCATCTGTCACTGATTATTAGCGGAATAGTGTGACCTCAAATTATGATTAGCAAAACTACTAATGATTTTGTCAGTAGCGCAGAACCCAAGTCTGTGATGCAATTTAATTTCAAGAAAAGAGGCGTCACAATGCATTTCTCGACTCCTGCTTAGGAATATCATTAAATCACCAAACATTTCATCATATAATAGTTTTAGCACTACTTATAAAGCCCATCAGTAGCATTTTACCACCTACTTCATTATCCGTGGGTAGCAGACTCTGACAACTTGATCTCACACTTCTTGCTGCTAAACTGAGACATGAGGCCTGCATTGGCCGCCGCGTTGAGAAATCTCCCTCTACCGGTATGACATTGAATGGGAAGGGATGAGCAGGATCAGGATCCGCCATTTCCATTGGTGGAGGGGGTGGTGGTGGAGGAAACTCCTCATCCTCCTCCAAGCCTCCTGCAGAAGCATCAAAAGAGGGTCTTGAAAGAGATGCCGATTTTGAGGTGATGCCAGAATCCAAAGTGCTGGAGGAGAGCTGTCGCTCACGCGGTTGCACACTATCTCTCCTCTAGAAGAAAGGCATAAGTAGATTCGTAGGTCGTAGAGAAGACCTCCTAGAAAATACAGTATAATTTGCTATTTAGTTAGAAAACACACCTCAGGTGCTGGTGGAGGGGGTCCATGCGGACGAGATCGAAGAAGCTGAGGAAGACTGCTGGTAGTGTTTGAACCACTGGGGATGGGAGCAGCGTTGACAACGTCCTGTGGAACGATACCAATAGGCGTACCAATCACAGCCGCCGCTGCCGCTGCGACAGCCGTAGAACTACCACAAGGACCGCCAATAGGAGAGGTGGCAACAGTGGGAGCTTGTGAGGCCGGGGCCGAGCTAAATCCACTACCCACCATGTTTAAGGGCCGCGGGACTGCAACCAGCTGGCTGTCGGAGATGAGCTAGGATCAAAGAATGTAAGGAAGTATGCACGCATAACCCACTGAAGGCCGAGGAACGCACTCCAGGCGTAAAAAAAGGTTTCACGATAGTTCTCACCCTCCCTGTAGCACTATCAACGTAGACGACTCTTCCAGACGCAGGTCTCTGAGCTGATGGAATCACCGTGCACGCCGTGGAAAGTCCCGATTGTGAAGTGGCAAGAAAATTGGGTGAAAGTACTCGTGCCGTTGGTAGATGGCTCAACGTCTGTGAACAGACGTTGCTACCGTCCTGAAGGCTTCCATTGCGTGGAGCCTGTGTAGTCATGACGAGAGAGGTTTGCAACGTTGAATAGGCGGGCTCTGGAAGGCAAATCAATGCAAACAGTGGTAGCGATTCCAACACAGTTGAAGTCGGCTGTCATTTTTGGTTTAGAAAAAGCTTCCAAGGATTAGGCTTGGGGCACAAATCTAATTACTTTTGAAGTCGTGAATCAAGAGGAGGAAACAAGGGAAGAGAAAAGATTTTGTCGCAATAACAGGATGGTTAAAGGGCAGAAAAACTAAGTGAATTATATTAAAATAGAAGTGCAGTACACTTGCAACCGATGTCCATAAAGGGCGAGAGAGGAGAGGGGAGAAGAAGAGTTGTTAAGGCTGAAACCGGGTATCCATCCCTCTCTTTTCATGAACCCGTTCCCAAGAAAGAGTCCTTCTGCTCACTTAAGCACAGCTAAAACTCTTAAACTCGCTAACAGCGGCCAAGGAGACGCAGAAAAGCTAGAAACTGAAGAACTCTTGAAGCTCTCTCCTGATTGGCTGATGCGTACGGCAAATCAGCAAACGGTCAAGGTCATTTGAAATAGTATGAGAATGTGACGAGAGTGATCATCCAAAGGACTTCTCAACATAAAAAATTTCTCTATCACTCTTGATTAATGCAACATCGGGATCTTTAATGTGGCTGTGACCTACTACGCAAATGGAATTATTGGCGCAGAACAACATCTCAGATCCAAAAAACAGACAAACAAAAATGCTTATTTTTTTAAATAGCACGCTATACGGCTTTGGCGTTCAGGTACGCAGGGATTTACCCAGTTGAGAAATTGCCTTATTCAGGAGCATTTGACCTGAGTGAGAAGGTTTAAGACAACCCGATTGGATTTTAGCGACCATTGTGGGAAGAAAAAAAAATTATCCGCATAAAAGGGAGGGATTTTAAGGCATCTGTTTCATTCAGTGTCGCAGAGAGGCGCAAGCTAAATGCGAAGCAAAAAAAACGAACAGATACCCAGGCTCCAGACACGTTCCCACTTCTACTTCCCATTGCCCAATTGTCTATTCCCGCTTTTGCAGAGTGATGAACACCTAAGGAAAATAAAGTTAAGGAAGCATTAAGGATGCAGAATGGAGCTGAAACCTGAGCAGCATCATCTGCCATCCCCTTCCTCCGACCTCTTCTAACATAAATCTTAATTTCATTCACAGATGATTTCAACCTTGTTAACTTGGCAACTTCTACCACCGAATTCACTGGGAATGAAGACGCCCTGGAAGGAGGTAGTTCCTATGCGAGGTCGAGTACCACCAAGCAGGAGGATCTATTAAGTGATCATTGAATGGTACATACACAAAGAGACAAGGTAAGCATATGATCAAGGGACTCCGAAGTACAAAATCATCCCTAATCCTGCAACACCCAATGACTACTTTCGGTACGGGTGTAATAAACTCATAAGACATTAAAAGAGGTTTACAATACCCCTCCTACCTTTTCCATTTACCGGTGAAAATGCCCTTTGTTGTTGCTGTTGTTGTTGCTGCTGTTGAATGGCTGAAAGCCATGCATTTTGCTGCTGTTGATCAGCACTGGTCGTGGGTAGCATAACTAGAAAACCTCCTCCTCCTGTCGCTGCAACAGCCTGTGTTGTCGTTGAAGTAGTCCTTCCAATTGTCCCATCAGCCCTTCTTGGTACAACCAGCATCACTCTCTGAGGGTAACGCAGGGAGCCGCCTGTTGGCAATTGGACAAAAGACGGTACTGAAGTATCATCTACAGTACCAGCAAGAGGGAGACTACGCGCCGACACTTGAGATGGCTGTTGTGCTATCGACGTTGTCTGTTGTTGTTGTTGTTGGATGATGTGATGGTGATGATGAAGGTGGTTTGCATCACAACTGATGGACACAGCAGAAGAGAGGATCGGCTGCGAAGGGTTACTGACACTACTGCATCCACGACCCGGAGACCGGTGGACACGACCAGTAGAAGAGGCAGAGGCACTGAAAGACAAGTTAGTTTAAGTAACATAATACAATCGCTTGGAACACGGCTTTGGGATAAGTGGACGAATACGGGATTAATGAGATCGGGAAATTCGGTCTACCAACGAATTAGTGGACTTAAAGGAGAGTTTATATCAAATATCATTTATCCCTTCAACAAGAATAGGTATGCTTTCACAGATGCTTTGAAGTAGGTTTATGTCTCAATGAATTTTTGGAGAGGTACAAGTAATACAAATAGATGAATACATGGCGAATCAAAATAAAGGCACCATAGGTTCAGATTGGATTTGGACAACTGCCACTATACCTGGTTCTACAGTATGTAATGGTAGTGGAGCAGGGATTGAGTTTTACGATACCAAGGCGTCTACAAAAAGAGCTCTCGAGAACTTGATGCAGAGATCGCATTTTATTTCAGGAATAATTGAGTGTAGGCAGCGTTCCGTGGGAAAAGAGGCAGACATTTAAAGTTTGGTGTCGAAGAAAAATTTTTAAAATATATTCCTCGAGTTAAAGTAAGCAATATTATTCATAATTATTTAAATGGGAGGTAATGGCGATGCAGCATGGAAGAAATCCCTTATAACTAATGAAGGACAAATAAGCCAGTTGGAAATGGCTTATTTATATAGTATTATTATAAATGACTGAGTGGTATAAAAAACTAATGATAGTGAATAAGCCAATGAAATATCGATTGGTAAGTGCAGTCATCCAATCCCATTATAACTGGTTGCTTGAAATCAACCAATTAAATAGTGGTCAAATTAGCCAATTATATAGCTAACGAATCGAACAAATTGATTGGCTGAAAATTACTTGGAATCCATTTTTGCCATTTGGTTTTGATTTTCCAGCCTTTTCTTATTTTACTCAATTTTAAACCCCCTTTCTGCTTCATCAAGGCCAGAAGTGTTTACTAAAAAAGACGCAAATGCCAAAATGTACGAAAGAATTCGGGAATACTTAATCCTTTTAAACTCACACTTGCGTAGCGTTCTTGGAGGATTTTGCTGACTTCCCTACAGCCTTTACTGACTGACAACGAAAGAATGCATGATGTTCAATGCATTGCTTCCAGAAGCCTTTACACTCATTTCGCGACTCAAAGAAGAATTCTACAGCATCCTACAAAATGACAGGAAGGTAAATAAGAAAGCTAGAAGTGAAAAAATGCCGAACTTACATAACCCTCAGGATGAAGTTTAATAAGAAATTTTTTGCGTTTGAAGCTCAACTTGCGAATACGAGCCCAAGAGAAAGTGTTTACTTTGGAGATGCCTTGAAAAACGAAAAGACCGGCATGTGACACAGCCAGATTCAGTGGCATTCCATCGGATCCCTAAAGTTGGGAAGGAAGAATTGTGCCAAAATCGAATTCCTTGATTCCATCCCACATTTAGTTGGACAGGTTTTTAGCCTTAAAAATGCCCATCGGAAATGCACACCAAAGGCGACCACCCAATACCACGTGAACACGTACAATTCGATCAATTTGTAGACGTCCATTATGAAGCTACCTGCGGTACTTAATGAATGGTTATCAGACCTGAAAAGAGAACAAAAAAGCCGCTTCCGCATTGCTAATAAGTAAGCCAACTTTAAATGCTTCTAAGGCGGAAAGACAAAGTAGACGGTAAGCATTAGTTGTATAGGAGTAATCACTAACTGTCTCCGACTTTGAGGAGATGCTCGCACGCAAAGTGATTGTTGTATAAGACCAGTCAATTTCGCCCCTTCGCTACTCCTCCGCCATCGCCCGCCCCTAATGCAGGTAACAAAGGGAACAAAACCCCAGGCATAATAGGATCGATGCATAGCATTGCCCACAATGGACAAAATTGTCTCCTCACCTTCGTGAAAATTTAATCACTGGTGTACCCTAATTTGTGGGTGGTTTTCAAAGCCCCCCCAACACTTCACAATGGTCGGTTGGGGCAGAGACGTAAAATACGGGCGCTCTGTGATGACTTATTTGACTGTGCGTTCAACTGTGGGATCTACTCAATGACAACGATTTCCATAGCCACCACTTCGGTGGACAAACAGATGATGGTCCAGGCGCATACCTTCATCAAAAATGGACTTAAAGAACCCACAAATCCGACATCTCAAGTGCTCCATCAAGCCTTACTCACAAAGTTGATCCATTTGGGGCATTTAAAAGAAGGAAAAGAAAAATTTTCTCCCTTTTCGTTTCCATTTATTGAATGAACACACGCAAAAAATCCCTCCACATCAACACACCAATTCAAAGCTGTGTCACCTAAACCTCGTTACTCGCTCCCTCTCGGTCTCATCCTCGCTTGTCTGCTCATAAAATGCCGGTTTCGAGGCGAGCCAGTTGGGGAGAGAGCGAACGAGGGAGCAAGAGAGAGAGAGAGAGAGCAAGAGTGAGTAAAATTGAGGGAATTTTTTAGCCCAAAAGAGGTGAAAAATGTGTCATCACAGTTGCCGATTAATGAGTGCAACGGAGATTAAAGTACTGAGTGCCTTTGCTGAGTGAGGCTGCCGGTTTGCAAATAATTTTGTGATCCCAAGTGAGAGGGTTAGGAACACACAATCAAGCTCTACTGTTGGATGATCAGCTATAAAAAATGTTTAAATTTTACCGGCCATTGTTATCGGTTGGTGTGAAGTTTGTCGGTTTTTCGTGTCTATGACTTGAGATTTCATGGTTTCAATTCGACTGTAAAGCTCCGTCAGATGGGAGATGGAGGGAGCACCTTCGCGTCTTCCTCGTCAAGAAGGCTTCCAACCATTTGATTTCCAGTAAATTTGTTGACAACAGTGGCCTCTCAGCCGTGGAGGGTAAAAGGATTACTTTAAATTAACTTCACAAAAAAAAAATTGCCACGTTTTTCGCCTTTAAGAGACACAAATAAAATGACTCCGCGAGCAGTGCAAAAAAGCACTACAGAGCGGAGCTGAAACTGAGGCGACAGTGAATGTACAAAAAGGAGGGAGGTGGATGAAATAACCCGAAAGCGGTAAAAATTAAGTTGATCTACTGACCCAACTCAAATCTCTACAGCAAATTCAACCAAATTGGGAGCTCACCTTGACTGGCTTCAATCGGATTCCATACATTTCCACTTTCCTAGCGGTGTCCAGAAGGCTCAAATCAGCTTCTGTCGGCGTTTGACCGCTAAAATATCAAAAGAATGAGGAAGATTTGGAAATTAGTGACTACACGAGACGCACAGTAGGCTTCGATGACATTCCATGACTTTGTCAAGAAATTCCGGAGTCGCTGAAGGAACCAATCGCAGACCCGTAAGATAGGAACGATCCAAAAACGTGTCCTCCAAATAATCACCAATTTCAGCTAAAGAAATCCCAGGGAAAAAGAAAGAATAACCACTTCAAAATCGCAAATAATCGACCAGAAATGTGAATTCTGGCCAAGAAGTATTGTGGGACGAAATGAAATGGTAGTACAGTCAAGAGCGGTCCTTTTGAAGCATTTGTCACCCACACAGAAAATAACAATTAGATCATGAAAATAAAATAACTTAACTGTTAACGTAATTACAGAATGAAATGTCAAAAGCAGCGTCTGCGCATTGTTTGCGAATTGGTGGCAGAGCCTGACAACTGTTTCATGTTTTTTTGCGCCTTGGACACGAAAAAATTTAATAGAACTTGACATTAAATTATAGAGCATAAACTATCAAAAACATGAGATTATTTTTAGTGTAAAAGTAGGTTTTAAAAAGCTTGAAACAGTTTGATTTACTAGTATAATGCGCTGGTGGTGTTGTGAGAAAATAACCCACCCAATCGAACAAGAGCGTTTGTCCTTTGCCAAAGCACCATCAAAGTAAAGCACACAGTCGGCAAAGATTGTAGTTAAGACGAATAAGTTTGATGCTTTCGCTAATGGTAAATACTAGACAATCCGACGCTGTGCGGTAGAGGAGGCTCTTAATTCTCCTTTGGTAGCTACATCCAGAACAGCAAATTCACGGCATTTCACTAATGCTTTTCTCCCATCTGACAAGTACGGAATATTATTGTGAATTCTGGCTCAGAAGAGGAGAATAAACATCGGAGCGGAAGCTGACAAAAATGCCTCCCACAGCACTTAAGACGATTTAAGCAAACATAAGGCATTGTATACGAAAATCTCAACTAAAATAGCTGCATAAAAGAGAACTCTTTAAAATTCATCTTAGCGGAACAAACAAGGCATTAATCGCATTTCATGCAATACGCATGGTGGAATGATTAAGACAACTCACCCTGAACAATGAAAGCAGCCAAGAGGGCAGCGGTGTTTTCACTGCACTGAATTTGACCGCGGTAAAGGTCCCGCTTAATTTGAAGGGCAAAAAGGTACCTTTAGGAGGTAGGAATAAAGGGAGCGATATTACCTCGTAAACTCATCTTCAAGCAGATTTGGATGTGGAGCGTAAAACTTCACGCAGAAAGTGAAAATGAATTCTTTCTCCGCGTTGTGCTGTTTGCACAGAGGTTTAAGATGATCTAACCAACACTAGGTATGCAGTAAAGAAAAAAGAATGGGAGGTACGGTGTTGCCATCCCGATTAATGTATTCTAGATCGAAATAATCTGCCTCAAGAACACCCAATCGATCCATAAGGGCGGTGTATAGATCCTGACCGGAGGAACGTGGCTAAAAATTAGAGTGCTGCACATTACGGGTGCACAAGGAGAAATGATTTCTAGAATGTCAGACGTTCTCAAACATTTAAATGAACATTAGAGGCCATTACCAGAAAACTATGCAGTTATTGCAATCGATAAATATGGACAAGCATCAAAATGTCGGAGGAATTCAAAAAGTGCTAAACTTACAGATAATTGAAAGTGCTGGCGGGTTGAATCAAGCATCTCAACCTGGATTTGAAGGGACTTGCTAGTTGTTTTTAAATTTGTTGAGGATGAATTCGTTGTGTTCGGCATTTCAAAAAGGTATGATAAACTTAAGTTGTTTTTCAACGTATTCGACCTCGTGAATACAAAAGAGAAGTAAATTTTCTTGGCTACGAAAAATGGAAAAATCTGATAAAATATTCGTCTGGAAGATCACGGGTTTCTTTTCATATAAACGTACTGCAAAAAATAATCGCAGAGATTGGTGAGCAAAACCGCTTAGCATTTAATCCTTACACCCGTTAACGAATCTGCTGCACACTATGTGCAGTACAATGGAGAAATTGTTAAAAATAGCTGTAGTGACCTAAAGATTTATTTTGGTTGGTTAGAACAAGCAAAATCACTGGACTTAGTTGTACATAGTTTACCTTAATTTATATTTATATCAATATTTTATTTCGTAAGATTATGGCAGCATATTTTATACTAAACCATTTAATCATTATCTTAACGTTTTTACGGACAGACATCCAACTGATTTAACTAACTAGTGATATCTAAATTCAGCTAAGCTATTAACTTAAGAAGTAGACAGGTAGGTTTACAAGGAATGGATGCGTGTTTGCACCTATCGAAATAATTGTGGTACCCTTAGCCCTCTCACTTAATGGAAGAAGGCAAAACGTCGGGCTTAATGCACATAACTTAGGAAGTGGATCGTGGCCTGACCCGAAGGCCATCGCATGTGTTGGTGGATAAGACTAATATTAAATTAAGCCTCAGACATTAGGCGGAAACCTAAACAAAGTATTGCACATCACTTTGACCAAAGACGTCGAAAAATTTAAGTGGGTTTTTGGGCTGCTGCATGAGAACCAGGCAGACTAAATCCGAACAGACATTGCACTAATGAAGGCACTGTATAGCATTCAAGGGATACTTGAATGCAAACCGCCCTCATTGTAGTGCCTCGACACTTCCCATCGGGTGGGAAAAGAGAACAGAGCAGATGGACCTGAGCATGGTCCTAAGGCCGACCTACGAATACAAGGGCTAGACAAGTTCTAAAGTGACCGCCAAACGTCAGGTAGTCACATAAACAAACCAATAAAACTATATGCCTGAGAACGGGGAGAGTGAATTTGAATTGCGACTAGTCTAAATCTGTTTACCATATGCAGTTGAATTTGAGTTTTAGCTTTCGCAACACACACACACATGATTGACATTTTCAATTATAAATACAGACAGCAGTGCTGCGGGCCGTCTCTTTGAAGTTGTGGCCCGTGTCACTTCCGATAATGTTAGCTGTCATTGAATTCCATGATCAACCATCCTTCTAACTCTCGCCCTAATCATTTCTTTTTCAAAGCACATACTTTTCTCACACCGCTGGTGTTTGTCATCTGACGCCAATGATTTGCATTGTCGGCCTTGAGAACCAATCCAACAACCTATCAACCAAGAAATAGTAGTAATTGTAATGCCTTGTTTATGTAACTATCTGACCTTTGGCCCCTGTTCTCGTAGGCTGGCCTTCGGGCCACGTCCAGGTTCATTTGTTTTGCCTTTTTGTACGCTATGGGAAGTGTTGAGACGCTACAGTAATCGCTTTGCTTTGTTGCCAAATCATGCTCATTATTTGCAGCAAAAATAAGCTTTATTACTCCGTCTCTGCTCTCTTTGTCCTTATTTTCAGGCAACTGAGTAGGAAAACGGTTGGATGAATGTTTACTAGGCATTGACATGTAGTTACATTCTCGTCCTCGCACTCCGCCATTATGGCGTTCGAGCTCAGTGTTCGCCTCCTTCCCACCAAGCACAGTTTCAACAACCAACACATTATTACAGTGACCCTAATCTTGCATTCAAAAAACATCTCTATGCGAAACATCTCTTGCATGAAGTTTTCGGCTATTTGTTAATGCACTCCTCCAGGCTATCCAAGAACACATGTTCCGCTGTCTCTTTCCTTCATTCAACAGTCCCATATTTACTGCACATTCATTTTTAATGTGGAAATCGAAAGTTTTCACGGCTTACAAGTCAGTTATTTTGTTGAAAAACTTAGGTGTTATCTTTCACAGCCAAACAAAAATAGGTAGTATGCCATACTCCTTCTCAGAAGGGGCAGTTGTTCGTTTCGTCATGCCTTTTTATCCACGTGCCGGCACTACCCGTATAATTTGAGTTCGAGGTGAGCTTGGCATCGGGTCATTGCACTTATCCTCATCTAATCCCTATTTTAAGATAAAATATGGGTAAATAGTTGTCATCACTTTGAGAACTGCAGTCATGACGGACTGCGTTGAGTTACCCCAGTGCCCATTGCCGTGCTGATGAAAGCATTGGAAACGCACATGACCACCTCCAATTCAAATGCAAACAGGCATTTCACCCTGCCACGTGTCAGAGACACCTTTAGCCTACCTCCACAATGTGTATTCATGATGCGGGAACTTTGGCATGAGAACCCACTTCAATATCCCCTCGTTATTCGTTCTGTTGGCATACCTGCTTCCGTTTGTGCAAAATCACCTACCTGCTGGCGAATAAGGCGTGACGTGGGTTTGGCGACTGTTTTAATTGCGTAATTCCATTCTTGCTTATCCCTTCCCCGCCTTGTCCAGGCCGGTTCGACTTGAGTTGCTAACATTCCTTTAATAATGCCTCCATCGTCTCCCCTTCTAGCCCTTCATGCCATTCTGCCTGCTGATCATGGATTCGCGCGTTCGATGAGGTAATTAAAGAGTTGCTGGCGCCATGATACGGTAGAATGATTAGGAGGTTCTACATCAATTGCTACCCTGTCTGTCGGCTACAGCCTCTGTCCTGTGGTCAAAGTGATCAAACGAAAATACCGCCCTCACATCATGAGGTCATAGGGTGAAGTGAAAACAGGGGTCGTGCTGGTTACCGTAAGGCTAGAACGCTCAAAGGTCGCGAGAATTTATGTTTCCAATTCCGTGCTTTGATCCACAGTGGCTTGATTAAATCGGATGGAGGGGTACAATCGCTATCCAGTGGAAGCTGAGGTGGGTAATCGAAGGGACGGCAGTGGAGGGTGGTCACGTTCCTTTTAATCAACCACATTATCGGAAGGCAGACCAATGCAAAACCCGCGGAGGGCCCCAGACCGCGGTAGACACACCAGGTCTAATGACTCATTCCCAAAGTCAAGACAGGTGACGATTCAGTAGTAAAATTCCAAAACAAAGGTCAGGGCAATAGTATTAAGACGGCTTACAGCCAGGATCTTGTTTATTTCACAACCTGCCATCGACTTCAGCCTCGCTTCTCCTCACTCACCCAAACCTAAATTGTACGCATGAAGATACATGACTCTGAATATTCACTGATTGGAGGAAAATAATGTAAAAATAGGCCAAAGCTGAAGCATTTTAACCTATCAACCTTGGTGGGTTTATTAGATGTCAGTAGCCAAGGGAAAAGAGCATAAAATAGATGTGTGCGGGAGGTAAAGACATCTCAAGTTGAACTACCACATACAAAAGAAGGACAGAGACGAAAAAACTATTCAGAGTTCTTGAAGTGTGCGGATAGAAAGGCCTAGTCAGCTGAGGGCATGACATTGAGCATTTCATAAGCATCCTTTTCCAGTTGTTCTCTATACGACAGAAAAAAATCAAAGAATTAAAAGTTAAAAGAACTTCGGAGTTGGCAAATAATAACTAACCTGTGAACAGGGTTAGCAATACGTATCAGCTCGTAGGCTCGCTGACGAAGAGATTTGCCAAAAAGGTAGGCAATACCGTACTCAGTCACAACATAATGAGCATGTGCTCTTGTGGTAACAACACCAGCACCTTTTTGTAGGTATGGCACAATTTTCGACTGACCTTTTTTGGTAGTTGAGGCCAAAGCAATGATAGGAACGCCTAGACCATCGACGGCTATAGCAGCACCCCTCAAAAAGTCGACTTGACCACCAAAACCGGAGTAAATTCGTGAACCGATTGAGTCGGAGACAATCTGACCAGTAATATCAATCTCGATGCACGAGTTTATTGCAGTGGGACGTGGATTTTGAGCAATGTTTGAGGGACTATTCGTCCATGCGATGTCTCGCAAATCAATACCGTTGTTAGCATTAACGAAATCGAATGATTTTTTTGAGCCAATAACAAAACTTGAGACAATTTTACCAGGGAAGAGCCGCTTCTTAGCATTGGTGACGGCTCCACTTTTGAAGAGGTCAACAAGCCCATCAGAAAAGAGTTCGGTATGGACACCTAGATTTTTATGGTCATTGAGAAGAGCTAAAACAGAATCAGGGATTGAACCGATTCCGGTTTGAAGGGTAGCCTCATCAGCAACCAATTCATTGGCTATGAGCTCGGCAATCTTCTTCTCCTGTGGAGAGCTTTGCCTAACGGGTAATTCATGAAGAGGCATGGGTCCATCAATGGTGTAGTCAATGTTACTGATGTGAATTTCGGCATCACCCTTACAGAGAGGAACGTGAGGATTTATCTGAGCAACAATAATGGAAGCAGATTCTAGTGCGCTTCTTGTCACGTCGACACTGCAGCCAATTGAACAAAACCCATGATGATCCGGAGGCGAGACATTTATAAGGGCATAGTGAAGGGGTATAGCACCACGACGAAAAAGTTTTGGAATTTCATGAAGGAAGATAGGAACATAGTCGCCCTGTCCAGACGCGATAGCTTTGCGACAGTTTCCACCTGAAATTAAGCTCGTTGAGGAAATGAGACAAAAACTTACCAGTAAAAAGAGAAATGCTACGGAAACGGTGTTTTACAGACTCATCATTGACGGGAAATTCACCTTCTGTGTGAATATGTACCGTTTTAAGGTTTGTTAAATTCTTTTCAATGGCATGCTGATAGAGGTGCTTAACCAAATGTGTAGGTGTCATAGCACCACCCTGAACAAATATATTCTGACCACTTTGAAGATTTTGGAAAAGCTCAGCTGGATGATTTACCCGCTTTGGAACCTTATTAGGAACTGCACAGGTAGGTATCCGAAGGTCGTGAATTGACCGCACGGAAAGGAAATAAGAAATCAATAGACCAAATCTACCAGACCGGAGACAAGGCGGCATACCGCTGCATTAACCTCACCGGAACGTGCGCCCTTACCAGATATCATCCGTGTCAAGCAATAAAACAAAGCAACGAAATAGATAAGAGTTTGTCCTCTTAAAACAACACATAAAAAGCATCAAGTATAGTTTGCAGATTAAGCAAACATTTAGGTCCCCGAAATGGGATTAACCGATCGTAGGGCGAAAAGCAAACGAAAATGCAAATATCATGGTGAGAAATAATATGATGATTTCACAGTGCTATCCATAATGTGGACCATTCAAGACTTGCCATTAGGTAACAGAAGCTTAGAAATTGCCCGCCTAATCGCATGCTCTTGAACCACGGACTTAAAGAGAGCGTTAGTTGCGGTAGGCTTATTAGGCATTTATTGCATGAAGAACGAGTATAGGAGTAGAGATGAGCCGAATAGCAGATATAACCCGGAGAGGGATTCCTTACGGGCCTCATGTGCGGGATTCGCGTTCCAGCGTTGTGGTTTTGCCTCGTTCCTATAAAGTTCAACTTATACACTCTAGCAAAATATTACAAGGAAAGATTTGCTTCATTACTAGTTTTCGGAGAGAAAGGACTAAGGTGGCGTAGCGTCTCCAGGCTTCCCATAGGGTGGAAAAAGGCCTAAGTGAGGTTGAATACATGTATTCCGATGACGACAGGGCAAATGGGGCCTGAGCGTGGTCCGAAGGCTAGCCCACATTTACAGGGGCCAAGCAAATTCTAAAGTGATCGCCAAACGTCCGATAGTCACATAAACCAAGTTTTACCAATGGACCTTCCGGTGTAGTTTGAATGCTTGGCCACATGATGGATGCATGTTTATAATGCGGTGGTTATGTGACTGCTAGATGTTTGGCTGTTACTTCAATATTCAGTTTGCCCAGGTAGGCGTGGGTTGGCCTTTGGGTTAAGCCAAGGATTCGTCCTTCATTCTTCTCACAGAATGCATGCATTATGCTTAACGTTTTTCCTTTTTTAGCTCGAAGACTCGGGCCGTTTCTGGCACACAATTACGGCACAATTACATTAGGCCAATGGTTGACTTAATTACTTGCAAGCGAGTGGTTGAGAATCGTGTCTGCATTTGTCTACACTGCGCCTCCGTTAATTCACCCAAGATATTAAATTAAAGCAACATCGCCGTGGACCACATGGAAATGTTTCGTATCGGAATCTTATTTGCTGCATCCGCTGGCGCAGAAGATGTACAAAGGAAAGCGCTGAGGATGTTGCTTCAACAAAAGAATGACAGCGCAATACTTTAGAAATGCGGCCGCATGTGTGGTAGCGTTTTTCTACATTTGGTTTGTCCTTGTATGAACAAGCCAACGAGCAAGGGTTCGATCGGATGATGCAATGGTCCAGTACCTAAAAATCGAACAGGATCTGGAGATGTATGTTGCTTGTTCTTGATTTTGTTGCTCTGTTTTGAGTATCTATGAGTCTGACAATCTGTTGGACCCCAAAATCGGATTCCTTTAACCGGAAGTTTGAAACCTCCCTTTTCACTACCAGAAGTTGATAATCCAACCAGCAGACAAGACTTCAAAGGAGTTCTGATTTTAGTTGAGAAATACAAGATTAATAAGCGCGATTTGGCTTTGTGCACTAACAATTATGACTCCATCAAAGTGCAATAGATGATGATAGATGCGAAAAAGGAACGTGAATTGAAGGAGGCACATGTTCTTTGGTGACGGAGAATCTCTGAATCCCTCTCAACGAAAGAGTTGAGAGTGACGTTTGAATTTAGTTTCACCTTATCCCCGTGTTCCACAGACAAGCTATTAACAACTGAATTGACACCACCGTGAACCATTTGGGCAAAAATTTTGTCGGAAATTCACATCCAAAATCCGTGTTTAGGTGTCGGAAATGGCCACATGGTTCTCCTTATATACGGGACAATGACTCATCCTGTTTTGCTTGTAACATATATGTTTTTGTTTTGAGTTCCACTGTCTATTCATGGAAGCAATTGATGGTCAACAGGTGTACACGGCCCAGAATCTGGATGTCAGACCGAACGTAACTCCAGATATAGTGAAAGCTGCCGAGGAGACCAGGTACGATTCCTCAGTCTGATGCTATCTGTCGACTGGCGTGGTTGACTCGTGAGCGCTTTCATGTAGTACCGAATCTGTGATGGCTGGAGGACGCTACTCGAAAGAAGAGTGAGGCAGTGCAATAATTTGTTTATGTGACCACATAATGTTCAGCGGCCACTTTAGGATTTGTCTGGCCATTGTACAAGTCAGCTGTTCTTCGGGCCATGGTCAGGCTCATTTGTCCTGTCGGCTTCGGTATACATGTATCCAGCTGCACATACTGATTTCTTATGAACCCGACGTAGTGTTAACAACCTTGTGCGATGTCTCGAAATATTAAAACCAATCTCTTCTGTCCTTGCTTGAACACAATTCATGATCAGAAATTTAACTAATATGTAAAATATAATTTCGGTACATAATAGTTTTATCGGCCCCTTAACAATGCTTGGATTGTAGCGTCCCGAGACTTCTTACCGGGTAAAAGAAGTCGGTAAGTGAAGTTGTGTACATGTGTTTCAAGGAGAGCACAGTACTTAGGCCTGAACATGGCCCGAAGGCCTGCACACGCATTCAAGAATCAGAAGAATCTTAACGTGACCGCCAGGCATTAGATGGTCACACACACAAAGTATAGGAGGACTATTATCCTAGCTTACTAAAATGAATGATGACGCCATTTTGGCTAGACATTAGTGCCCTTTTTCCATAATGCGTCCAATTTTCAGTTTTTTAAACAAAAGAACTAAATTATGCGCATTTTACTTGTGTTCCATAAAGTGAATTACATATTTGCATTATTAATGCAAACGGAGCGTGTTCTGCATGAAGCCACCCTAGTCATTTTGTGCCATGAATAGAAATATACACCTGATTCCTTTGTTTCAATTATTGAGTAAACGCCCAATTTATTTGATTTACTCTGCGAGAGGTTGTCCTCATTTGTGGCAATGGAGAAGTTTGAACTCCCAGACGTCTGGACGGATGATGATGAAATATATAAGCTTTTTGTTCCAATAAAGAGGCCTCGTCATATTGACCCTGTTCTATACGATTATAAAGTTTCATTTTGGAGAGATCTTATCATCAGCTATGCGAAGCACAATCGCGTTATTGTTGTCACAGAGGCCTCGTTAACAAAGTTGTTCAAACGGGAATTTCAGTCTGATGGAGTTACTTACTATCCTACATGCTTGCATCAAGTTCTCACTGATATGATGAATAATGGTCTTCTTGATGTTGTGAATCAGGGCGGCATGTTTGCCAGCATTATTAATTGGGGAGTGGAGTGGGTTATTAAAAAACCAGCTTCATGGGCCTGGGCATTCATACAGGGGACTGAGTAAGATTCCTTCTTCCCAAACTGCATTTAGTTCTCCTAATGATGACCTGAATCGGAGAGGATATGAGTCGTCAGATACTCCCCTCTATCTCACTGAACATGTTATGCCTTTATGCAAACAGTTTATAGAACATCTTAAATCATCACAAGAGTCGCTTGTTCATGATGCGCATGTATATACGCAAGACGACTTTGAAGAGGCTCTGGGAACATTCTTCAAGCATATACCTACCCGTCTCTTCATAAGCAGCCAGCTATCTGAGAAAGGATATGCAAAAATTGAATCTTCAACACCTGTCACGGTGAGCTTTGCATCGATTTGTGACGGTATTTCCTATTTAGTTAGTTTTTTTGCTCACCGACAAGCAACCCATTAATCTCGATCCCAAAACTCTATCCTCTATTGCACACCTTCGGAAAACTATGCGGCAAATTAGTGAAGACGAGAAACGCCTTTCTAGTGAGCTAGCTTGTCGTCGTGCCCGTGTTAAGGAGCTAGCACGGAACAATCAGTAAGTTGATGTTTAATCCATAAAATTTTTCATAGAAAACAGGTTGCGTTGGATCTGTTGCGCCGTTGCAAGCACTTGGAGGCTGAGCTGGCACGAAAAACTCAACATCTGACTCAACTTGAGGCTCTTGAATTAAAATTAAGTGCTGCGAAGGATAATCGAACAGTTCTTCATGCCATTTCGGATGCCAGTTCAGCTTTGAAACGGACTACAGGTGGTATAGTAGGTCTAGAGGACGCTGAAAGAACCATCGACGAGATAGCGGAGGCGATGGATGATGTTAACTCTGTTTCCAACGCTATATTGTCCTCCCCTGATAGCTTTTTGGGAGAGGTTAAAGATGAAAAGGAGTTGACTGCAGAATTGGAGGACCTATTGTCTGGGAAGACGTTACCCAATAAGCGAGAACGGGACTTGTCCGATCAGCGGCTTCCTTCATTGCCGAAAGGTGAAGTTGGGGAGTTGGAGGAAGGAGATGAGATCTTATCGCACTTTCTTAGTTCTATTAATCTTAACGATTCACAAACTAATCAACCCCGTCCGAACCTCGATGCCAACCCAGCGCAGTGAGGGTCCGAGTCTCAACTTCCTCATTCATTTTTGTACGACTTTCCTCGAAAATCTGCCATTAATGTCTTTCATGCGATCTAATTTCATCTTGCTGTACAAAAGCTTTCGTTGGCGACAATAAACCCCTAAATCTCAATGCTTGTATGACGTTCTCTCTTAGGCTCACCATTCGAGAACTATCACCTTGAAGGAGAGACATTTGCCTCCTTGACACAGATCCCAACTTCATTTGTTTTTGTCCATTTAGTCATGTACTAACATATGATAGAAGTCCCAATTCCTCTGTCACGACCATGACACTGTTGATGGTTGTGAGTAAAATATTCGGGTGTCACTTTGAGGAGCTAACATCAGCACCGACGCAGCGGGGGCGACTAACTACGAGTTGGGCTGTTTGCAAGGTTTGAGCACGCTACAAGTTGTGTATGGATTGACCAACGGTGTGATATTCGACAGTATCAGATATGCGTCATTTAATTTGGTTTTCGCACATTGATGGTAAATATCGCAGCATTGAAGTCAACCTGGCTTTCGCATGGGTCCACCAACAAATCGACCGAACCCAAGGTAAGGTAACTCCCAAGGAGGCAGCATAGAAAAGGTTTCTTGTAGAATACCGTGTGTTCTGTAAGGGTTGTACAGGAAAATTAAACCATTTTGTAAATGAGTTCGCCAATCATCTCGTCCCTATTACCGACAAGACGGTTAAAAGGATGCTGGGACTTCTTCAAATGACGTCCCCACCCACCAATTGGACGCCTTAGTGTGAATGGACAAAGGAACCCCAAAACGTCACGCAAATGAGGACCCAGAGTGACAAGTTCATGAATGATATCCTCAATACAGAGAATACCCAGCGATCCTAACAAGGGTGTGTTGGAAATAGTCAAAACACGTCTTACCTAGTTTACTCTCCACCAATGTGTTGTCGATGGAGCGGACTTTGCCCCCAACTTTTGTTTTACCTCTTTTAAATATGAGGTTCCGGACGGTGGCTAGATCTGCATAACCCCAAACAATGTAGGGGCGCACTAATGTCAGTACCTCAAGCATAGCTTCAGAGGTTTTAACAAATACAGCAGAATTTGGGATATTCAGATTTAGGATCTCCAGAACTTTTAGCGAATCGGCAGATAGACCTCTGTCGCCATGGACCCTGATGACAATACCTAAACGAACGGGACCAGCGACAGGGGGCTTCAGCTTAAGTTCCCGAGCGATCCTCGCCTTATCTCTAGCCTCTTTTCGAGCGCCCTTAACGCATGGAGTGAAGATACAAACACTTACGGATATAAAGTGAGCGGGCCTATGAAAGACCTTGCGACGTTCGTGAGCTCTCCGGCGGATTTCTCTTGAACGTATCCTTTGTTGTTTGATCACATCTCTATTTTTCTGCTTTCGACGCTTAAGAAGCTTCACTGGCACAGTTGGAAGTTTCGGCAAAGGTTTTTCCTCACCACTTAAAAAATCTCTTAAACTAAGACACGGGCTTACATTCTCTCCTCCATTCGAAACGGACTGCGAGGACCAAATCCACTAAACGTTAAAGGACGCAAAGCAATGTGATCTAACCAATGGAAAGCTAGTATAACCAACAATGATATCCAAAGCGATCTTGTAGAAATATCATAGAGGAAGACGCCTGAAACAATAGAAAAGAATATTGCGGACTAATGTCAATTTATAGGTTCAGCTACCGATAATTTAAATTTTATCAAAGTATTTATTTGCCAAGCAGTTGTTCGTAGATAGAGCGTGTCAAATAAATGAGCGAAATTTCGTCAACTTCTTCGCTTGCAAAGTAATCAGGGTCTGAGTAATAGTGGCAAAGGTTTCTTGTATCCAACTGGCATCATTTTAATGCTCATTATTGCGAAATGCATGTGCGTTAGACGTACAAAGCAATAAGTCTTTACTATTCAAAAATTAATTAATGTGTGAATTTGATTTTGATTCACTTTATAAAAACCCATTTCTTTATCATTAAGGTGGTATACTTTGAGCGTTATAACTTCTTTTCCTAGTGATTAAACAATTTTTACATCCTTCTCATGGAGAAATATTCCATATTTTCAGATGACGTTTAGTTATCATACCTAAAACATGCTGCACTGAGATGTCGAAGTTAACCAATTACAATGAGGTAATAATGTAATTTCGTGCCTACTTTGGTGTGCATTTCCCACAATCACCTAGAGGATGATTACAAGTCTTCCTGTCGAAGACGTCATTATTGAGGCCTACGGACCTGTTTTTAATGGCCCTGGCGCCGAGAAACGTGATACTCCTTTTGTTTTGCGGAAGCTTGAAGGGTCACAGCAGGACGCGATTGAGCGTGCGAAAAAGTATGCAATGGAACAAAATGTTAAAATAGTTCTTCTCAAGCAAACGCAGCAGTCTCAAAGCTTGCAAATGAATGCTGCGCGTAGGAACCAAACACTCGCCTTGCTTAATCGAATCTATATCGGCTCAATCGCCTACGACATCAAGGAAGAGATGATTAAACAAGCATTTCTTCCATTTGGACCTGTTAAGAATGTTAGTATGAGTTGGGATCCAGTTACACAGAAGCACAAGGGTTTCGCATTTGTTGAGTTTGAGTATCCAGAAGCAGCTCAGTTGGCGATCGAACAAATGAACGGTTCGAACTTTGGTGGTCGTCTTCTAAAAGTTGGTCGGCCAAGCAATCTTCCAGATGCTGCACCATTTATGGCCGAGTTAATTCATGATTACAAACTTCAGAGTCGCATATACGTCTCTGGAGTGCACTTAGATCTCTCTGATTCTGATATTGCGCTAGTTTTCGAGGCTTTTGGAAAGATTACCATGTGCCGGTAAGTTAATTGAGCCGATCAAAACCTTACGAACTGTAGTTTGGCTCCGGACCCGCATCGTCCAGGGTTTCATCGAGGCTTCGGATATGTCGAGTTCGAGTCGGAACAGGCCGCGACGGCTGCGGTTATGAGTATGAACAGATTTGACTTGGGTGGTCAGTTGTTGAGGGTCACCAAGGCCATCTCACCACCTGATGGAATTAACACAAACCCTGTGATTAGTCAACTGCCTGCAGCCACAGCGGTTGCGGCTGCCTCTGTCACCGCGAAGCTTCTTTCTATGGATGTAGAGCAGGTCTGTTTCCGATCTTTCCCGTCTTCTTGCACCTTATTTCCTTACGTGAGTCTAGTCGTCTATGGTTTTCGAAGTTATCATAGATGATAAATGAAGATTGAGCTGGGCACCTGTCTTAAGCAGTAGTTCATTAAACTTTTGAAACAGTATAATGCAGTGAGGTATTGTATGAAGGGCCTGATCTGAAGGTATGGGTTTGATTCAATCAGCGAAAAAGAGAATGTGAATGAATCATGTTGGGTCCTAGATACTCAGCGCAGACTAGGACAATTGAACCAATGGAGGTGTTTCGGGCAAGGGTTACGGGAGGCGTATTTGGAGGTAGCTTCAATGAAGTTGTGGGGTTAGTACATTAACAGTATCGCTGACTTAATTTGCTGAATGATCGGTAAACCCAGTCTAGCGTGCTTTGTTAGTTAATGAGCAGTCAAACATGTCGGGCAGATTGAAACGTAGTCTTTGGTCCCAAGTAGGAAATGAAGCGCAAAATCTTGGTCAAAATTAGGTTCGCTTATTACTCTTATGTTTGAACTCTCGGTTTGACCAATATCGCTTGCTTGGAGTATTATTAAGTGAAAAGTTGACAAGTACTCGCACTGGTCATGCTGAAAGAGTTGAGTGGCTTGAAGCCTTGAAAAATTAAATGATCTGCTCAAGCAGATTTCGCTCGTGAGTTTCTGCCAACCTCTTGCGTCAATTACCACAAATGGTCGTTATTCTTTAAATCGGTCATCGTGCAGGACCGAACGATAGCTTGACGTTCCTCATTTCCGCAGATGATCTTTCAGACTCACTTGTAGACCCTCCTCAGTGCTTTGTATAGGTTTAATCCAAGTTAAGTACATTCCTCTAGTCAGTTTTTTTGATGTGTGAATTTGTGCTTTGTTTTAGTAGGGTCTCCGCCTTTCGCCTTTCATTCTTATTTCCTTCAGTTGAGGCTTCTGATAAATGACCCCCAAAACCGGTACGATTTTCAGCACAGCTCCCTCCAGCGATACTTCTCTACACTTAATGGCATTTAGAAAGGGAAAGGGTTGAGTACTTGCAACTTGTTGCTCCTACTAATTTTCCGCCTCTTCTTAAGTTACCAGTAAATTTGGTGTGAACAGTAGTGGGTAACGTAGTGGCTAGTTTTGAAGGACTTTCATCAAATCGCTATGGTGATGGTGGAAATGCCTCGTATGATAACCAAACTTGCTTCCAGGAAGTAGTCCAAGCAATAGAGCTCTGATTACGAATTACTGAAGTATTCACCTCACACATGCTATTTGCTAGTATTATTTGGGAATTAGGAGTCAACACTGGCAATTCGCTATTCAAGTTACTGCCGTAAGTTACGATAATAAAATTGTTTGCATTTCCATCGGCTGGAAGCGGAACATATATTATGCTACTGAGGAAGTCCAAGCAGTTGACCACATTAATGTTAACACCATCCATCTGTTTCTCACCATGCGTTCTATGGTGCCTCTAAACGGTCCTTTTGTAACGTCATACCTCGGTGGCATTCAATGCTCTGTTCTCAGGAAGCAAATCTTCATTCGTGTGGAGTGGACGTAAATGCTTTATCACAACTTTTAGTTGAATCATGCTCCATACCTCTCAAAAGGTATAACTTGCCTACAGCAGAGAAACGTGCCTGTGTGATGATTTATGTCTTGCTATGATTTAGAGGAAGAAGAGGGAGCTTCAGTGTTTGTTTCCCCGTATTCTCGGGATGGTACATTTATATGCTCCAAATAACGACTTGCATTTTCTTGTTCAAAGGTTTGAGCTGGAGTTGTGGGGGATGAGTGTGACATAAATGCATATGGCCATCATTGCATCATTGGTATGGTATTTTTTCTGCCATCGATTTGCCCTTCATGCTATTATCCTCGTCGTTTGGCTTTCATTTGGTGAAATTGAACCTTGTAGTTTATCTCACTACGCTGCATCAAGAACTAAAGAACGGGGAGATTATTAGCTTAAGCATAGAAAGTGAATCGCCTTGTCACCGGCATTTATCAGGGTAAGCGCTACTAATCACTGAGAATCTTTCACTTTCAGCTTCCTGATGCTCGACCAGTCACAGAAGCGTCTGCGGTTTCTGCTACAATCCCCGTCACTCCTAGGAGTTCTCGTGATCGCCTAAGGTCACGTTCGAGGTCCCCTCGGTCCTCCCGTCACTTAAGGCACTCCCGTCGTCGACGTCGCTCCTCGTCTTCTGCAACCACCTCCTCCTCTCGCCATAGACGACAACGCCGACGCTCACACGAGTCACGATCTAGGCACACGCGCAGATCTTCGCCACCCACTACCTCGTCCGGTATGGTTAATTTTTTCTGCAGTTTTTAAAGGTATTCATCTTAAGACGAGTATATTACAGGCACACAGAAGGACGTCAAAACACGCGATATAGACTTTGACACACCTGAAAGATTGAGAGTGGCATTCATTAATGGCTATTCAATTGTTGAAATGCATCCACCGCTGTCGCCAGCGCAGCATCCCGAGTATCCCATTTTAATGTATAGCTAGATCTATGAACTAAGCAGAGCATGCTTAGTGCGCAAAGGAGTTAGGTTGATTCCCATACCCCTAAATCTTTCACGTAAATTCCTATTTTCTTCCTTGTACTCGCTTCCTCCTGCTCTTCAGCGGAGAAGTCGAAGCAGGAACAGACGTCGGCGGATGAGGAGAAAACGAGGGACGGGACAATGAAGGAGGGGGAGAAGAACTTCAAAGTAGGGACAGAAGAAGAAAAAAGCCAATCACTGACGGTGCCCAATAACAGCAATTGGTCATGTGTGTCATTGGAGGAGGAGCAGGCGACTTCCTTCGTGAGATCAAATGATAGTCGCCTCTATAACATTGCCTCGCCTTCCACCATTCCTCTTCCGCCGTCTAACTGAAATCTTGGTCCGTTTGCGCCCTCCTGTCCGGGTTTTTATGTAAGTTGAATTTGCCGCCTCAATGTTTTTACTTGGAGCTGCTTGAGCTGTTATTTTTGCGTGACCTTTAAGTAGTCTTTAAATCAATGATAATGATAATGGGCAGAAACCTGGCTGGTGGTTGGTAAAACCATTCATCATTCGCGAGTACACTTTGCTCTTAGACAGGTCTGGGGTTTTCTCCCACTCTTTTTTAGATCCCACCGGCAGCTTTGCCTCTCTGTGTGTTTTGATGCCCCACAGCCCAACTCACCCACCTGCTCATAGGCGCGCACAAAATTAATTGTAAATATCAGTTTACGCGTTGGTGTTGGTGGTGAAGGTGTTGTTGTTGTATAAGCAAAATATACACACCTTTTTCACACGATTTTTTGTCATATTAATTGTGATCTTCGCAAAAGGCTTTGTATGAGTGTGAGTTTGTATGTACAAACGCAGTTGGCGCTACTACTATGAAATCTGAGAAGGAGGGTGCAGTGTAGCGGATATGAATTCGGGTGCAAATTAAGGCCGTATGGACTTGCCTCCTAGTTGAAGGCGTCCACACAGAGGCGACAAAAGTATGGATTATAGCTACGTAGGGATGTTTAAAGTCTATAGTGCACCTTGCTCAGGTTAGTGTGCTTCACTCAAGACAAAATGATATATTAAGGTCACTGTGAGTTGTCGTCTCGTCCTGGATGGAAGTCTTTGGAACTTGCGAACGAGGTTTTGGATTTTGGGAAGGTGGGCATATTTCTGTTCGGATTACGACTAATGAGAATAGGGAGGAGGGGTCTAAGTACGGCAACACTGCCCTTAACAAATATATTAATATGCAATGTAATGTATCAATTTCTGCAGTGAATTAGCATACTTTTTGCTGCTAAAGTTGGAGTCACACGTGTTGGGAGAGGTTAAGTTTTGGGAGTTGACAAACTGGTTGCGGTTGGCAGCTATATGCTCGTTGAAGTACATGTTTCTTCATGCTGCTCACGTAAGGCTACTGATAAACTAGCGGTCAGAAATTACGCCACTACATAGGTGCAAAAAGGAAAAAGTGTTTGATGCAAAGGCTCTGTGTAGTTCAAATACTAGCAACAAATTTTATTTCATTTTGTCACGCTCTTAAAATTGTAATTACTAAAATTTTTAATTGGTAAAATAAAAAGTTGCTTGGTAAGGTTAAGCATTTATGGCATTTTTGGTCGTTTAAGTTATTTTTCTCCCGTGATGGTTGATTTGTATAGACCAGATGCATTGCATATAACCTAGAGTTTGTTGTGCTGTCATTTGATTGGTCCGAACTCATTATTTGTACGCGTGCGTTATCTTTGGTCCGACACCTGTGCGCATCGCTAAAAGCATCGATATGGATCCCCAATTAAAGGCAAAAGTTGACGAGTATCTGAAGTGGGACAAAGTGAGTTAATTATCGAAACTATCTCACGTATTCGTAGAATGAAACTACCCGTTCCCAAATTGCTGCAATGGCCGCTTCGACACATGACTTGGAAAAGCTTAGAAAATTATTAATGGTCCGAATGGAATTTGGTACTGCGGGTCTTAGATCAAAGATGGGTCCAGGATACTCTCAAATGAATGATCTCACTATCGTTCAAACCGCTCAGGGATTGCTCAAGTACCTCACTGACAATCACAGCCATCTGAAACCAAAGGGCATTATTGTTGGTTTCGACGGACGCCATAACAGCAAGAAATGGGCCAGCATCACAGCCAATATCTTTACTCGTGCAGGTTGGAAGGTGTACTTATTTAGAGACTTCAATCCCACTCCTTTCCTGGCTTATGGTGTCCGACACTTCAAGACTGCCTGTGGTGTTATGGTTACTGCTTCCCACAATCCCAAAGATGACAACGGTTACAAGGTCTACTGGGAGAACGGTGCGCAAATTCTTTCCCCACATGACAAAGGCATCGCCAACGCTATTCTCCATAGCCTTGAACCACAGGAGACTTCTTGGCAGTATGAAGATGTGACAAACCATCCTCTTTGCCTGGATCCGATGCCCGAGTTGGAGGATACATATATGAAGATTCAGAAGGAGAAGATTTGTTTCACTGAGTATGTTCTATTGATCTACTTATCGGTCTTCATTTAGGGAAGAGAACAAAAAATCGGACGTAAGATTTGTCTACACTGCAATGCATGGTGTTGGCGCTCCTGCGGCACAGAGAATTTTCCATCACTTTGGTTTCAAACATCTAATTCCAGTTAAGGAGCAGGTAACCTTTGTATTTCACTGCCCTAATAATTTTATTTTAACAGATTAAACCCGATCCTGAATTCTCCACTGTCAAATTTCCCAATCCGGAAGAAGGCAAATCTGCTCTCGAACTCGCAATCGCCACTGCCAATGTAGCCGGTGTTCCAGTTATTTGCGCCAATGACCCCGATGCTGATCGGATGGCTGTGGCTGAAAAATTGCCTGAGTAAGATAAATCCCTCAAATTTAACCCGAATTGAACTTACTTATTCATAGCTGAGCAGTTGAAGCTGCCTAATCGTGCCTTTTTGCAGTCCAATGTCTGTACAGAAAGTTCTGCCACATTTATTTCTGCAATCATAAAGTGTGAGACGCGAGTCCCTCTCCCCCTGTTATTATTACTGCACTCAATGATTAACTCTTACCGAGGCCTCGTTAACTGATCGATCAGTCGCAACGAAATAGAGGCAATTAATCGTATCTTACACTTTGGATACCATCCTAAATTGCACTTCGTTGAATATTTAGATAACAGATTCCGTCTGTGTGTATGTGTTGTGCGTCTTTATGCGATATGTGTGCATAGCAAGGGGTGGTGCTACCAAATATTTCTAGAGGTGATAGCTTTGTTTATTCTTACTTATCGGACTGTCTCCCAATGGTATCACTACCTTTTTTTTTCAAGAATGTCTTCTTAAAGTCATTACTTCTTTTCCGCTTTAATGGATCAGTAGTAGTCCTCGCTTAACAGAAATCAATTAATTTTCAGCGGAAAGTGGAAAATTCTCAGTGGAAATGAGTTGGCTACTCTTTTGGGATGGTGGATGTGGACAAATTGGAGGCACCGCAACCCCCACGCTGACCGTACGATACCTTCTTCCTTTATACAAGTTACTCAATCGTTGCTTCAACTTAAACCACTTCCGTTTTTTTTGTAAACACACAGTATCCAAGGTCTACATGATCTCCAGCACAGTGTCATCAAAAATTCTTCGCGCCATTGCACAAAAGGAGGGCTTCCATTTCGAAGAAACCTTAACCGGGTTCAAATGGATCGCCAACAAAGCTTACGAGATTATGCAAAAGGGAGGTGAGGTTATCTTTTCCTTCGAAGAAGCTATCGGATTCATGTGTGGAACCACTGTTTTGGACAAGGACGGCATCGGAGCCTTTAGTGCGGTCTGTGAGATGACCTCTCACCTCTACAACCGAAAACTCACCCTTATCAAACAACTGGAAAACATTTTTGACACGTAAGTCTGATCATTATAATCTGTCTTACTGGCTAAATTAATTCTCTCCCTCTAACGGACTTTCCTTGCCTACAATCTACGGTTCAGTCACGGTCGTCTGAATTCTTTTTAATAACTCAGCTTTGTACCTCCAATATAGCGTAGGAGACGCACGTCCTCGGTTCATTTCACTGGGTCACAATCATACATGCTGGTGGCTTAGTGGAAACAATCAACAAACTCCACTTTATTCTCTCTTCATAGCTACGGTAAACATGTATCGAACAACAGCTATTATTTCTGCTACGAGCCACCCAAGATTGTTAAAATGTTTGAGCGCCTGCGTCGGATGCCCGGAAGTGGTCACTATCCCGTCGCTTGTGGTCGTTTCAAGGTGACAGGAGTTCGCGATCTAACTGTTGATTATGACAGCTCCTATCCTGATAAGAAGGCTGTAAGTTGTGGACTTATCTTTGGTGCAATGGAATGGTTTACACAGGATGGCATTTACCAAACTTTTGTCACTTACAGAGACTTCCAGTCAGCGCATCGAGTCAAATGATAACCTTTACTTTTGACAATGGAGCGATTGTGACTCTACGTACCAGTGGAACCGAACCAAAAATCAAGTACTACTCTGAACTCTGTGGGAAACCGGGTGATAAGTGAGTTCTTTGTCCACTGGCGTTGGTGGTTCTGAAGCATATTCAATAGGTCTTAACTATCACCGCCTCTTTGCAGACGGTCGATGGCCGATTTGGAAGCAGAGTTGGCAGAGCTGATTAACCTGATGGTGGAGGATTTCTATCAGCCCAAGTTGAATGGATTCACGGCAAGATCGGACTAGAGCGGCACATTCCATCCTCACTCCTTTTGATTGTGTAATCGTTTGCTTTTCTCCCTTATGTCTGTATGAGGTAGCCACCTAACATTTGCAATCAAGTATATATTTAGCACAAAAAAACTTCTTTTTGCGGTAGGAGAAGGTTTTTTCATCGTCGAAACCAAACTCGCTATTCAGGGGATATGTGGTGCATATCGCCTTGTTTCAGAGTTTGACCGCACTGACATGGCTGTTAGGACGGATTAGTTGTACTGATCTGGTGATACTGCATCATGTTTGGTACATTGTTATTTCACCTTCAGCTCATTTTCCATAAAAGAGTGACCTTACCTTCACTTTTTGCTGCACCAAGTAGCCAAAGCTAAGAATTTTGCATTTTTTTGGAAGGGTCTGTTATTGCTCTTCTCTTGAAAAGACATTAGTAACGCATCAAGGCGGCTTGTCGGAGGTGCCACACCTCTTCATTGACGCACTTTATGAAACCACACCCTTGCCACAGTAATACATCAAACACACCTTAGAAGAACATTTATCAGCGTAAGTTCTCATACCACTACGTCAAATATTTGCCTCCGAGGCTCGCGTCAGGAACTTTTCCTAAAACCACACAATTCACGGTCACCGCTAGCACCAAGTCCAACGACGTACTTCCTCATGCGTCCTCTCCTACTGAATTACTTAAGTAGCAAGTACCAGTCGGACATTTAAAAGACCTTGCCCCTGATGTCTCCCCTTCGCCTCGTCCTCACCTACGTACGAAGATGAGGGGGGAAAATTGTGCAATTTTGATTGGTTACAAATGGCTCAAAGTAGTTGATCCTCGATCTGACATCTACTTTATGTGCGACAACTTGTTTTGTTGGCTGTTTACCATGGCATGGGTTAATTGAGGCTGAGGTTGCACTACTCACTTTAATCCTCCAATTGCAGAGAGATTAATGACGCATAAAACCGTTGATAAAGTAATTAAACATTTTGTGTTATTTTGCCTCCACCTGACTGATCGTTGATGATAATGAAACTAACATTAATAGCGTGGCACTATTTCGTCGACATTTAAATTTCATTATTTTTTGTTTCTAAACAATGTTTTGCCAATGTGATGCAATTCTTATTCTGCAATTTCATTTGCCAATAGAGTAAGTGAGTTTTGGCAGGTAAGCTGTAAAATTACACATGGTTATAAAACGAACCGCCAGGCGAATGGCTTTCACGAGGAACCAAAAAAGTGCACTGCAGGGGGAAAAAAAATTGCGCAAACTTTATGTCTAGCTTTAATGCTCGAAGTTGAAAGTGAATTTATTGTTACTGTGCATAAAAGTTATGGCAAAAAAAGAGCTCACCTTGGATCCAAAAATGCAATGAGGAGGGAGAAGGAAAGGGAGAGCAACTATTTGTCAAAATAAATGGGACAAAAAGCTCACAACGCCATTAGTATTTTTATGCGCATTGATGCATAACTTTTGCCAAGTTGGTCCAACCAGTCACACATTCATTCCGAATAAGTGGGGAAGGTGGCATAAATGACCCAAGCTTGGTTGATATTTAATCCCGTAAATGTCAGATTTCACTACCAGAAGTCAGGCGGCAACAGACAGTCAAAAAATGCCGTATAAACTCCTAATCGCCCAAATCACAATGTTCCAGTTCCAGCCACATTTTAGTGCTCACGTAAAAGCGTCCACAACCTTCACCTTTCATCCGACACACTCGCTGTCTAGACCACCTTTTGCAGGACTTGTGGTCACATTCTATGGCAGCTGTCCGTACGTCTGAAGTACATTTGCCTGCCAAATAGGAACTTCGGATGGGGGAGATCTGCACCCGCCTTGGAAGCGGTCGCATCATGCTTAAGCGGCTCGACGTCAGCTTGTTGTGACCTTACAGTTGTTATTCTCCACTTGATGTACGTATTCTATGACCGTTCCTCCTATCTAACCCTGACTTACGTATCAAGTCAGTGTCATTCAGCATTTACCTGTCACATCTGCTTCTCCATCACAGCCTCGAATGAGGCCCATTAGGCACACATTTTCAAATGCAGTTCCATCTCATTGAGATACGAAAAGTCCTCACCTTTTGCTAGAGTAAAGTCGCTTGACGCTGTAAGTATGGTGGGTTGTAAATAATCCACTGAGCAAGAAAAGTCTTTCGTTACGCGTTTGTGTCGAGAGACGGGTACCACCCAAAACTACATTAACGACTGATTGTGAGCTATGACGGCTAGTGAAGATCTTGTACCCGCCTTTGAAGTACCCCAGCCTGTCTCCAAGGTTGTATTTCTAGGCTTAAGAGACAGAGACGCCTGTCATTGACATCTCGTAATCGTGTCACTCACTGTCTCCGAGTTTTCATGGCACGTGTTGTTGTTGTTGTTTGTCCAGACAACGGTCTTGGCTGGGTGGGTGGATGTGTGACAACTTAGAGGGTGGAAGTGTGATGGAATTGCTGACAGAAGAGTCCTTTTACCAAATAACGTTACTCAACGACAGTGGTGAATTTGGATGCGCAGCCGCACATAGGTCAGCACAACATTCCTCACAAAGAGGTTAATGATGCGTCTGCATCCTCAATCGAGGTGCTGATAGGGTAATGTGAAACGCATCCACAAGAAAGTGCATACAAAAAGCAGTACATGCATTAAAAAAAAGGGCTCCTTTTAGATTTGCATTTACGGTCGACTTTTCCACCCCCACCAGCTTGCACTGGGTCACAGGGTCAGCCACCTTGTCAAATGGATGTGGTCAGCTGTCATGACAAATTATACCCACTTGCCGCTCCTCCAGTGCAGTGCTAAGCTGTGCCCAAGAGACCTCCTTTGTGTCAATTTTCTTCAAATCGCCTTCTTTTGTTTAAACTAACCTTATTAACCTGCAGCACCCTCCACCGGAGGCACCAATTAAAATACACTGCCAAGTCAACAATAAGAGGCTAAGCTCACGCGTTTCAGCTTATTAAAGTCTACCGCATAGTAGAAATGCGTCTTTGTAGAAAATACTCCTATTTTTTGGCCTACCCACATATTGTCTGCTTTTGACTGCTTCCTAGGAAAGTCTGATTTGGAGTCATAAAAGTCGCAACTGATCATAAATAGTTTATGCCTTTTTTAGTTGTTTTAAATGACTGCAACCCGTAAGACCTATTGTTGTGATCCGGTAAAATTCACCTGTCACAAGTGTGTGTGTGTGTGGGTGTGTGTGTGAAGCTTTGGCAAGAAATCACATCTGCAGCAGTCTGAAAACCGCACTTAATGGCTTCAAAGGATAAAAAGAAGGTTATTTGTCAAAGCCTACTTAAATCCGCGTTTTATTACTCTGGCAGGTGGAGCGGGCAAAGCAAGCGACGCCAACCGCGAGATGAGCGGGCAAACCAACGCCTCGATAGCATTGCACACATTTTTTAAAATTAAGGTAAAATAAATTAGCGACAAATGAAGTTTTTTTGCTTGATTCTGGCAATAAACTCGAAGGAGGGTGAGAAGTTGTGGCAAAATACTCCCACCCATTAAAGACATAGCAAATGAATTGCCTTATACATTACTTGCCTAGGCAAAGGTTCCAAGGTGTTTCACTGAAACCCTTTTCCTTCCGACTGCATCGCTTATCAACTCTTCAGACACCTCTACTGAATGCATCAGAGGGGATTTTTTAAAAATAAACATAACTGAAGGAAAGCGAGGTTTGGGGTGGTGAAGAAGGCGCCATCGTCGTCCTCCTTCTTCCCCTCCTCCTCCTCCTCCTCCTCCTCCTCCTCTGGAGCTCTAAGACGGATAGTTGGATCGAAGAGTGGAGCATTGCACTTTATTTAAAAGCAAAAAATTCTCCCCCGGGCAATCAAGCAGTTCATTGAGAATAACTTCTCGAACAATAGAGAATGCAGTTATTTCAAAAAGTATGTAAATTGGTGTAATGACGCAAAAGAGGGCGATTTTTAGCATGTCCTATCCTCAAGGCATAAGAAATCGCCACTATCATCACCATCACCTCCCCATTCCTCGTCCTTCCCTACATAATTTGTCATGAAAAGAAAAAGAAAGAGTGGCCCAACCTTGCCCACTTTTCCACCTACACATAGTTCTTCACGATCAATGCAGACTTGCACGACTCCTCTGAACTCGATGATGCTGTAGGGCTATCCCAGCGTCACGCCGTGCATTTCGATGCGATGGTTTATGGAGCAGACAGACTATTTTGGTCAATTTGCTCTCCCAACTTTGACTGTGAAAGCGATTGATGATGACGACGCTGTAGTAGGATGAATAGATTGTTGATGACACCGAGAATTGACTAATTCAGTGGGAAGGAGAAGGAGATGAGGGTTGCTGGGCAAGTAGATACACCGTTCATCAACTGGAATAAATATTCAATCATTAAGTGGTAGAAAAGGTGCTGAAATGGATGAATGATATCAAGGGATGGATTTCCAGCTTTTAAAGGTTCGAGTAACCTCTATAATTTCCTCACTAGTAGTGATGACCACAAAGGACTGGTGGCTCTCGTTCCAGCCGAAAAGCATGCCCACCTTTGCACCTTTCGTATCCGGTAGTTGGAGCGGAGGATGCTAGGCAAAAATATAGAGCGGAAGAAGGTCGAAAGAGAGGACGTTTCAACAGTTATTCTCGTTAAAATATTCCTTTCTCCGTAAAAAAATCTGTTTCAGTAATGTCCGAGCGTAGTCAATTTAATTGATCATCTTAACGCCGACGAAATGGCTTAAGTGTGAACGAGAATGAGAGGATTGGAATCAAGTCCAGACGAAGGGGACGATGGGTTGAAGAATGTGAAAGCAGGAAAGGAAGTCATCATAAACGAATGGACCAATCATGGAGGACGATCAATTTCCGTCCACAGTTGTATTTGTTTTGAACGTGGAGGAATGCTTACCCATTGTATCCATGGCAGGGCTATCAACCCACTCCGATTGTAAACCCATTGCCCTTTCACGCCACCTGTTGTCTGTCCTGAGGGTGGTGAAGCAGCCTGTGAAAGGGAGAGCGGAAAGAATTTTGGAATAACGGCCAAGTGGTGCGGTACTCTTACCACCATGAAATTAACCAATTTTTGGATAATGTTGTACTTTTGGGACAAAATGACCATCATCTGACAATGATGCATATTTTGGCATTCCAACCCACGAAAAAGTCACACCACCAGCACCACGATGCAAGGTTTATTTGCCTGCAAAGTTGAAAATGAGAGCAGTAAAAGTAGTGGACCCAAGACGGACGGCAGCAACCTAGCAAATGTAGTATCCACGGCCTTCAAGAGGGTGACACTGTTACCATGGAAGTTTACTTAAAACTGGATTCTGATTCGAAGGGCAGTAGTAGATGGCTTCTAGATTCATTTCTCCAACAGCGGATAAGCTTGTCAGATTGTAGCCTACTGAAGACATTTCAGCGTCCCACCTTCAAAACAATAAAATAAATAATTGTGATGGAATCAATCAATTTTAATGGGAGAAAAGTTGAGTAACAAGGAGGTAAAATATGTGACCATTTAAGCAGAGGGGTTCGCGTACCGATTACTTAAAAGGGTCTCATCTACTCAGCTGTCCACAGCCGAGGTCCCAGAAGGCGCAGACGTTGCATCTATGGCTCGCAGACATAGACAAGACATCGAGCCATTTTGCAGATTCATGGTGATCTTTTGAGTGAACCTCTTAGTGAAAACATTGAACAAACCAAAAAACTGCCAACTGGCCGCGTAAATGAGAATGTATGAGTGCAAAAGCCTACTTGGTGAGGAGATTGTCGAGCATTACCAAGTCCATAAGGAGTTGCAGAGTAAAAAGATAATTTGATGGTACTGACGAGCACAGACAAATTGTGTAACAGGGTAGGATATTATCCTTCATTATATATGAGGTTCTGTAACAATTTATGAAGGATTTCGAGCTTTAACTTGGTAAAGTCTCTCAAAACGTATTTATAAGGCTGCATTTGTTAAACACTAAAATAATGGTATTACAGAGTCATAATCCCACTACCACCTCGGGATCTGGTTGCCACAGAAGTATGACCCCATTTGGTGCAAGCAGCTTTTGCCTCACATCACATCGTTTTATTTCCCTCTAGGATGTGCCTCTGAACGCGCCTCTCTTCCCCTCGCTTTCACTCACCCCGAGAAGATAACATTCGACCTTGTGTAAGGTCATTCATTTAAGCTAGCTGCATGATAATCAGGTTCGTTGTTATGGCATCAAGCTTGAAGTACAGTTGTTGGTCATTTTCTGCCTCATTATCCTCTTAGCCACTGGAAATTTCACCCTCTTAAAAGGCACTTGAAGGTCACTGTTGATCCAATGTCATTTAAATGACAAGAGCTGAATTCTACAGTATTCTTCTTACTAATAAATCAGGCTATTTTAAGGTAGAGACTAAAAGGGAGGAAGGGGGACAGGGAAGGGAGACAGGACCTTCCCACCAACGCTAGCTTGATCAACTCTCCAACTCACACTTTGGGAGTGGGAACACATGGCCATCCAGCATCCCATTTTACGAGGCATTTTAGGCGAATGCATTGCATTCGGTCCGGCTTCTCGCCTTTCTTTTGCAAATGCCAATTATCCCGAGCGTGCATCTTGCCTCCACTCTGATTGGTCACCTTAAAATGCGCTCGCCTTTTTGTTTGCGTGCATGCACCCACACACGCACATACACACGCACGAAGTCCAAAGAGCGCGTCATTAGCACACGCATACGTACGCACCGATATAGACACGGGTTTGGAGATCGTAGTTCGGCAGTGAAGTGGCGATTCGGTGGCGGTCGGTCGTAGAATGAGCACCAGTAACACCCTCATCCCTACCGGTGGCGATGGCGGTGGTGGTGGGGACTCACCCTCTCGTCCTTCTCGTCACGGGGAGCAGAAGAAGTTGGGAGTTGCTTTCAATGTCAGTTCAGATTCGACCCACACACCAACCATCTCCCTACCACATTCACTTGACATTAAGGACGCCAAAAAGGCCTTTGCCTTAAAAATTGCTGGGGCTCTGCCCAGTGGTGGCTCCTCACCGGCCAAAATCATCCATGCATTTATCCATGTGAAGGACTATGAAGGATTGGATCGATACCTCAGCAAGTATACAGTGGACAAGGAGGTGCTCGATTTCGCCCTTCAAAAGGCCTGTATCGCCTCCAATGCCGAGGCTGTCGATGTGCTGGCCGGCCATGGTGCAAATGTCGACTTTGTGGATCAATTTGGCACCACGCTGTTGCACTTTGCTATGCGAGGTGGGGGCAATCCAGAGGTCATTCTGGCTCTCCTTCGCCACGGAATGCAATATCGGGATTGGCGGAACGAGGGGCAGAGTCTCCTCAATTGGGCTTGTCAATGGGGCCATTTGGCAATTGTCAGGTGCGTGCTTATTCATGCCTGTAAATTATTCTTCGATTAGCCAGCGTTGTTTATGCAGGAACCTATGCACTGAGGCATCGATAAATAATTCGATTAGGTGCAGATGCGCAGCCATCTCAAGGTCAAAATCGATAAACCGATAAAAAGCGACAAACCCAATAGGGACCTAAAATCACAAAATGCTAATTATTAAACACTTTTTCTAAGCGTGTACAAAAGCAGACATGGATAGTAAAGTGAGCAGAAACTTGATTCTGAAATACATTTTCTAGTTTATTGAAAAAACGCACGCCTGAATACGTAAAATTTTTGAAGCTAAAATAAGAGCCATAAAATGAAGTAAAAGTTTGAAATTTGTGCAAGAGATAAAAATCTGCGAGACCATTTTGGTTGGCACCGCGGGAATCTTCTGACATAAATGGTGCCATATTTCAAGCGACGCAACAACTTGTAGCATTTAAGCCGATCCAATAAATTTATTTCGCGAAAAGCAGCATCTCAGTTGGGCAGAATTGATATTTGCCACGGGATTTAAATGAGAGTAAGATTCTGTCTGCTCCTCTGGAGTTTAAAATATTTACGACTACAGCCTGGCATTTTCAAAGGCAACCTAGTGTATCTGATTGAAGCAAAAATGCATTAGCATTGCAAATAAATTTTAAGTCTATGCTCACCTTCTTTTTACTCATCTATGCCTCATTGGTAAAACCTTTCTAAAATCGCATTCAAAAGGCAACAATTCATTCGCATTTGAATGAATTAGTAAACAATTTGATTAAAACTAACTTAAAAGCGGAAATCTCACGTCAGAAGGATTTTGTTTGTTTAGTCATGTTTCAGGCAGTTCCCACACACATGCATGGAAGTCAGTAAACGTTTTGAAAGCCTTTTTTTTGAATGGACAAAGTAATTTTAGTGTCGCCCTTCCTTTCCCTGATCTTTCACATCTGCTAAGGGGCGCTCCACACTTTCTGACCACGGAAGAGACAAAGGCCTTTCTTTCGCCATTCCTCCACTAGTAACAACCGTATTGATGAGTCGCAGGTTAAAGAAAAGTCATTAGGCCGAGCGTGATGCACCCCACCAATGAAATTGTGCGTATTAATTCAGGCATTTTTTTGATTGGTTAACGCGACAGTAGGTGAAATTGGACAATACATTAACCCCTGGCAGGAAACAACACAATGTCATTTTAGACAGATTATCAATATAGCTAAAATGATTTAATGGCATTTCAGGGATTGACAGAATATTTTGTTTAGAATCGCATGAACGATATTTTATTAAAAGGAGAGAAAGAGAAATTTTCGGCGAAAGTAGTTACTGTAACCCCAAAAATGGAATAGAAATGCTTGACCGTCGTAGAGATAGGGAATTGATACTGTGAGACAAGCTCGTCCCTAACGGGGCATTACATGACATGCTATCGCATAGCATTCTTCACGTTGATTACATCGTCCTCCGATTTCTAAGTCAACTGCCAATTTACATTGGAAACATTTTGTTCTTCTAAAATGCACAAAGAATTAAAAATATTGTGCTCGGAAAGTAGTAAAGACTCGATTGGCTATAAAACGTCCTTCCTTGTTTGTAAAAAAGAAATGGACGTCTATTCCGTCTTGGCGATTCAAGTTGTTGCGGGGACGGCTATGGTAAGGAAATAATTTATTGTACGAAGGTGGAAAGGCTGCAGGGCTGTAAATATTATCGTGGGTCTACGCCATAAGACAGAACTGCAACAAGGGGAGACTGAAGAGGGATGCACGTTAAACGAACATAAAGGCCTGGTACAATAAAGTACCACCTCTTGATTGGCACTTGCTTCCTTTCCTTGTGGAAATTCTTTCATCACGGTGGTAACAAATGTGTGTTCGGAAAGGGCATACAATGGGAGAAGTTCAATGGTAGGTAGTAGAAAGGCTTTATACTAGGTGGTGGACCCATTCTCAGTCTAAACATTACATACTTTGCAAGACAAATTACCAAGAGGAGCATTCCAAATATCAAGCTTATTTCCTGGCACTTTGTGTTACTAACTTTAATTCTTTCGCACGAATGTACAGCTTGACCTTTCTTCAGGTCATTCCGCTAATTTGCCACCCCCATGCGCCCTAAAGTGTGTCCCTGGGGCATTGTTTTAGCCCCCCAGGTGGTAATTCTTTCTAAACGTTACCTGCTCAAGGAGTATACCTCAGCAGGTCTTCCTTATCTTTGATCAAAGCTGACTGAGGAACAGAAGAGGTTAAACACTGAATATTCCACCTCCATTCTCGTACCACATCTTAAAGGACTTTCCGATCTTGAGTTGTAGGGAAGCCATTTTGTTAACACATTTATGTTGCTATAAAGGGATATTTGCGACAAAACTATCAGACCAGCGAAACAGCGTCTACTTGGGGCACAATAAACCACTTTCTTGAAGGTTATTTTCACTTAGTTGGTGTCCAAGAAAAGGCACTGTTTACTTTTACCATTATGTGACCTTATTTCGAACAAATTCCTTCAACTATTTGACTGTATTGGCACTACTCCCCCAAACTGTGTAAGAAGAAGTTGGGGTACTTTCGCACGGAGGCAATAGAGTTGGCGAAGGGCCACGCTGTGAAGGAGAGACACAACCAGTGGACAGCCACCCTCCACTTATGCAATAAAACATACAGCTGACGAGAAAATATGAAGCCGCATGTGTTGCTTAGGCATAGCAAACTAACCCTCTTTGCCCTAAATACAGCTGCCTACTTGTTGGCAGCACAGGAAGCGGATTAGTGTGCCGCTTGAAAGTCTGAGTGACAAGGGCACCGACAAAAGCTGGTCCCTGGGGTGACTGATATGCCGTCTTTTAACCTTGAAAGCTCAGGCTAGTTCCACTGTGAGTGCTAAATGAACACCAAAGCATTTAGATCGCCACTTTTTAAGGCTTGACAAATCTGTCTAGTAAAATGCTTTAAAAAGGCAATTGTGTGCCTCAAAGCGTGCAGTAGTTGTATAGACAACGAAGTACCTCATCCTTTAGCAATTCTGATTGGTCAGCCAAGTTGGCTTGGACAAAGAACAAAACGGTGAACACCGTTCAAATGGGAAGCCAATGGTGTCAAAACAAAAAACTGCAGAGTTCGAACAGCAAAAAGTCCAAGTCCAAATTAGGGATTAAAATAAGTGGAAACTATTTGAAACACTGATGCGTCACTGCTCGTGGTTGCAGTCTCTTTCCATCCAGGCATCCAACCAGTCGACCAGCAACACCTCAACTGCTCCCCAATTAAAATTTGTTAAAATTTAAGTCACCTTTGGAACACCTCATTTAATAAGTAGAAACTAACATAGACCAGTCTGTCTTTCATGCCACTTAATTATTTTTCGAAGAAAAGTTGTATATATCGATGGATCAGAGAAGGGGTTAACAATGCCACAGTTGAGGTTTTATCGGCCATACATGGGTTAGCATACATGACACGAAGCCAGCAGCGGTGGCTTCACAACGTCCTAGATGCGTAAAAGTACGATGCAGAGGTAGGAAGGTCACCTTTACAGCGCCTCTCACCCTAACATGTGTCTCTTCCAACTAGCCTCCTTCTTCCCCGTGTCCGCCATGTCCCTCCTCCGCGTACATTCGGAATCACACAAGATGGTGGTTAGCTAGGCTGATTAATGGTACATTAGTGGACTTGTGCTACAAGAATTTGTACTACTCGCTACTCGTGCCAGCCTCCATTCTTTTCTTCACTGATGGTGACAATACTCATTTTTGCCTACTTCTTTCGTGTTTAATAGCATCCCTTTTAACCTCTCGTCCTCCTTTTCCAGGATTGCGATTCTCAGTCCTTTAATTAGTCTGCCATTTTCACTGCTTTTGAGCGGGGTTCCAAGTTTTTTTCGGGCTATCTAGACAATGATTCCCATTTGAACCCATAGTGGGTGATGGATTCCCACTTTCGTCTCACAGTATTAGTCGCAAATGCTCATTTTTTTTTTCACCTAAGTTCCATTCTCCATCTGTCTACTCAATTCTGCCTGCCTGCCTCATGGTGATTACATGTAAAAAAGCCCTGAACAGCTGGCCCACATTTCTGTGAAATGCATTGGGTAAAACCTGAACATTTACAAGACGGCCTATGTTGACCTTTTTGACTTGCTCATTTGACCATTCCTCTTTGCATGTAATGACTGCTGCTCCATTGTTTGCATTTTATAACTTAGCGGCGCAACTATCCGGCGATCTGCTATCATTAACGATCAACAATACTAGGAATGGTTGTAGAGACGGAGAGGTAATCAGAATGCCCAAAATCTCATTGGTTGAATATAGGCCAATCGAAATGTCGTAAAACCGCTGAGTCATCGATGCACGGCCAACAAGTCTACCTTCAGAAGCCCTCTTGAGAAGCAACAAAAATGGGTTGCTCAGCTCTCTGATAAAGCATAGGCGAACTCTTTAATCAAAGTCCTACAAAATAGAGGTCTTCACCAAATCACTTATGCTGTTTGAGATGAAGGATAAAACAGGTCTTTTTGGCAATACTAGGCATATGGTAAATTTTCATGTAGGCATGAAAGCTCATTTAAGTTAAATCCACCTATAAAGAGGGATATTGCTTTGACCTCCTGTATGTTGCAAGTGTGATAGCATCAACACCGATCTTGTCAAGTGTCGAATTTGGCTTTTTTCGGTATGTACTTTTTTAGCCCAGATGTTGACCTAATCTCACTTTTCACTCACACAGCCAGTGTGAGGGATGATAGAATACCTATGGTTAATATTAACATTCTGCATAATAGGGGTTTGTGCTTTCATAATCATGTTAGAAATTTTGAATAAACACAAAATTTGGACTAAGATTTGTCTGAAAGTCCGTGCTTTATCCCTATCACAAGTTGATTGGTGGAGACTTGACCAATTGTTTAAGAGTTTGTGATGATACTTGGCGTACGGATTTAAATAGTGAAAAAGAAGTACCTTTTGTTAGTAAGGGTAAGACTTTGTTACACGGAATTTAAAAGGAGTTACTGTTTGCTTGTCAGGCTTCGGCCAAACAATGAATCACTGCAGCAACTGTTTCGGAATTGAAAATGAATTCGCTAATGAGAGAACAGATAAAATACATGTTCTGCATTCATTTGGGAACATTAAGCTAAGTCGAAATGCTTCGCATTTTAGTTTAATCCCTTTAAAGACAGTAGTGTTAGTTTGTCCGAGGGCAATAAAACAGCCTCCATACTGCAGTTACGCAAACAGGCAAGAAATGGAGGGGGTAATTGCCATGCGGATAGTTGGGGCACTTCCTGACTGACTTCAAATTGGGCAATTTCCGCAATTGCATGGGGAAAAAATTGGACAAATTCGCAGTTTACGTTGGCAAAATAGTTAACCTTTAGTCAACAATATTCTTAGTTGACTTCCGTTTCCTCAATTTCGGTTGGCTCGTTGAGATCAAATCGGAGCAGCGCCATTTAGAGGCAGACATAACTGGAATTGTCACGTCCAACCTCGAACTGCGTCAGTGCAATTGACCTTCTAATGTACAGATGGTTGGTGCTTGTAAGCACTGGACCTGAGAGGACAGGCGTCCTCCGGCTTTTTATGGGGAGAGAGGGACGAGGAGCCGGAAGCACCTATTTATTTGCAATATGCGTAAATTGCGGGCAGATGGTGAGATCTAAAAGTGTCTAGATGCCTGTAGCAACGGATACAATACCTAAGAAGAATATTTTCTGAGAGGATGTTAAATTAACCACTTCAACATTGAATGGTAACAATTTAGTCATTAGATTTTGACAGCTAGCTGACAATTGCTAACAAAGGGGAGGAGAAGCCCCTAAAGGTCAACCAAAGCAGAGGATTTAATTATACCATTGCATGTAAAATCGTGTCTACCAACATGGTTACTGAGGGAGAACGAGTAAAACGATCTCTTAACTCGCTGTACCAATTAAGCATTCTAAAGACAGGAAGTAGCGAGTTATTGTACTTTCTTGTGCGGCATTGGAAGGCATTCCATCTGCCTTCGTTCTCATCAATGACCAAGCACCATACACAGCTGGCCAACCACTTGGACCCACCTCATCCTGCGATCACATAAGATCCCAATAAAATCGTGGAGGCGAAAAGTTCGGATAGTCACCTCTGAGACCCTTCAAAGTGCCCACTGAGAATATTGAGCATGCAGCTCTAGGTCCTCCTAAAACGGGGCATCACAACGATATTTAATTGTGAAGCACAAGAACTTCCACGTGGAATCTTTTTAAGATGGGCAGACTTGATGGAATAGGTGAAGACGATTAGGAGGTTAGCTGTTAAGGATGCATTTATAAGATCGAGGAATGTGGGTTTGGAGGCACTCTTTCCACCAACTCAATGTAGGAATGTTGGCATTACTTGGGGTGAGAGGGGGAGTACCTTATAAAAAGTGGATGAGGAATGCAATAACGTTGAACATGGAACTAAGTCAAGGCAGCTTCTCCGAATGTCAGAAGATACATCAATGGAATGAAAGACGAAAAGTCCAAAACTAGACGGAAAAAAAGGGGCTGGACATAATCATCTCTTCACCACCTCGTTGTCAAGACTAAACTGTCAAAATGGTATGTACTTGTCACTCTCGGTAGTAAAGGAATGAGTTTTGACAGAATGTAGACAGCCAGACAAGGGAGTCTAGTGCTTTCTGGCAAAGTCATCAACACGTGTGAGAAGTTGGGCCCCTCGAATGTCATCCCTCTCCAACGACGCTTGCCTTCTTCCTCTTCGAACGCAAAGCGGAAGGTAGAGGCGGACGAGACGGTGAGCGATGGCGACTACTATGAGACTGAGAGGCGCTGTGACAGTGACAGCTCCTAGCTCGCCCTCCACTCGTCCACTGTACTTTTGCGCCCAAAAGTTGTTGTGGTATCATCACAATGCAATAGTCTGACCCTCTTCACTTTGCACCAAACCAGGCGGAAAAGTTGTACGCTTCAAACAAAAAAATGCAAATTTGCCAATGCAGTGGATTTCTCATGCAGAAAACAATGCATTTCATTAGGCCATTCCTATGGGATATTTGGGTTTGTTTACATGTGTACCACCTACCTCGACTAGATGGCGCCTTCTCCACGTATAAGTTAATTATTTCCACCAATTTTCCAAAGCTTATTAAAGGCCATTCCTTGTTTTGTTGTTAGTTTAACGAGGATAAGGAGTTGATGAGTGGTTACAATAGGTGAAAACTCCCTCCCTCCAATTCTCTCCTCATAGCCGCTATTCTCTTTGTCTTGCATGATGCAGGGATACATCCCCAGGCGTCTTGCAAACACCTATGAACGAAACAAACGGAAAACTGTCAAGTTTGAGGTGTAGTTGCCCTTTACGGCTTCAGTAGTATGTACCATTTAGGAATCTAAATTTGCCTGTTTGTAAAACATTTTGGCAACACCGTCTTCCCTCAAGAAGTAAGGAGATTTACATTACCAATCCAGTCCAATTAACAAACAAGGAAGTTTCTGACATCTTTAATAAGGTTGGTTATTTATGCCACCGAGGTAGGGTGGCAGATGCCTCTGGTGATGTGAAATGTTGAAACCTGTCAACCTGTCCTTGTGTGGCAAAAAACTCGCTCTCCACTCCATGTTTAAAGGCGCATTATTATTCTCCCTCTGTCCAGCGATCTCATCGAAAATCGCGGCGCAGACATTCACGAAGACGACAATCATGGACGCCTTCCAATCCATGTAGCTGCAACCTTCGGTCGTCCCTCCGTTCTCTCTTACCTCATTGAAGCCTACTCGCATCGTCTGCGACCCTCTGCCATTCCAAAAGTCTTTCTCGATGCCATAGCCGAATTAAACGAATCGGACGAGGATCGAGATTCCCTGAATCTCGACGTTACCATTTCAAATGGTAGGCCGAGTGAGGATCCCTCAAAGTTGGCTAAAGTTGCTGCTGCTGCAAACTATCTTGACAACCTTCAACGGACTCCTCTTCATTGCGCCAGCTCCGAGGAGGCTGTTAATGACTATCCACAGTGCATTTCCATCCTCCTCGAGTCTGGTGGAGATCCAATGCTTCGAACTCTGCAAGGCAAAACAGCCTTAGACCTCGCCTATGAGGCTGGTCGTGCTAGAGTACTCATTGACATAATGCCAACAGCTATGATGGTGGAATTGTTGATGCGGATTAATGACGTGGTTCCTCGAAGTGTTCGACAAAAGCACAGCGAAAATTTCTCCAACAAAAGAACACGCGACTCTCCTTCGGTTTCCATTCAGCAATTAACTCGGAGAGTCAGTATGAGTGCCCCAAGAAGTTCCCTTATCCGACGGCAACCTCCTGTAGCTCCATCGGATGGGAAGGAAGAAAATGTAAATCATGTGGCAATTTGGCGGAAGATTCTTCTCAATGATGATGTGGAATTGTTGGAGTCCTGGCGGGATTCCCTTCTCTGGTGTCAAGAGGATCCAGGGTATTTAAAAAAACGCAAAGAAATTCGTGGAAGAGCCTTGAAAAAAAGTCCTCTATTGGATAAGTCCTCACCAATGGATTTCGAGACATCTCAGGGTTTGACAGCCTTTCAGAGATCTGAACTCTTCTTTGACTGTTATGAAAACGGAACCGGTGTTTATTCCTATATCCAGTCTAACTTTGCAATGAATATCAAAGCGCATGACTTTCTCACTGTTCTGCGCTCTCTAACCGGTCTAGTGGTGTTTGAACAACTCATGGTGGATGGAGTGGTCATTCTCTCACCACTTCACACCTCCATTCTCTTCTTGGCTTTGCTCTGTGGACGATTTCGAGTGGCTGAACAGCTTTTAAGAATGCGACAATTCGATCTCATTCCAGCCAGCGTTCTCGTGGTACTCATCCTCCATCGGCTATATCAGGAACCCACCTTCCCTGAACAGGTACGTCGGCGCATTTGACATTGACTAAACAGGTCAAATATACTGACCAATGAGATTGAAGGATCTTCATTGAGCTGATTGGTTCTCCCTTTTCCCATCGTAACTTGGAGTTAAAGCGCATTTTTAGAGCATTTAAAAAGAGAATGAAATCAAGGTTTGCAAAACCCCAAACATGATCATGAGTACACTTTATTATGAAGGAAAACCAACGTGCGTACAACCAATAGTGCGGAGACACGAATGGGTGGGGATTTTTTTGCAGTGAATGCGATAAGAGGGGACTGCATGGCTTGCTGAATAAAATCAGAAAGGGGAGAGGACAGAAAAATAACGAGTGGATGCTAACCGCCAATGCTGTAAACATCCCCTATCCATGCATTCGTTTTTCCCCATGCTGCATCGATTCCCCCACTGGGTTGTACCACTTGGCTCTTGCAGTTTTAAGCGTAGTTTACTGTAAAGATTTGCCAATTTTTAGAAGCATGCTTTGATGCGATAATAATTTTTTTCCAGGAGGTAGCACTCCCCTAATTGTGATGCTGGATAAACTTGCTTCGTCGTCGCCACGCTGTTTTAAGGATTAACGCTATTCAGTCTCCAAGCTTTTAAGAAAATGCTTAATCATCTAAAAATAGTGCCTACTTTTTATGGGTTATGGCGGAATGTAGACGCAACTTTTGTCGTAGATTTCTTTCTAAAGGTCAGGTCAAATGGGACAGGTAAAAACAGAATTAACTTTTCCAACCAGATCTTGTTGTAAATTATTCAACGCACAATTTTCTTATCACATCGTAGTTCACAGTACTGTCTATCATCCGTCGCAAAGTCCACCCATAGAATTAGCTTCTTTTTATGTTAGAGAGGAGAAGGGAGAATGCGGGTGCGGTCTTGGAGCTTGAGCTCTACTTAATTACCTATAAGTAGGCTGTTCCGCCCAATGATTAAGGCACATTTTGTGTTCAGATAAAGTGAACCAACCGAATCCTATAGACATCACTAACTTGTTTTGGTTTCATCATTACAAGTAAACATTTGTGGTCTCTATGAGTGCCTTGGTAACGGCTGTGTAATGATCAGCTGGTATGACCACTTACAAGGGCAACAAATTCTCCCACACAAACAAACAAGTTGATCGGAAACTCAAAAATATTTCTTGCTTTCGAAAAGAAATGATATTGTTACTTCGCGAAAGAAACACATTTTAAAGTTGTTTAAATTTAGTAGCTTGGGAATCCCATGTGCTTAAAAAATTCTAACTTATTGGGATAACTTCAGGTACGGTGTGAACTTCAACAAATCGCCAGCCTAGTGGAGGCCATTGCTGTGGATGTTTTAACATTGGTGTCACTGAAGGATAATACGCCCGAAAAGGAGATCTGTCGAGGCATCCTTAACGCACCTCTGCGAATCTGTGGCGACCTCTCACTAATCGACCTCTGCGCTCAGGCCAAATGCACAAACCTCCTGAGTTTACCCATCTGCCAACGTGTCCTTGATGAACGCTGGCGTGGTGTCCTCACTCACCTACCCAATTGGATTGGTTTTGTGTCTCGATTTTGTCCTCTCGTGGCCATAGCCTTCTTGGAGCGTCGTGCACGCAAGGAGAGGGCTAAAGCTCTCGCCGATTTCATTGCTGATGCAGCCAGCTACACCACTGTTAATGCCAATTCCACCAATAACGCAAAAAGTCCTTCCATGGAACCCAACTTTTTTGGGCCTTTCAATAGAGACAGTGATCCCTGGAAGCCAGCTGCAACCCCAGTCTCACCCCATAAACGCCGTACTCGTTCTAAGGAGCATTCTACCTCCATTCTACCGATGATACGACTGAAAAAAGTATCAGCACCCAATCCACTCACTGTCTACGATCGTCTTTCGCGACAATATGGATGGCAGGGCTCACCACGACTATCCTTTGTCAAAGCCATCTACGCCTCACCGGAGGTTAAGTTCTTTTTCCATTCCATCTTTCATGTCATCTTTCTAGTCACCTTCACAGTGGTGCTTGTCAATTCCCTCCATTTTAAAATCCGTCTCACTGAATGTGGTGCCATAACGTATGTGATTGGGTATGCGGTTGAGGAGGTTCGCCAAATCATAATTGAATCATTGCGCGGCCAATTTACCAATTACTTGAAGGACAGTTGGAACACTCTTGAGATATTTGCGATCGCCTTCACTTTGACTGGATTCTGGGCAAGAGTTGGAAAAATTAATCAGTGGGCACCTCCAGAGCGTGAAGCCTACGACCTCTCCTTCTACATTGCTCGAGTGTGCTACCTCTTTGGACTCCACCTCTTCTGCATGCGAACTCTCTTCATCACCTCCATCTCACCAATAATTGGTCCACGTTTGAAAATGATGGCTGACATGTTGAGGAAGGATCTAGTCCCTCTCCTCATTGTCTTTGCCATCTTCCTCTTCTCCTATGGAGTGTCATTTCAAGGCCTTATGTATCCCAACTCGTACATTCAACAGACCCTCTCAAATGGGACCAAGGTGTATGAAAGAATGCCTTTTCTTTCCACTGTGGAGAAATTAATCTCTCGAGCCTTCTACTCCATGTTTGAAGTGAGTGTTGCCCTGGAAGAGGCCGAATGCCGACCAGAAGAGCAGTGTGGAAGTCAACTTGGCAACAAATTGGTCATCCTCTTTGTCCTCATCGCTTACACTGTAATTGTCAATCTTATCCTCATCAACCTTCTCATTGCCTTGTTTAGCAATACGGTCTCACGGATTGGAATGCAATCAACAGCCCATTGGTTGGCAGATCGCTATCAAATGGTGAAGGAGTACCAAGATAAATCCATGTTTCCACCACCATTGAATCTTCTATCCATTATGGTAGAGATTTGTTTTTGTTCCAGTCGGCTTTGCTTATGCTGTCGTCGTCATCGTCGAAAAAATGGAAAAAGTGAGGCTAAGGTCGTGAACGGTCGATCGAGTGTCGGTTGTCATCGAAGTCACATTAGTGCTTCTGAAAGCCGTAGCTCAGAGGACCTTGATGACATTGAGAGTCAACACAACATTACCAATAATAATCAAATGGGTGTGGACAAAGAGGAGTTTGAACTCTCTCACAATGTTGCCAAACGCAAGTGGAATAAACAGCTGCGCAATTCTCGACGGGTTCAAAAACTGACGCACAATCTTCGCAGTGCCTTATGGGGTCGCAGAACGGAGACGGAGGCTGTGCTACAGTTTATTTTAGTGCAGAGTTTTGCCCTAAAAGATCGGCGCTATACAATCGGTACGACAAACACTACACTGCCTTCAGGCTACTCAGTTATTGCTACCGCTACGGGTACCATTGAACATCGTCTACAGGCTTTGGAAAAGCGATTGGACGATTGGCTTCCACGTCTGATGGAAGAATTGAAGGCTCTAAGGGAGTCCCAACGTTCGCCATTCAGTCCACAGGACTTCCAAATGTCACAGACTCTGGAAACTGGCGAAATCTCTGAGAGGATGCAATTGAACGCAGATGGACTTCAAGCGCCAACGCTTTCTGAGAGCTCGGAGAGAACTTCAGGCATCTCAATGAGAGCGCATCAACCGCACGACCTCTTGTACAGGCGACCCGTGTCGAAATTATAATATCATGCAGAAATCAGCATTAATAATTTTTGATTTTTCACTAATTAGAACATCTACTTGACTACCTATCTCGTCCTCCCCTCTAAATCCCTACTCCCTCTTCCCTTCTCTCTTGGTGCCTGTGTGACTGAACGAATCTGCCTCCAAGAACTTATGAAATTATAACTTAACACATAAAAAACACAAGCACAGAAATCTGCTTGGTTAATAATTATGGACAGTGAGTGGATAGGTAGGTAGCCAGATCTATTTTTCGACCTTGGGAAGAAAAGGGACAAGCCAATTAGCTAAATGGATGGCGGTGAGTGCGAGCCCTATTCATATATCAACTAGTTTAGCACCCCGAATGGACCAAAAAGTTCCTCTGGCATTTAATATGGACAGAACGTAAATCAGTAAACAGGTAAAATCATTTCCCCCATGAACAGGTGTGGATCGAAGAATGCTACTCAATTATTATAAGTAGGAGGTGGTATTGATGATTAAAATCTGAACCCCACAGGAGCACGTTTGCACTGCGGCACTGCCAGGGCAGAATTAATCCCACCATTTTCGGTTTACACCCTTAAGTTTTCCCTTTCAATTAACTTTTAAAACGAAGTACTGAATAAGGGGAACCAAAACATCTGGAGTGCTTTCTAACATTCACGTTCGAATCGCATTGATTTAACTAATTGCGATCAGCTCGAAAGCCATTCGAATGATTTTACCCCTTGCACTAATTTAGACAGTCACAAACACAGACCAGTATATGCGTATACTTTATAAGTTGATGCAGTTCAAATAAACAGGACAATGATTTTGTTAGTTGACTTCGAAGGGACTAAAGTTTTGAAACTTAGTGCTGCTATTTTAAACAAGATGCTGACTCAGTGCGAGGTGAATGTTAACTAATTAAGTGCTGGAAGTGCTTTGTGACTCAATGGTAATATGTTTGAGGAAAGTGAATATTGTCTTCGCATTGTCTGCCCATTCGAGAACCCTTATGGCCAATGGCAACTTCAATGTTCCTCCCGCTCTTGTGTGAGCTGACCTTTATGCTAGGCCCAAGTCCAACCCCTCTCCTTCCCTTCCAAATACAAGTACTCAGTTCAATCTACTGCCTAATGAGAAGTCTCGAGACACTACATCGCCTGCGAATTCAAGAATGGTTCACTCCACATCCATTTCGTGGAACTAGGTCAGAGACTGTCTACTGGAGGTAAGGCTACAACCCATATTGTTTAAAGTTTCCTTGGTGAGTTGCAGGAATCAAATTCGAACACAATGCTCGAGAACCATCCCGACGACCCGCTGGAACTGCAATAGCCACATCCCTGCTTTCGACCTATCCTCGCCCAAGCCTGTGACTCTATGAGTCCAAGAAGAAGTTCTGAGTCGAGGACGCCAACTATAAGCACAGGCTCCCGATCCTCCCAAGAGTACTTAAAGTAGCTAATCGAGTGCCAAACGAAGCTTCTCCTCCCTCTTATTACCAGCACACTGCCCAAATAATTGAGTTAATCAAGGCACAACCAGACGCTTGTGTATTGTAATGGAGAGACTTGTAAACTCCCGGCGGCACAACAATGCCTGCCTACTGCGTACGTTTCCAAACATAAGGCACCGAATGAAGTATGAGGATCGGACAACTCCCCTTCGTGACAAAAAGCATCGTTTTAGCAGGTGAATAGTGGCGAAAACGATCCTGGCTATGGACTACACACCTAAAATGGCAGGGAGGTCATACCTTACATTTCATACCAAACAACCGCAATAAATCACCCCAAAGACTCAGTCGCTTTGATACATGTATTACAATTTCCTCAGAGTTCGGTATTCTTCCCAAGTCAAACCACCAGTTAGAATGCCTTGCGTGGTTAGAAACGATCCAGAGACACCCTCACAGTCACTATCATGTTCATTCCTAGTCAATGTTCGCGACGGCATGATGATGGCCAGATAGGCTTCATTGTTGCCTGTAATTCCAATAGGCGCAAAGGGGACACGATCCTCTGCGGGTGCTAAAATAGACAACCTTGAGTTTGACTCATAGAGACGTCCAGGCAAGCCTCCACCAATCTGTAATGCATGGCGTTCACCACGATCGCAGATGGCATAGCCAATACATTGTTTATCACTTCCATGGTGCAACCTATGACTACCACGTTTCCGACGGCCGCTAATCCTACTATTGAGGAGGTTGAAGGAGCTGGATAGCTGAAAATCAACGCCAAGAATGCTGTGATTCGTTCTTTCGGCTGCGTCTTGTGTCAGTGATTTCTCACAGCCACGGAAGAGGTGGTGACCTGGGGCTAGGCCCACTACGCAGATGCGGTTTGAGTGCTGCATCACGCACACGTCCTCACCACTGCCTTCTCCAAGGGTATCCACGAAATATCGTGTGGTGAAATAGCGGTCCGCCAGAGAATTAGGTCCAGTATGAGAAAGGAAACGATTTTCAGCGTTTGGCTCCTTTGTGAATGGCTCAGAGCCATTCGGAGATGAGGATTCAGTAAGAAGACGCTCAATCCATCGATTGTCGCCGTAATCCCAATTTTCTGCCTGTCAAGGTACATTTGATTCCAGCTTAATTAAATCTTTCATCGGTATTCATAAACAGCTGTGAGCTCATGCAAGTTGAACATTCGGAGAAGTCTAAACGAATATGATAAGCACAAGAAGATGCGAAACCAATAAAGACCGATGAAGTTGGGAACAAGGTGTTTTAAAGCATGAATAGCCAACATTCAGAGTTCATATGATACGTTCATAAAGCTTTACAAAAGAGGGATAGGAAAAGATAATACAAAATCTTTCACGTAAATTCGGTAGCGACGTATAGAGAGTTACAGCAAAAACGTGTTTAAAATATGATCTGGGGGGCCAAAACGAGCAAAGTACTATTTGTCCTATTTTGTCCTATTTTGAGACCGTAAAAAGAACGACGAGCGACCCAACAGTCGCATACCCAAGATCTACACATCCAGTAAGCGTTAGGAGCACGCTGACGGCCTTCAGGCAAAAAATGATGTGCTAACACCTGCACGCAATGCTAAATGCAATAAATGAGTAAAATAAATATAAAAAACGACATGTTGCACCTTTGTGCTAAGTTAGTTGATGATATCAACTGACTTACTAATTTAAACACCAAAGCTTTAAGTTAATGCAACTTCATGTTTTGGTATTATCTTGATATAGGAACCTGGTTAGAATGAAAAGTAGTCCCACAATTATTCGAACATTGGGCTTGTTTGGTATGCCATTAAAACTTGTACGCTCAATATTTAAGGAATAAGCTACAGTGAAACCTAAAATTCTAGCAATTATATATTCAACTTGATCATTCTAAGTCTGTAAAATGGATTGTTTCCTTTGACCTCAATTTCGTTTATATTGACCACGTCTCCACTTTCTCACACCTCGCTGATTGGGCTGTTTTCGCCAGGGTTCGGGGTCTTCAGCCATGGACGTTCAACAGCAAGGCCACCAGAGTCGCAACTTTGCCATTACAAAGTCAAAGCTGCAGCACATGAAACACGACCCCTCAGTGTCTATCGATGATTTCATTTCAAAAATGCTCGTATCCACTGATAATCTTACTGGGAGGTCGCCGGCTCAGCTAAAATTCCCAAAACAATACTCAGTTATGGAGGTAGCTCACAATGTTTCGAATCAAGCCTCTCTTTTTTCTTCGGACGTAAGCTTTACTTTTTCAGACTGGACATATTTCATTCACTCCGTCGCCTTCAAGTCCGAATCAGGTTCCTGATTCCGCCTCAGATGATGCTTGGGATAATTTTAAGTCATCGTTGGGTTCAAGCTCGTAAGAATTTTGTTATCTGTGTTCGCTTAAAGTACAGCCCTGATTCTATCATTCATACAACACATTCGGTAAAATTCGTCACTCACTGGCTCTTGAATGTTTCCTAAATTTGAGGCTTTACTTTAGGTTCATGCAGGCAAGAATCACCGAAGAGGATAAGGTCCCTACCTTTGACGTTGACTTTGATGGTTTTACTTCATGTAAATCAGTTAATCAACCCTCCAATCCAACTCCAATTGTGACGCCTGTTTTCGATTCCTCAAGTCAAAAATCGGGTGTGAGTTGCTGGTTTGCTATTATTTCTGACTTTTATGCCCTTTTTGCTTTACTTTGCTTGGTGGCTGTTTTTTTAGTTGTCTCTTGGGGTCATTGCTCCTCTTAACATCCCCAATTCATCAGATCCAAATCAGACACTGGACTCACCGGGATCATTTGACGAGGTTAGTTGGCCTTCTTGCTTCCTTTCTTGTAAATGATGCATATCTGCGAGGTTTCATGCTGTATTTTCCATGCATTATCTTGATCTGCTTTTATGAGCGCAATCAGACTCCCATTCAAATTCAATCTCGGTTCATATCACCGCGCGTCATTTATTTTTTTTCTCCAAAGTTTTCAGATTTTGTTGGCTCTGGACCTCCGCTCTCTCCATCCACTACGGAAAAATTTCCAATCGCTTCACATGTATGCAAATGAATCCGAATCAATGCTGGGTCCAATCAATGAGATTCATTAGCTTTATGTGTTTGCTTTCAGGAGACTAAGAATGCTACGCACATTAGTTCTTCTACCGCTCCGGCGCTCTCTCAGGAGGTATTTATGTTATTGTCTAAACTTCAGGCCTTAATATCGATTTGTTACATTATCGCTTCTCTGTAGGCTTTTAAACCTCAACAACTAAGTTCAAATTCCCCGAGCTAAATTCGCTCGCTCTTTTCTGGACCACTCAGGTTGTGAATATGAAGGAAAAGAGACCGAGAGACACTGGTAGGGTTTGGGTTTCAAATTTTGCATTGCTATTTGGGTGGATTCGCTCTTCGAACGATTGTTAGTAGTTTACAAATGATTTTCGTTGACTGGGGCGTCTGGCTTGGTGATTCTGGGGCTTTTGTTCTCCACCCGTGCTTCATTGGAGGCTGATGCAACATAGCTCGGCTGAACGTTCTTCTCCCCTCTTTTAGCAACTTTTTTCAAAATCCACACTCCAAGAAACGGATCCAGAAGATGGATTCGAAGAGTAAGTAGTACATCTGACCAAAACACTCACCTTTAGTTTCCAAGCCTGCGCTTACGAATCGCCATTCATGGTGGAACAAATTGTGCGTTGATTACCGCATATGATTTAAGTGGCCTTTTCCAATTGACACTTTAGAATTTAATCTTTTATGATAGAAGCAATTACCTACAGAGGAGTGGTTAAAGTGTCTATCAGAGTGTCGCAGTATGCTTTCCGAATCGGTCTCTATTTTGTCATCTCTTGTGAACGACTCCGATGTGGATGCCTTCTTGGCTACTCCTCGTGGCAATGAATTCATCCTCGGTTGGTTTTATTTGAATCACCTACTTATTGCATATTAGTAGAATTTATTATTTGTTGTTTTTATGGTCCAGAGTTGATTGAAATCTATGGAATCATCCAACGCATTCGTTTGGCCGCCTCTCTTAACGGTAAACATAAGGCCTTTAACTCAATGTGTTATTTTATGGACATTTTCTCTGACTTTTTATGAATCCTTTAGATCTGCTGGATTCACAATTACAGTCAGTATTTAACCAAATTGATCGTGTTTGGGGTGATTTGGCAAGATTTGTGAAAAATCAAGATCACAAGGTGCGTTTTACTTGTGATTATAAATTGTGCATAAACGCTCCTCTCAGTGCGTTACTCGATCCTATTTTCCACCTTTTTTCCCACTCACGTATTGCACAACTAAGGCAAAAGTATTGTTTTTCCCTCTAGAAGTAAAGGGGGATAAGCAGTCACCCTTTTGTTTATGCGCAGTTAATGTGTATGCACACCTACGTGAAAAAAATACTTTGTTACTTGATGTTTCAGGGCGATATCACTCTTTACAATTCTGATCTCCATGTAGGGTAAAGTAAATAAAAGTTCCATATTCGAGAAAACCGATTTGAAAAGTGCTGATTTTGAAGCCCAAGTTTTTCAGCAATGCATTACATTGTTTCCAATAGTTACCACTGTTTTAATGTTAACGCCCATTTCCATTAATGCACTTTAGAATGTTGATTCATTGCACCGATGTTGATGCATTTAATATTTGTAGGGAGGCACCCAAAATGGGTAATTATTTTAGATTCACCGCTTCTTCAGCTCATTAAGCAGAACTCGTGCGATATATGCTGCTTGACACAGATAGCCAAGCAAAATAGAGGTCATGAATGTAGCTGTCACCTATTTCTTCTATCAGACCCGTTTAGGCATTGATCGACAAACTTAATCACCGATTTCATCTAGCTCTGCAAAACATCTAATCCTCTTCAGTCGACACTGAAGCGCCGTCTTGCTCAATCCGTTGAGGCTGCAAACATGATGAATACTCTCTCCGTGGAGCCTAACTGTGGGGTCTGTGTGACTCCTGTTCCTGCCCCTTCCACAGCGGAGGCGGAACCGGGAACCGCTGTCATCTCCCTTGCTGGTCGGGTTTACCACGCACCCTGCGCCAATCTCTGGGTTAACCGAATTGAACTCTCTCTTCCAGCTCTTCGAGTCCGCTGACTTTTTCCAGTATTTTTGGGAAATAAATTTTTCCTTTAAAACAGCCTGTTCCGTTCTTTGCGTGCGCACTTGTGTATCTCCTTATGTACAATTCTCACTTTTTGCTAAATCCTTTTAAATTGAGAACACTAAAGGTGGGTCTCACAAAACATTGTCCATTTTGCACTACGTGTTTCGGCAGTGATTCGCCTCCACTGTCTCTGTATCAGTCCTCAAATTGTTTGCGTTGAATCACGTATAGGGGGGGGTGTGTTTCGATTTCACACATCCGATGTACTCATCTTCACTCCTTTTTATTCGTTTTCGCCTAACTCTTGCTATTTCTTTTAGGCTAAATGTTAAAACCTGAGGACGGGGAAGGTAAGGGGCAGGAAGCAAAGTCTCCTCCACTATCGACTGTCAATCCTCGGAGTGTAGAAATGTTGGATGGTTTTGTGAAACGATTGACATCAGCTAATGAGATGTTAGCTCTCTCGGTTGCGCAGTTATCAGTTCTAGTTGACTTTGAGTTGCAAGGATTGAAACAAATCTATGCCGAACTGGGAATGCCTCAAATGCCCGATGACACATCGGCAGACGAATGGTTGTTGGCTATCCATAGTGGTGCATTTCCATCAGACCTTGGTGAGGATACTGACGAAATCAGCAATGCTACCCAAGGAGACACTCCTGCCGACGAGATGGAAGTGAAGTTGGAAGCCAAAATGCAGGTCAGAGGTGCACCTGAGGTAAGATGAGGACACTGCGTACCACCTTAATTTGTAATCATGTTAGCAGGCGCTTAAAGTTCTGAACTCTGCTACTTTCTCCTTCCATCAGTCCATCTCACCCGTCGCTCCATCACTGCCTTCCTCTCCGCCACCACAAAAGACGGTTGATGCTTTTGCCTTCTTCGTGCAGCATGTGGGAGCAACACTGCGTCGCGATCACGGGTCTGCTCTTCGTGGTGACGTCAACGAGGCTTGGCTGGAGGCAAAACTTGCCGCCAAGTGGACTTCCCTCAGTGCTGACGAGAAGCACGCTTGGCAGCGCGCTGCTGAAAGTGCTTATCGAACATCCTGACCTACCTCCTGGTCATTGTATATTTTTGCTTTTTTTTTTGTAAAATGAAATACTTAGTACTGTTTTGTTCAACCTCCTTCTTTTCCGTTCCGTGTTGCTTCCACTGAATATTGCACATTACTCACTGAAGGCACCAAACACCAAGACAGTTTAAAGGTTTGATTCCTTCTGTTCCCTGTTGGTGGTTGCGTTGAGGTCTCTTGCAGGTGTGTTGTCAAATCTGACATGACATTTCTTGCACACTTCTCAAGATCACCTGGTTTTGATCGCAGATGACAGTGCTCACTTTGGGTACTGTTTGAGAGATTTGACATGTATCGAGTGTTCACGGTGTGGTCAGCTAATCACTCGACAGATAGCCTTGGTAGAATTTCCCTTTTGGTGGAATGACAAGTTTGGTGGGTGGTTTGGAATGTGGAATCACGAGTCAGTAAAGGCAGCTATCTCTGAGGTGATGTAATGGTTAAAAGTAATAAGCTTAGTAAAGCATTTCGGCAGGAAGTGTTCCTTAGCAGCATTACTTCTTTGAAAGGATGGAGGAAAGTCATCTGAAATCCATTGGCCTAAACATCGATGCTTTGGAGGTGGATTTGAAGCGTTCGGTGCGTGAGGAGCAACGTCATTGGCATGAAAATGACGCCAAGTTGAGAGCAGTTCAACAGAAGGTGGCTACGTACGAAGAATTCCGGTATGTCTCCCAATTACTCTCCCACTGCCTTATTCTTACAATGACTTTGCCTTTCCAAATTCAAGGAGCATGGTAGAGGGTTGCGAGCTTCGACCGTTGAAATTCAAGGAGATGGAGGAGGTCACTAAATGCTATGCGGGATGGTCGCCTCTGCCCATATCGTCGGCCTCCAGTGCTGTCACCGTGCCTCAGATCCATAGCCAGTCACCTCCAAGCGACTTTCAGATTGTACGTAAGTAACACTCTTTCCCTACTCCCCTCCCCTCCGTTAGCTCAATGGACCTGCCTAGAGAAAAGGGTGAATGATGACCATAAACCCATCTCATTCCGAACTTCCCCAAGCCTCCTCCATTATTTTGTCCCAATTTTCCGTTTTCACATTATGCAAAAGAAGGGGAATTTAAAATCACAAATTTATTAGTAATTCTGCCTCCCTTTTTTGGGGATTGCCTGAAAAAGAGGAGGGTTGGAAGTGTCCACTCCATCATTTCTTAGGGCGAGGACATTTGCATCTTTCACTAACTGGTACATCTTTTAATGCCGTTTCAATGTGCTTTCCACAGCCTAGTTACATAAGAGTTCAAAGAAAATTAGGACACAAATTATAATAAAAATTCATAAGTTGAACGTAATTGGTTCTCCCCTCAATCCTCCTCGTTGACTCACCTTGCCATGTTGGTTTGCCACAATTTTCGCATATGGTTTTGTAGCACATTGGTTTTCTGCCTCAAGAATAAGCCAATTCGTTTGGCCTAGTCCTGATGATCTATAGTTGATATACCTTCACCTAGCCAATCATTGTAGTGCTTACGCAACATGCGCAATCTGATTGGTCTATGCGCTCAGTTACTCATTGGTTGATGTAACCATTTTCAAGGTCACTTATTTTGTTATGCTTTTGTGTGGTGCAGACAAGGTTCAACAAGATCGACGATTTTATCCGTTGCTGGGGTGACCTTGAAAGTCATCGATACGATCGCATGTTGGCGAGTCTGTTAATGGAACAATCAAAGGAGCTGCTTCAGGAGGTATTTGTTTCCAGTGCTGGTCTTCCTATCCTTCCACAAGTTTTGAGGTGTCTTCTAACCGCGTCATCAGAGGAGCCACAACGCGTGATCAGCACTTTACAAGCAATCGGTTCAAGCCGGAATTTTGAATTAATTGCAACCTTTCTTTCAGATGAGGAGAAGGCATTGATTGGTCAGATTTTTGAGGTTTTGGAAAACAATACTGGAAGTCCAATCAACAGTAACTTGAGAAAACAATGGTTGCCTACGTAGTTATGGCATCATTTGTCTACAGTTTTATTCCTGTTTTTTTTATTTAAAAGTGTTTCTGCATTGTTGCTTAATTTGTCTTAAGTAGCTAGTGTATTTACTCGTCTTAGGTCGTTCCAACTTTTATTTGCCCCAGATCTCTAGCCTATTTGTAGCATGAGGTATAAGCTTGCCATGAAGTATGTTAGCGATCAAGATGGCTTACTGTGGGTCGGCTGAGGCTCAATAGAACCAGTAGATTGTTGGCGATATTTGGAGAGATGTCTCTGTTCGAAGGTAAGCAGAGATGTGTGGCACCTTTGGAAGAAGTCGTCATAAACATTCGTCTCCACGTCTCTACGCGGTTTCGGAGGGCTTATCTAAACTTACTGCTTGGTTACTTTTCTTGGAGCGGAATCGAGGCGTTGTCTTTAATTAATGTTAGAAAAAACAGGCGATTTACCTTTTAATTCATGGCATTCACAAGTAGGCATAACATTTTTTTCTCACCACGAAAATACCCCAAGTATCTTTTCAGTGCAGTATGCCCAGTCCCGGTCTTAGTCTTCGTCTTCAATTTGCCCCATCTATGCGATTCAATTCATTGTAATCCCTTACGATGGAAAGAAAATTTTGGTGAAATCTCGCGTTTAAACGAAGGCATTCCCAGCGACGCAATGAAGGTGTCACAATTTCGGAATTTTGGAAAGCTGACATTGAAGATGGTATTTTTTTTTCAGACGAATTGAAGTGAGGTGAATATTCGCGTCTGGACTAACTCACCTTGTCTTATGGTGTCGGGTTTTGCACTTCATCACAAACCTCGAGAGGGTCGTCATGTGTGGTGCCCTCTTGACATTTGTCACTGTCATCTGTGAACTGATCCTCCGTGGAGGAATGAGATCATTAAAATGCCATTCGAATGCCCTCCTATGTCAAAGTTCAGGGCAAGTCCAGTTAAAAAGACACCAACTTTTAGAATAAAAAAAGTCTATTTCCTATTTATTCGAAAGCAACGTTAGGAATTGGGGAGCATAAGCAAAACAACAAACGATCGTATTGGAAGTGAGGAGTTCACTCTTCAAAGGTAGAGCGTTTTGACATGGATCACACTTCCATTGGACACACCGTAGTCAGCTAAGGTGCGTCGTGACTCCAAACGAACATCGTTGAAGTAGAGATCAATCTTTCCACCACACATCATGGACTTATATCGCAACGTCTGTTGCACTTGTTTTACAGTCCAGTCTCTTGGAATGTTCATGGAAATGCGATCTCTGCCCACCTCAAAGTGCACCAAGATGTCATTCTGGTTTGTATTTCTTCCTTTAAAAATTGGGTAGACCTCTCGAATCCGACCATCACTTAGGTAGAGACTCTCGCCTTCAGTGATGAGTAGATCGTCAGGTGTCTTCTCTGAATCCACTCTCCTACCCGAGAGGATGAAATTTTGGTGTTCTTCGGGGATGCCTGTCTTCGTCTCCACACTTTTGGCAATACTTTTGAGTGGTTTGGATGGATCCAACCTCAGTGTGAATGGATTTGCGTCTGTCCTTAACAAGTGGACATTAATCATGCGTGATGGACTATCCTCCTCTGCAAAGTCATCGCAGTAGTCGTAGGGTTCGATGGAGGGCTGTTTCTCTGGCTCCAATGCACGCGCGATGGTAATGCAAGCATTATCCGCAATCTCGTATTCATCCAATCGTCGCGAATCGTTCAGCACCCAATGTGAGCACACCAGAAATGCATTAGAGATGTCACAATTTTGATTCCTAGCTCGTTTGGCAATCTCAGCTCGCAGTTCAGCCACTGTTGCATTGGAACGGGTCGGAATGGAGTAAACTTCCTCTGGTGAAATTACTACTCGTACAGAGATTATTTTCTGGTACCTTAGAGGTAGATTCAATTCCAACGCTCCTGATTCTGCAATCTCGTAGTCATGCAAACTTCTTGAGTCTTCAAGATATACACCTCTGGATGTGAGTATTTGATCATTCGGTGGCACTCCAAGCAACCTAGCAATGGCAGTCTTCACTTGAAGCACAGGAGTATTGGCATTGGTTGGTAGGGTGAGAATTTCACTGCCACGATGGATTATTCGAAGCTGCATAATGTCGTCGTAGGTAAAGGGTTTGGGTGAATTTATGTTCACACACACACACATGGATGGGTGCTTACAAGCACAAATGTGTTTCTACCAACAAATCAATTGGCGGCATCCTCCTATTGGCTTCTTGAACAGCACAATGTGTGTGCGTGTGACGTCAAATGACTTACAGTTTTTTACGTCGATGTGATTTTACGGAGGAGAAAGAGGAGGAGGAGGAGGAGTCAATGCCAACTTCTGAGTAACTGGCGCATTTTCGACATCTCTCACTATGTTTGCTGTCCACGAGGCATCTTCCCCGGTAGCCAATGGTGTGGTGGTATGTTACCAAAGAAGTGGTGGAGTTATTTGATTAAAGAAGGCTTTTTTAAGGGGATTTGTGGACTTACTATCTGTCTAACGGGCTCATTTCGCAAAATTTAAGAACAAGTCGCTGTTTCGGGTTAGCAAGTTTAGGAGGTTGGACCTCCCGGGACGCACCATCCTACCCGAAAGATGCCGCAAAACATTACAAGAACCTTAGGCACTCACCGGTCCTCCACCAATTCAATTTTTTTTTTTTTGAAAGCTAAGGGCGTATTAAGGTGCATAGGAATGTTAGTTTGCCCAGTTACAGGAATGATCACTGGCGAATACACCTACCTCTACAAAGAGAAGGCCATTTTAAATCACAGCAATGAATGAGAACACCTCAACGCCTCATACATATCCATGTCTTAGGGAACTATCCTCTCTTTTGGGATTGAGGCTCGCCTTGAAAAGAAGAGGAATTTTTTGAATGAGATGGAGCATTCCGTTCCATCGTGTTTTTTGCACACAAGCTTAAATCTTATTAAATGGCTTGTTAAATCATATGCAATCATCAAACGAAAAGGATACTCGCATAGATGTCAGGTATGAGCAAAATGCAACCTTTACCGGCGTAAAGGTAGGCGGCAAAAAGAGAGAGAGAGAGTGGATCTATATCTTCTTTGCTTATGTGAGCAAGCCAAAAATAGTTGTGGAAAACTTTGGTGGTGCTGTAACCCTTTGAAGAGCATAAGTTGGTTAAGGCAAGTGTAGCGAGTTCAAATGTCAGTTTAATAACCGGTTTACGTTCCGAAATCGAGGGCAAAGTGCCCAATGGGAGAGGTGAAGTGAACGAAGGTAGGCATGCTCATCACATATGAATTTATGCACTAAGAGGCAGTACCTATTAGATAGGGCGATGACCCACCGCACAGAGAGCTTGAGGTAGTACGCTAGTATCAAATCCAAGTCAATAACAATTGAGTTTGATTGCTTTACTGGTTTTTAGGAATGCGATTTAATCCAATTGATTTCTGTACCTTTGAGCGAATATACAAATGTGCAATTAATCACAGAGGTCGAGTACAATCCCACCATTGGAAGCAAAGCAATCCTCTTATTTGCATATGCCAAAAATCGTAAGACCTAGCTTTTCGTTTATTTTGCCGACCGCAAAACCAGAGGCTTGTAATTGTAAGGCACGAGTTTTTCTAGCGTGTGAAATTGCATAAAATCGTACGCAATAAATCCTTATGTGCGTAATTAAAAGGAACAAATTTATGCTAAATATGTTCTAATGCTGCCCATCAAAATTGCCTTAATTTTAGTAAAGTTAGCGCTGTTCAAATGTAATAAAGCTCAGGATTTTTACTTGAAAAAAAAGAACAGCACGATCAGAGAAGTCTGTGGAAACTTCTTTTGGTCATATTACCAACTGTACTTTATGGTACAAGCCCATCATTTTACCAACGGATCAACCATTCACATCTTAGTGCTGTTTCTCGTTTGTGTTATATGTTCAATGTCACTGCCCTACCTCTCAGGTTATGCAGCGTGCGGAGCTTCTGGAGTCCCTTCTTGAGGTATCAACAAATGAAGAATGTACTTGCCAACTAAAAAACGAACTCGGCCAGTATTTCAACCTTATGGTGGGTGTTATCTTGGAATCGGCCAATTTACTACCTCCACAGGCATTGGGTACATCCACTTTCAATCAATGTATCTTTAGCCTCGGACAAACTGTTTCACCTATCCGTCAAGTGTCTCATTAACTTTTGTGCAAATGAAGACCTAGCAAGGTTGTTATTTGACTGCAGTAAAAAGCAACAAAGGGAGAAGTTGCTAGAAAGTCTAGCATCATTCTCCTTTTGCGATGCTGATAAAGAAGTCAGACTCCTCACCACCTCTCTTCTGGTCAATTTAACTACCTTAGCTGAGTGGGCGAGCGTCTTCTGTGACGCGCCTTACGCAGCTCCACTTTGTAAAAAAATAGCTGCCAAACGAAGACCTCCCTGTATCGAATTGAAGGTGTGATACTGAAATGTACTACTTGATGGAGGGTATTTAGCTCCTTCTCAATTTGACCTCTGTGCGGAGCATGCGTCAGCGTATATGTGATGGACAAATCCACTTGTCTTTACTCGTTTCGCTTCTGCCTGAACTGCAGGATACGGCTTCCCGTCTTACAATTGCTGGTATCTTGAAGAATTGTTGCTTCGAGGAGGGTAATTCACCACTTTTGCATATAGTTTGAGTCACTAGAGTACCATGGACGCTTGTGCTATCATTCAGATGACATGATAGTCAGCGCTCTCATTGTCTTATGTGATGCAAATGATGTTATTAAAGATGAAGATTTGTGCAAGCTTCCACCTCCAATTCGCGAGGTCTACCATTCGAGGTCTGCAAAAAGGGAATCTGATGTCTTGGTTAAAACTACGATTTGTGAGGCCTTGTTGCAGGTGATCACAAATATTCATTTTGTCATTTAACCCTACTATTAGCTCTGCGCGACTAAAACTGGGCGTCAGTACCTTCGAAGCCTTGGGCTTTACTTCATACTACGAGAAATGCACCGTTTCGAGTGCGACGAGGAAAATATCCTAAAGACAACGAAACAAGGGAAGGAATTGTTAACTCAGAAGAATTTGGTTTTTGTCGTTGAGCATGTGGTGGACCAACTTATTTGTGAGGAAAATGAGCGTCCTAAAGACTATTCTAGCCTCCGAGATGTACCCATTGATAAGGAGACGGAGGAGAAGCTAGACAAAGCTAAGTCTGCTTATTTTAATTCAACTTGATGTACACATTGTAAGTTAACGCATCCATTGTCTTGCCTATGAGATCAGTTTTGGAAAGATAATGTGCCTAATTTTGTTAAATTTGGGATGGGGTGGAAAAGGACACAGATTCGGTCCAGAAAACAATGCACATGAGCTGCTGCAATGGTTGTGCTTGTGATGTTATGATGGGAATGGTCGTGTCAGCGTGGTTTTATCGGTCCATTTCGCTGCACTGGTATTGTGACACCTCGTCAATAATTAGTGGATCTGCAAAATAGCATTTACTTTCTGAAGGCGGCTCTATAACCCTAATGGGGTGCTGTATTTCAACGCGGATGGTGCAGTCTTTCATTGGCAACGCGTACTTGTGCGGTGATCATGAACTATCTGAGGTCGTCTGGCAATCCTGTCATCATGTCAGATGTGCGTTTGTCTTGCAGAACCATTTGCTAAGCATCCTTGGGGGGGAGTAGACGGAAGTCCAGGTTACAGGCTACGGTGCTCGATGTAGCTGTCCGCTTCCATTCAAACGGATGACAGGATCTAGTGAAAGGGCTGGCTTTGATTCTTGCTCGTCGAAATCGCTGGGTGAGTCTTGGGTCTGCATCAAGAACATTTCAAAATTTTTTGCTTCCTCTCTTCTTCTTAAATTACTAGGCGTTGTACACAGACACTTCCAATCAATTACCATCGGTTCTACCAAGGCTGGAAAATTAACTTTATTGCGACACTGAGGTCCTTTAAAGTCGCCGATTGGAGCTCACCCTGCGTCTACTTTGATAGGATCGTGGAACTTGCAATGCTTAGGAATGTTTTGAGCTATTAAGATAAGTGGAAGATACAACCCAAAATTTGGTTGGAGGATTAACGCATGGCAAGTGACAAGTCGGATTGCGATTGCTACCATTGGTGGAGAGACTCGAATGCTTTGCTCTGATTGGACGAATTTTGCCCAGCGTAACAGTTATGCTAATCCAATGCACCCAAGCGTTTCGTAAGTTGGTCAAGAGACCACTGCCTTTCCATTTGGTTGAACAGCGTCTAAACAGATTTTTTTTGACGTGGAGGCGTATGTCACTGTTGTGGTAGAGGGAGGCCTGGAGTGACCTATGCTTCTCCTAGTTTGGTGTTTAGGCCTGTCAGCAGTCTCTATCCCTACTATCGAAGCACATGTAGGATTATACTTACGAAACTGTTGCACGCAACTTCCATCAGCTCCTCATTGAGAATACTAAGCGGGTCGAGACTTCGTGGGGTAAATTCTTGACAGGTCAGTAGCCGATAATCGTTTTGGTCAACTCTGTCTTGATTTGTGCCATTTCAAAAGGCTGCTAATTAAATAGGTGGTAATTTAACCAAGTGAGTATCAGTAGCGCCACTCTCTACTGTGGTGATTACGATCCCTTTCTTGTAGACGTTTTGCAGATGCGTGACCCAAAGAAATTCATACTCAACTGTTTTCAAGTACAGTATCATCCCACTACCATTAAGTTGGGACCGGGTCAGCTTTTCAGGTAAGACGCGTTTGACACATCCCCTTTCATAAGCGATCCTGTTGTGGGCTATGCACATCAGGTCAAATTCCTTAAAGGTCTGGTTCAAGACGGGTTTTACATAAAGTTAGCATCTTCAAGTTCCACAGAACTGCATTCAAAAGGCATGAGCAATTACATTCACCACAGCACAGCTGCAAATGGAAAATTGAAGGTGGTAAATAGCAAAGCGGGTTATTATCACTGGCCTAGATTGGTTACTTGGGGGGCTGGGTCGAATGGCGTGATCCTGCGAGACGAATAACAATGCCACTACTCCCCATCTTGAGGCATTGGCTTCAAAAGACAGGTCTAACGAACGCAGACTCAATGTCCAAATGAGCAACGTCATGACAACATTTCAGTTGCATGAACTGACTTATCTTACAGACGACTTTTCTTAGTACAGCTTTAGCAGCACAGCGTCGCCTTCAGCGCATTCATTTAGCATTCAAAGTGTAAATGATTTCAACGTGCAGTTTGACGCAAAAATTTACATGAACCCTTAAACAGACGACTTCGATGAGTTTTGTCCAACTTCAAGCCATGCATTCAGTAATTAAAGCGCATATTACATTAAGCCACTCTTACGATTACGTACCAGGCTGTATTTAACAACACTCCGAATAATGCAATTCGTGTGGTACGAGGTAAACTACAAAACTGTGACACCAATGACACCCACTGTCAGTTGGAGAGAGGTAGATTAGTGCATAACGTTAATGAGAGTATTTGCTGTGCATGTCTAAAAATTGGTCTCCTAAGCAGTGGTTCCAACTAGGGCGTCCGTGTTCACCTACACTCACACTGAAACTTTCCATGTGAAACGATTAACTATGAAGCTGTGGGCGTTGTCACCAGGACTCCTCAAGGCTCTCACTTATTGTACCTAAAAACTGCTAACAAATGACCGGTGTTAATTGTTACCAAGCCGCCACAATTTATAAATCCCATTAAGCATCGTTTAATTAGTGTAGGGCACAAAAAAATATACAATTTAATTGGACGTGCATGCTACTTATATGGTTGCCCTATTTAAGTAGGCACCTGTTGGCTAAGCAATATACAAAATGATTATCGATTCATTCTTAAGGCGTTGTTTCCGCCTTGTCCCAAAAGATCAAAATTTTGGGTCGCCAAATGATTGTTTGTCAAAAATGGCTTCTTACTGACCCTGACTTAATAAATAATTGTCTCGCCATCAGGTGTGGTTGGCATTGGCAAACAACGGCTCCAAGACCTTCATCCAAATCCTTACAGAGTAATAAGAACTGTATCAGCCGATAGTTAATAATTGTGATTCTAGGTTTCTCATAAAAAAGGCGTTCCTCCTTTTAAGGATACAATATTATTTTGAATTTGATCAAAATCCACATAGTTGAGGATTTCATGCATTATTTGTAGCATGTCGAGACTTTACATTTCGTTGTAGACGACATAAGACTTGGCTGAGTACCTGTAATGAGGGAGATGCAGGAGTGGGACATGACCAGCAGACCATCCCGCCCGACAAAAGCAATATGGCCAGCAAAGTGTTAGCTAAGCAATCAGGCGGTTACATAAGTAAATGTTACCTACACGCTTCTGCCGCTAATTTCACTGCGTCTTCATTAAGGCAGGGCAGTTAGCTCTTAGAAGCTGCCTTTTAGCGACGTCTTCATCGCGAGAGATCCATAAATTGTTACAGATTTCTGTAGGCAAATATAGCATTAAAAATAGCTGGCAAGGTATTTTAGCGCGTGATATTTGCTTCAACTAATTTTCATTTTCATTCACCCTGGATTTGAATTTCGTGAAGTTGATACTAGGAATGTTAATATGGTAAAAAACTGTAAGTCTGTGGACAATTACAGGTTTACAGTTAAGGACGTTTTGCTATGAACCCGTCGTGCACATCTCTGTGGCTCCGTACTTCTGTCAACAACTTTAGCTTTGTATACCAATTATATATGATCTTACAAAAAAAAGGATTCCACTGTACTTTCTGCCAAATTTGGCACAAAAATGTGCGACTAAGATCGCGATCCAAAACTTATTGATTGGGTAGAGTTATTATTTTCTACTTCTAGCTGCAAGTCCGGACACCTTTGCGAATCTGAAATGCCCCATTAACAGTATTAGCAGTGTTTATCCTCTCTTCATCGCCCGTAATTTTAGTTCCTAGATTGCTTCAATATTTCGGATGGATACTACTGTTGCAAGTAACTTTTTGATTCGTCTATTTTTCCACCAATCAATACAACGCCGTTCGATTTATAACCAATCACAGCACACGCAATGGGGCCCCTTAATTGGCTAATGTGGCAGCTGCAAACGGTACCATCCCCTTTCTCTGGCTCATTTTCTTCAAGTTCGTTGGTGGCACTGCTTAATTTCAACATCAATTTTCCAAATTACCTCATATCGTACATTGGCTGCTGTGTCAACAATGCGGACACACAATCCTAACAGCTCTTTGTGATGGACTCTTATGGTCAAGTTGGTAGGACTTTGATCTCCAAAATCGGAACTCTCAACACTTTCCTTCGCTATTAGTGGAGACCCAGTAGTAATAGTTTCTGTGTCTACTCGAAGTAATTTAATATAGTCATTTGCTGTTGCAATGGGACCATTCGAATGCTCCGTCACGATTTGCGGATTTTAAGTGCAATTTTTTAAGTTACTAAGAAGTGAACTATAAACCAATCTAATGCTGCTTTTCGGCCAGATCTAATGTCATTTGCGATATACTTTTTTCCGTAGGCATCGAGTTGGGTAAGAGTATAGAGGAATCTACAGGGAGCAAGTCGCCCCTCGACGAGTCATTTGTCAGTGTAAACAACCTTGTCCCGCATAAACATGGCGTCTGTAAGGTCGATTTTGAGAAAAGATTACAATTTACTGTACCAAATCAAAGCGACTCCGATGGTGAGAATTTCCTAGTTGCAATTTCCTTCCTCCTCGAACATTTTTGTGACTGAACGAGCAGGAAAGGTGACATTGTTTACAGTAAGCTGTTGCCGGATATGAAGAGATTTCCGTACTTGCCCTTGGGCAAACTCAGCACAAAGCAGTCTCATTTCATGCCATTTCCTAAAAAAAGCATCTAAAAGCGGAGATGTAGCCAAAAACTGGGCGAATTTCATGCCATTACCTTCTCTGATAAATCGCTTCTCATACTGAAGCTGTGTGCAACAAAATGGGGAATTGACAACGAACTAATAAACGTAGTGCTTTAAGACCGATACTTTTCCCCATTCGAAAATTCTGTTGTTCCCCATTGTCAAGACGTTGACTGTAATTGGATCAAATGTTTCTTAATGTACAGGCTGCCAGGGCGATGCGGTCCTGACTCCGACGGTGGCACTTGTCATCGAAAATCCTCACATTTACCCCTCCCCGCGATGGGCTTTCGCTTCAGACTGTCACATTTTGAAAAAGTAAGGAGCTGGTGTGTGAAAAAGAAATATATGGATAGGAACATCATTGGATGTCTGCTTTCACACAAGTTTGCCCCAATCTGATCAACCTATGTCCGACAACGAGGTGTCCTTTTAAACGTGTGGACTTAGGATGAGACGAGTCTCCAAACTCGTCGTTTTTGTTGGTAAAAATCTTTTATAGCTTAATATTGTAATTCTGGTCGAGTTTACAGATGAAGGATTGGGCGCCAGTCGCACGAACAGCACTGGGGAAATATTGAATGGCGAATTGCATTGTTTTTGAGCCCAACATTGGTAAATGGGCGTCTCTGATGATCGGTTGCTGTGAATTCTGTGGTCGAATGACCATTTGTGCCACCGTTCTGACCATGGCGGTTTGAAGACGTGGTCATAAAAATAAGGAGAATTAACTTTAGACGTTAACACTCCTCCTAAGATTTTTATTGGTCAATACAAACACTGAAGTCCTCTACCTCGACTTACATCCTCCTTTCTCATCTTCGAATCGAGGTAGCTGGTGGATTAAACAATCTTAACGGTATGGGATTGGGTTTTTGTGGAGAAAAAAAAGAAAATTGTCCAAGCATTGCGTACAATTTTTTTGGGAGTAACAGTCATGTTGTCAAAATGAGTCGTCAAGTCCATCGCGGTTCCGCCAGCACAAAGCAGGCAGTAGCCTGCCTTGTAAGAAGTCTTCAAGGCAAGGACTTAAGGGTTTGGAGGCAAAGGCCTTATGATTTGTCTTTAAGTTGGTAATTTTAGCCCTACAATTTCCCTAACTCTCCGATTTTTGAATGTTATGAAGCCTTAAGCGATGATTGTCAGTAGGCTCTGTGTGCCACTACTGCTGACTTATGCGTGTTACTCTATTTATGACTGATTTGATTACAGATTCAATGGTTTCTTTCTGTTCTTTATAGAAGTTTTGAAAGCGATAAAATCTCGAGTTATAACCTGTTTCCAGCTTTCGTGCGCTCTAATTTATTTAAATTTAGGCACCGTTCTTATTGCAGTATGAATGTTGGGAAATCAATTAATCATCATCTTGCATCGCAGCTGCTCCCCAGATTAGCTGCCACCTTGGTCACTTAGATATGAATTCACTTATCCTTAGTTGAGACGATTTTTCAATGAGGGTAGTCCTCATTTCGCAACCCTCCGACCATGGCTGCAATGGCTAATTTCGAAAAATAGAGACAACGAAGGAAGCAGAGATTTAACTCATTAAAGATGGAAGGCTTATAATCTAATAAAGACTACTAGATGGCTTTGTATTTGCATTGATAAGATTGTACGGTTTAAAAAGGGGTAATTATGATTGCTGCGTCCGAGATTTTTGTGTGACACTCAAACAGCAAGAAAATTTAGCCTCCAAAGGCACCGTTATTGCTAAGACACAATTCAGACACTAGGTCCAGTTAACCTTTAAATAAGCATTTCCACAGACGAATTTTGCCGCTGGCTAGCGAAATCAACCCATGATGTAATGCTTTAATGCGAATCGAAAAAATAACGTTTACTTATTTTTATAAGTAGAGTCTTTTAACTAAGACTTATTTTACTGAAGCTTGTGTTCACATATTTTGTTAGCAAAATCTGCTAGATTTCCCATTAAAATAATGAGTTTTCATTTTAACTGCTTTTTTAGAAAATTGTGTCATGAAACTTTTAAAACTCAAACTATTAAATGCTGTGGATCCACATTGGCTTATCAAAAATGTACGCACTACCTCTTCATAGAAAAAGTTTATAAATCGGGTGTCTACCAAGTGGACTGGATGCCTTTGTATATCAAATTTTGCAGTAAGTAATTAGATTCGAAGTTGATTTGAAGAAGGCTTAAGTTACTCACAAACAGTGAATAGACAGTATGCGCATTTTGATTGGTAAGTGTCTAATTACTATACCATCGATTAGTATGCAGAGGGGTTTGCAGGGTTACACCCATTTTAGCCTTGCTAATATTTGCTTCAACTTCTTTTTAAGGGTTCAGAGGTCTTCGGAAACCTCTTCTCGACTCAGTAACCCTTTTGGCACAGATACGCTGCCGCCTTTAAAATGGAATCTTCTCGAATAAATTAGAAGTAGTTATTGGGCCAGCATTTGCGGGCAGAATCGAATCATTTAATTTAGTACTTTTAATTTTCCCTATGATACACTGCAATGTACTTTCATTTGCAAGCAATACATCGGCTCTTGGACGATGTCGCTTCCAAACTCATGAGAGTACCACCATTCGCATAGCTAATCAAACACCCGAAATCCATTTTATCTATTTGACCTTGGATGGTTGAAAATCAGAGTACATAGTAACTCCGATTTTCGATTGGACAAGTGGCCGACCAATAATAAAAGCGAAAATTAACTTACACAACGGGAAAAGGGGAATGGTAAATATATGTGTACTTTTGAGGCCTCTTAGAGTGTCATGATAGTTTTAACTTAATGACACTATTTGTGAATCACCTCGAGTTCCAATCAGATCATAAAAGTGTCAGACTCACGTAAGCTTTGAGCACTCATTCGGTAGACAGCCAATCAAAGTGTCGAGTGTCTTGCCAATCAGAGAGTTAATGGAATGATCTATAAAATATGGCATTTCACTTTGTGAAAGGTAGATACTTCGATTCGAATGGCGAAGAAGGAGAAGAAGGAGAAGAAGGAGAAAAAGCAGAAGAAGGAAAAGAAGGAAAAGAAGGAGAAAAAATCGAAGAAAGATAAGAAGGAGAAAGAGCACACAAGCAGCAGTGACAAGAAATGTGAACGCACGATCCAACGTTTGAATGTAGCAATATGTGGACATCCCGATGTTGTCGAAATGTACATGTTTAAGGTAAGTCTATCTTCTGCTCTTGCTGACCCTACTTGTGATGCTTACAGAACAACGAATTGAACGTCCCCATCGATGATTATCAAGTAAACATCGACCCGGATCCTGCAACTAATTCAGATGGTCAAGTGACCGATAGGGACGCCGACCTCTTTCTCTGTGTCTACGATGTGCGCAAGCCTGCTTCCGTCGATTTCCTAAAGGCAAAGGTAATTCGTACATTTTGTTGTCTTTTAACATGTTGCGTTTTAGGTTTTACCAGGAGTCAAGGAGTTGAACAAGGCAATGGCGGTTGCAGGATTGGGTTTGGAGTATAGAATGGGTGGAAATACTGACATCATCAGTAGTGGAACTGCCACCGCATTGGCCAAACAGTATGGATGTAAAGGGACAGAACTAATCTCCTGTGAAGGCGTAAGTACCATTCTCATTTGCCCTCCTTCCCTCATTGTCAAAAGAAATTCAATTGATGCTGGTTCGGTCTCCTTTCGTAGGACCAGTTGGCGGCTGGGACTTATTCCCTATACGTAGCAACGCACCCTGAGATGTTTAACAAGGAGTCAGATGAAGTGGATGAGGATGGCGGTAAAAAGAAAGAGGACAAAAAGCACAAGAAGGATGAAAAGCATAAGAAGGATAAAAAGCATAAGAAGGATAAGAAGGACGAGAAAGACAAAAAAGAAAAGAAGAAGAAAGACAAAAAGAAAAAGAAGAAGGAATGAGTTAGCATTTGTAACATGTCAACTTCCTAGCCCTCCTTCATCCTTCGCGATCCATTGTGTTCAATCTCATTTGTCAGTCTGTCTGCATATGCTGGCTTTTTTCATTCCTTCAGCCTAATTAATCACTCTTCTCCTTGTATTGCGCCCAGTGACACGCCTTCAAAGTCCTTCTTGTCAAAACGTTCATTTCTTGCCCGCTCTTTCGAATTTTACCTTTAAAAAACCCGACTTTGTGGATGTCACTTGAGATTTGTCACCGGTACTTTATATATATGTATTATGCTTTCTTACACATAAACTCCTGCAAGATCTCTGAGCTATTGTTTTTTTTATGAAGGAGTCCATCCAGAAGAGCAGTTATTTAGAAGTTCACAGGTGAAACAATATTTCCACAGCATTATTTTTCAATATTTTGAAAGGTAGTAAGTATAGGATGTCCATTAGGCATCAGCAATTACTACATACTGGTTTTCGAAATCGTAAATATTTACTTAAAATGTGACAAAATCATTTATATTTAGGTATTAGCGTATCTCATCACTGCAATAAAGTCTCATCAATTTTTTTAACAATGACAACTTAGTTTAATAAGAGTACGTTTCTTTGAAAAAACCTTTTAACTACCAATAATGAACTTCGAGAATTTCCTTCCGATTGGACAATTAAGTGGCCAATTGGAAAGTCGGTCAGCTGTCCAATGGGAGTATTACACAAGGGTAATGAGAAAAGTGGAGAAAAATTGAAGCGAATACTATGGCAAGTCTGTGAGCACATTAAAATGTGCCAGATCCAGTGTAACATCCAATTAAATTATGTTGCTAGCGTGTGGACACATACGTGTGAAGTGCAAAAGAGCCAATTAGGAAGTTGTATGCAATTGCCAATCATAAGGCAAATAGTTTGACCTATAAAGTGAAGCACTTGACATTGCAAAGGTTCAACAGTTCACTTCCGATGCCAAGGAAGGGGAAGTCAAAGAAGGAAAACAATGATAAAAGTAGCTTCCATGAGCAAACACTGCGATTGCACATCGCGGTATGCGGCGAACCTCAAGTAATCGACTTGTTTACAAGAAAGGTAGGCGTGTGTGTTTGTCTGCACGTTGTGTCGTGCTTGGGCCCAATTTTTATCTCTTTATAGAGGTCCGACTTGAATGTTCTAGTCGACAAGTACCAAGTGTCCATTTACGTCGATCCAGGAAATGACGAGAGTGGCAAGATGGTAGCTAAAGACTCAGATTTCTTCCTCTGTGTCTACGACATATGCAATCGTAAGTCGGTGGATTTTCTCAAGAACAAGGTACACTGACACACTAATTATGTGACCTTTAGGTGTTGGACGAAGTGAAGGACTTAAAGAAGCCCATGGGTGTTGCTGGATTGGGACTGGAGTATAGAACTAATGGTGGAAAAGAACTTGTAGAAGTTGGCACTGCTGCTGCATTAGCCAAAAAATATGGTTGCAAAGGCGCTGAACTTATCTCCTGCGATGGAGTATGTAGTTTCGTCCCCCCTTTTTAATGCTCTTTGTGATGAATGGCCCTAGGATTGAATACTACTTGACATTTAACAGGGCCAGATGGCAGCTGGAACGTTCTGTCTCTATGCCCTAACAAAGCCGGAACAATTTGACATCGACTTAGGCGAGGAAGAAGAAACAGAAAGTGGAGGCGGGAAGAAATCGAAGAAAAACAAAAAGAAGTCCAAAAAAGAAAAGAATTAAAATCTTGTTCATGATCATCATTTCTACTTTTAATTTGCTTCGTCCCTTTTGTCAGTTAGCCTGACAATCTTTGATTTTCTCTTGGCATTCTCTTAATCTCCACCTCACTTGTTATCCCAATCCCGGTAAAAAGAAAGATTATTTTATTTCTCAACTCTTTGTCGGATAAAGGAAATTCATGCTTAAAATGGCTTCTCGGAAAGACTCTCAGCTTCGGTGGCTAGAGTGTGTGTGTGTGTGACTAGTAAAGCTAAAAGGCTTGATGGGGCGTTGCACGTCACCTGCCTTACAAAATTGTGTCAGAGTACCTAGAGTACCTTTGGAACATCAAAGAGTAAGTAAAGGGGAAGAGAATTCACACCCGAGTTTTGTGATAGGAGAGGTTAAAATTCATTTTCTTGATTCTAAGACATCCAATTACTAAAAGGTTACTCTTGAAAAAGTTGATAGTTGAAACATTCCTAAAATGAAGTGCCACTCAGATAAGACCGAGAAAAATGGGTTAGAGAGAAAAACAAAGCTTAAAAGGCTCTCAGATACTATTGCGTGGAACGGAGATTGATAGAGACCTAAATGACAAAGATTTTAGAAGGCAATATATAATCTACAGGGTATAAAATGTGAGGAGGTTATTATCAGCGCGATTTTTCATTTCGATTGCGGTCACCGTCTCTCTCAACTCTCCACACCATTCGAATTATTGTCTTAACTCAAAGCACTTTAGTGTTTTATGCCTATTTACTTAGAGTATTTGCGCCCACCCTTAAGGAACCAAGTGAGCTCTCAAAAATGGCGAAATTTTAATTTTGCACCATAGCGGACTCCTGATTGGACAATAGAATCATTTGCAGATTAGCTTTAAATTTGACCAATCAGGAGGAGGCATAAACAGAGTGTCCAAATACTAGCCAATGAGAAGCATCCTCTTAAAAATTCAACGTTTAAGTCCATTAATGCCTCAATCGTAGCGTAGAATGCGGAACGTTTTTTCTATTAGAAGAAAAGTTAAGGCTGGTTGCATTCCATTAGTCTGGCATTGCAAATAGTTAACACGGTTCTGAAGGCAAATATAGAATGGATTATTCAAACCAAATTAACCCATATTTAAATCAGAAGGTAACAAACGAAATCTCTAAAGACAGCCTTGGCAGTGACAAGAGGGATGAACATGTGAATACACTATCCCAAAATGAAGATCGGATTTGCATTCTTCTCTTTATACATTTATTACGGGTGCGGTATAGATGACCACCGACACAACCCCATTGCATGGTGATATGTCCAACAATCCACCCCTGCGAAGTATTGGCAACCTCATTCAAATTAATTTAGCCTTTGCATCGGTTTAACATGCTTAAGCGTTTTGATGGTCAGTTCAGTTATACACCTCATGAGAGGCGTAGTTCCAGAAGGAAGCGTAAAATTCTTCCATATCCTAGAATCAGATAAGTAAAAAATCTCAATGCCGCTGCCACCAACGCCGCAACGTCTCTTTACTGATCATATGTGCGAAAAAAATTCACAGAGCTCGCATTCGCTGCACATTTTGTAGAGGAACAAGCTTATGTTTATGGCCACCCCATTGTGAAAGGTGACACTATGATTGATCAGCAACATTGCTTCGTTTACCACAAGAGTCAAGTAGACAACATGATTTTATCATCATTATGCCAACAGATGACACTCTTTAGGGTTGGTATTCGCAGTATCATATCCCGAGATTGTACTATGATGATCATAGCCAGAGCGGACACATTTTGAAGGACATTCGGTAGATCAACCAATTATTTTCTCCAACTTTTAGAACCTTTAGTTGTGCTCAATTTCAGTCCACCCTTGTTAATTTCAAATGCCTGGTCTCCAAGATAGCCATCCATCAACCTCGCTTCTAATTGGACGATGAGGCAGCCAATGAAAGCACTGCATTCACCATTAAATTTGATGTCCATTAGTATAAAGGAGTAGATGCCATTGGATAAAGCCTAATTAATTTTAACTATGAAGGTGGTGTAAACATGAAAAAATTCATGAGGTAAGAAAGAAGAGATTTAATTAAAGCCTGCAATATGGGGACTCACATGGACACACACACAGGGTGGGAATGAAATTAGGGTCAAATAACCAGTAGAACTAGAGACCCATCAATCATGGTTAGTGAGATAGACTATATAAAGGAAATTTAACCTCACTAAAGTGGGGACTCATACCTTTCTCATGTTAAAGAAAGAGAAAAAGACAAAGGAGAAGAAGCAGAAAGCGGAGAAGAAATCGAAGACAGATAAAGGTGAAAAAAATGGCAAACTGAATGGATGTACTAAGAAATTTAACAGTGAGACAATACGATTTTGTGTGGCTGTGTGTGGCGATCCGCAAGTTGTTGATTTATTTATTAAGAAGGTAAGTTACCCTTCATCACATCTTTTTCAACAGAACGGTGAATTAAATGCTGCGGTAGACAAGATTCGGGTGATTCTTGACGCTGATGCTGGCAATGATACGAATGGTAAAGTAATAATAAGAGGGGCTGACTTCTACTTGTGTGTCTACGATGTTCGTGATCGCAGGACAGTGGAGTTTCTTAAAACCAAGGTACAGAAATTACTTTCACTTCACTCACCCCATTAAAAGGTTATGCCAGAGGTGAGGGCATTGAACAAGAAGATAGCAATTGCTGGTCTGGGACTGGAATGCAGAGGTAGTGGAGGGAAAAATGAGGCTGAGATAGGCACAGCTGCACAATTGGCTAGGCTTTATGGATGCAAAGGCACTGAACTTATCTGCTGTGATGGAGTGAGTGGTTCCGCCTATTCGTCCCCTCTGTGTCAGTAACATTTTTCTCTTTACCATAAGTATCCTTTCTTCTTTCCTTTTTTTTTTCCATCGTCTAGCAACAACTGGCAGCTGGAACATTCTCGCTTTATACGGCTGCCTGCCCAGAGAAATTTAAGGACATCAGGCAATTTGGAATGGACCAGACAGAGGGCGAGACATCAAAGAAGGACAAGTTCAAGAAAGTGAAAAAAAAATAAAACGATGTGAATTTTTTCCCCTCCTCACCCGCCTGTGTCTTCCCAAAATGTGCTGTATTGCTAACAATACTTGGCACCAGTCCATCAGCCGTCATGTCATCCCATATAGTAATGGAAAAAGGAGGAAACCAAAAGGTTCTTTGTGTGTATGCTTGTGTGTGTGTTGGTGTGTTTTGGGGAGGTATTGAGAGCGAGGTTGTTGGAGGAGGCTTCAAACCCGTAGTAATGGTGGCCACGGCCCTCCGGCAATTGGGCGTGACAGCAGTGCCTGTAAGTCTATACGCATTGTCCAATAGTGGTGGAGGTGGTAGTGGCGGTGTGAGGTCCTGTCACACTGCTTTGATGGCGATCAGTTGCCACTTCACTTTGACACATGAAATGCCGTCATCGAAGGGATTCAGCTGCGCCGTTTTTGCTCCTACTCCTTTGACTCAATACGTCACTGTACTCATCATTTTGACCATCGAAATGCAGAGATGTTTGCATTGACGTCAAATGTCTATTCACTTGAAAGTGCCTTTATTTTACACTTTAGACACACACTCTTGACAGGTCGATTTGGCATCGTTAGATTATGTTTGCATGTCTAGTGGAAGATTGTGTGCTTGTTGGTGGCCTGATTGGGATGGATCTACGAGACCACTGCACGATCCTTTTGGTTAATCTTCCATGCCTATAATTTAGATCACCATTTGTGCTTTTGCGCCATACATATTTAACCATGAATTGCTTTAACGCACATGTTTGCCTATTGTTGCCGTGACAATTGCAGACAAAAATAAAGTTAACTGTAAGGATAGGATGATATACTGCAGATGGCAGCCGTTGTCAAATTTATTTGGATTAGAAGTTAGTTGCCAACTTAAACCCGGATGCGTCGGCTTTTCTAAGGAAATCATATGGACTGATTTGACGGTTCACAAGATGACACATTGACATATTGTGGAAGGAATCGATTCTTCTGACGCAAATCAAAGGAGTCCTTATGAGTAACACTTTACTGAGGCGTCGATTGCAACAACTTTTAGGCATGCATTTTGGCTGTTTAATTCTCATTGGCCACCATCGACCACGTTTGCCGTTCCTTTCGCCCATCAGTCAAGTCATCAACCAATCAAAAAGTGGCACAATTGTCCAATTGGATTGCTGGCTTTGCCTAAGCGCCACTTTTATCACCTTTTACACTAATTGCTAAATCTTAAAGTTATTTCTAAAGCGCTGATAAAATGAAGGGCCTACAGTGTTGTTGCTTGTAAATTCCACAAAAAGAGAGACAGATAGACACACTCCGATAGAATGTCTTCTAAGTTCGTAGAAGAAAACAATGAACATTTCGCAAATCACTTTGCCAATCAGATTAATTGAGATGGAATATAAAAAATGGCAATAAATGTGCAAAAATTCAAGCAGTGCGCTTATAATGTTGAGGAAAGATAAGCTTGTGAGGGAGGAGAAGAAAGACAAGTATTCTAAGGTACGTTAATGAGATGGCTAAAAAAATGCAAAGCAGAGGCCGATTCTGGAGAATGTTTATTTAAGTGTGGTGGTGTGTGGCAGTCCTCAAGCCATAGACTTGTTTATGAAGAAGGTAAGCATGTGCGTGTTGTAGATCGTTCGGAGTCTTACGGCTTCTTTCAATACAGAATGGGGAGTTGAACGTTAAGGTGGATAAGTACCAGGTGAGCATTAACGCAGCTCCTGGGAATGACTGGAATGGTAAATTATTCGGCGTTGAAGCCGATCTTATGCTTTGTGTCTATGATATCTGCAACCGTGAGACAGTCGAATTTTTGCGGTACAAAGTATGTTCATTTTGTACACTAAAGTGGTCTCTTCTTAGGTCCTACCATACGTCAAAGCACTTAACAAGAAAATGGCAATTGCCGGACTGGGATTGGAATGCCGAGGTGGTGGTAGATGGAATGAAACTGGAGTAGGAACAGCTGCTCAACTGGCTAGGTACTACAATTGTGGAAGTACTGAGCTTATTTGTTGTGATGGGGTAAGCGGTCATCGCATTTCCTTTTGGAAAAGATATGTTATCACAAGTTTTCACCCATATTTCTCATTATTTAGCATCAAATGGCAGCTGGAATTTTCTCTCTTTATGCGGCTGCGTATCCGGAAAGGTTTAGGGAGGTTAACAGATCTCCCAATGAGGAAGAAAGAGAGCACTTTAGAAGGGAGAAGACAAAATAAGAGGCATACTTTGTCAATTCTGCTTTACTTTCATCTTACGTCTTTTTTAAAACTTTTTTGAAATGCATATATCGATAAATGTCTGTCCCTTTTTTTATAAGACGAGGTGTTTTGGCTTACGCCTGAAAGCATTCTGAGTCCTTTAGCAGAGATGAGTTAAAAGGCATTACAACTGCTCTTTACTCTATTTTTCTACCAATCTTACAGCAAGAGACGCATGCTACTAAAATCGAGCAATGGATGAATTAAGTAGTAGATTCGAACCAATGAAGGGATTGCATTAATGCACACGGACACGCAAACAAGAGGTGAGAAAATAAGGTAGAATAAAAAACCCAATCAAAGAATAAAAAAGTTTGCCAATCAGAGAGGACTTTAATCGTCTATAAAAAAGCTATCAACTCTGATGGGCAGATAGTATAATATTTTGATGGCGCTAGGTACGAAAAGCAAAGACACCTCAAAAGAGAGGGCGCACAAGAAGAAATCCAAAATTGACAAAATAAAGAAACACAAGGAAAGAAAGAATGAAAGGGATACAGAGTCAAAGGACAAGAAAATTCAAACGGTGATCAAAAAAGAGACACCTTTGAGTATGTACGTCTGTGGCCATCCAAATGTCATTGAGATGTTTATGCAAAAGGCAAGCGTGATGTCTGTGACTTCTAATCTTGCAGACAAATGAGTTGAATTTTGATGTGGATGAATATCGAGTGAATTTTAACATCTATCCGGGAAACACCGATGATGGTCAATTGAACAGCGGGGATGCTGATTTCTTCCTTTGTGTCTACGATGTTAGAAATTCTGATACGGTGGACTTTCTAAGACAGATAGTAAGTCGGACATAAAGAATTGTGTCAGTTGCTTCTCTACTAGATTTTGCCGAAAGTAAAGGCCTTAAATAAGGGGATGGCGGTGGCTGGTCTGGGGCTGGAGTACAGAAACGATGAGAATAGCAAACTAATCACCGCCGACACAGTCAGCAAACTTATTAGTCAATTTGGATGCAAGGGAGCTGAGCTTGTCTACTGTGATAAAGTAAGCAATTCTTCCTGCTTTACCAAATAGACTAATCTAACGAATTACTTTTGTGCCACCTCCTAGAAGCAGATGGGAGCAGGAGCGTTTGCTCTCTACGCTGCCGCCAACCCGGAGGAGTTCCTTGAAACCACTAAAAAAGATGACGAGTACAAGGAGAAGGATGATGGCAAGAAAATGAAAAAGAAGAAGAAGAGGGAGAAGAAGGACGAGAAGGAGAAGAAAGAGAAGAGGGAGAAAGAGAAGAAGAAGAAGAAGGACGAACACGGAAAAGAGAAGATACCTAAAAAAGAAAAGAACAAAGAATAATGGCTTTGCATTTTTTTGGCCCTCTTCCCTTTCCTTGAATATGTATTTTGCCTGTTTCCCTAGCTAAGCCATCTCTAAGGTACTGGGAAAATAGTTACATTCGTTCTTTGAATTCCCGAGCACGAAAAGGCGGCAGTCATTGCGAACCCTCCATCCCCTGTCGCATTTTCTTTTCCTTTATTTTCATGAAAAATGCTTGCTGATACTGATGAGAGAAAAAGGAGGAACATCTGCCTCTCCTTTAACGCATTCTTCCTCCTCTTTAGCGAAGAAAGTGTAGAGGGTGAAGTGTGAATAACTGGAAGCACATAAAACACTCATAAAATGGAGAGAAATGTTAAAGGAAGAGGGGGTGTATCAAAAAGGCAAATTCGGAAAAAAAGGTGAATAAAATTTGTGAGGGATGTTTTGTTCACTTTGAGAAAAGGCAAAATAAAAATAAGCTAAATGGACAATACTTAGTCCTCCTGTATAGAGTGTGGATAGGGGAGACAAACAAGCTCACTGTCCGATTGGACGAGGGAGTGGCCTTCCCACGAACCAATCAGAGGATCGATTGGTCTGTCACTCAGATGTCAATTGATATGAGCTATAAAATGATGAATTTCACTTTGTGGTGACTGTATCGGTTCTATTCCATGGCACCGAAGAAGGACAAGGATCCTAGAGCTAAGGAAAAACTTTTTAAAGAGGATAGGTTTCGAAGGTTTGACCGGGGTGATAAGGGCGACAGGAGACCAAAGAAGAGGGAGCGTGAGATCAAAAACGTGCATGTATGTGTGTGTGGTCTGCCAAGAGTTGTGGATTTGTACTTAAGACAGGTGAGCCTTTTGTCCGATTCCTGTGTATCTCCCTCTTCATTGATCTGACATCTCGTTCTTCTCCCACTCTCTCCTCGTAGGTCAATAACCTGTCTTGCACTACAGAAAGGTACATTGCGTACATTGATGCCACTCGTGGAAACGATGATGATGGTAGAGTGAATGCAACAAACGGGGATCTCGTACTCTGTGTCTACGATGTACGCGATCCCAGCTCTGTCGTCTATCTGACAGATAGGGTAGCTTTCCTTCCATCGTCTTATCTCCTCGCCTGTAGATTATGCCTCATTTGAGAGGCGGAAATGTTAAGATTGGCATAGCTGGATTGGGGGTGGAGAACCGAAGCGGTGGACAGGGTGAGACTGATATATTAACGGCTAGTCGACTGGCCAGGCAGTATGGTGCTCGCGGTACTGAATTAGTCTGCTGTGACGGGGTAAGTCATGCTCTTTACACAGGTGGTGTCCCCACGCCACCTTCTCCGATTGTTTTTGTTCACCGCCTTGCAGAACCAAATGGCAGCAGGAACCTTTGCGCTCTACGGTCAAGTCTGCCCTGAGGAGTTTGAAGACGAAGACGAACTGGATGATAAAGACAAAGACAAAGGCAGATTCAAGAGAAATAGAATTTGAATTAAAACATGATAATTTAGTATTTTACTTCCATCTTATCCTTTAAATTTTAACCTTCCCCCGTCTGTCGTCTTGTTAAATGACTAACCCCAACTTTTTCAATTTTAACGGCTAAATTACTTTGAGATATTTTAATTTTTACAACAGTAGAAGTTACATACATGTTACGTATTGTTTGCATTTTCTAAAAGGACGACAGTGGTGATAGCAGTTGTTGTTAAGGTGTCTGGGCTTCCCTATTCGGTTGACGGGAGCGTTACCCCTCCAATCTATGAGTGTAAGTAACACATGCTTAGTGCACCCAATTCATGCTAATTCAACACCGAAATTAAATTAAACGATGCCATACTACGATCTCGCGTTGATCCTGCTCCACTGAAAGCAATTAAGTCTGCGAGATTAGGCAGATTTACATCGCTTTACTTTACTCTCCGCAGCATGGACATCATTGCCACCAAACTCCAAACCACACCTAAATTTTACGCCTCAAAAACCGCGACAAGACCCAGCAATACTTATCGGAACCACATAGTGATAAGTTATTAACATTTTCAGATGATTGACAGTAGAGAGGGTATAAAAGAAGGGGCAAAATAGACCCCCCCCCCAAAAAAAATAACCATACAAGTGCACGACTGAGATGAGTGCCCCAATTCGATTGCACAAGCGTTTTAATTGATTTAGAGGTTCCGTCATACCCCTACTTCTGTAGCAAATAGGTCTATTAATATTTGCAAAAATTTTGGAGACCTTTCAATCAAATTTTGTTACTCTACATTTCTTGTAATTAGGAAAAAAGGAAAGATGTTCTTTTTAACATCCCATTATTCCCTCACGATAACCAAGGTCTTTTGTTTGGCCAGATGATTTCAAGATTTACCATAATTGTAACCTTTGCTTCGTTGAATGTTTAATTTCTTGATTAGCGCGATAATAATTGAATAGAGTTACCTTTAATGAGAGAAGGTTATGATGCTTCTACAAATTCTTCTTTGTTGCATCATCAAAGGCTATGAAGTTTTGATTGTGTTTAAGATCCGAGCCGGATCCTCAGCTTCTTCGATTAGCCCCAAAATAATTACAATGTTGGTTTACCTTTCACATAATCTTCTAGCCTCAATAGTCCTTAATCTCTTGCACTTGCTTTACTGCACCTTTTACCTCTCCTTATGCTTTACGATGAGATGAGGTTGGGAAGGATTCGGAAACAAAGGAGTGTCTCATGATTCTCCATGTTAATTGAATTACTTTTGGTGATTACACATACTAGAGAGAGAGTTAGAGAGTTGAATATTGAGTTTTGCCACAGCAATATCAGAAAAGAATCACTAGAATAGTTAAATAATTTAGTGGAATGGTGATTTAATCGGTTCGGTGAAATGAAATCAAGTTAATGCATTTCCTATAAGTTTTGGCATTATTACTGACACAAACATGCACTTGCTGAGAATTATAGTGGGGGAGTGAGAGGCGTCGCCTTATAGCAGTGACAGGGCTTTAAGGTGTGGTGGGTCAGATGGGGCAGCTTTGTTAGGGAATCAGGTATACGCACAAGTAGGGGGAGAAAAAGAAAAAAAGTGCTATTTGGTTGTTGGAAAATTTCCCAGAAATATGAAGTGCGAGTATGTACTATCTTAACTTTTTCTCACAATGATTTTTAATGAGTTGGAGGTTCTTATCGCTCCATCTGGTGAGAATTACTGCTTTATCACGCGATTGCATGGAGCCGAGGTAATAAGCGGTTTATGGAGCGAGGCGAACCCACAATAAAGTCCAAAGAAATTTGTCCTGTATTCAGCCATGCATCCCTTCGTCTCATCTTTTAATCCTACAACCTTTTAGCCTTAGCAATGTGGACCACACTGCATACTACCTTCGATACAATTTCTTCTCATTTGGTTTTCATAAAAAGCCATCACTACTACAACCAAAGTTCCCATGTTTCTGCGCAAGAATGCGCTCAGCACAAAATGGATTACAGAGAAATCTGATCTTTCACCATTTCTTCAGCAAACAACACAATGCTCACTTCCTGAAAATGCACAATTCCTTTTCGACATCTCCATAATGAGGTAAAAGTATCTAAACAAATAAAAATTGCACTTGTGAGGATTATTTAAAAACAACTCACCGACCTATCGGGATTTTACATTTTTACCTTGGCTCAACTTCAAGGGTGCCAAAGATGGCATCCACCGACACCCTCAGTGAAGGAGCTGCTTTCCATCCGAAAACTGTTATCATCTCTAATAACTTGCATTTATCTAATACAAAGATAGGAATACTGAAGAAGAAGATAATAACTTTGTGCATATTAGTCACACGCATGGGAAAAGTTGCACGTAAAGTCATAAGAAAGAGAATACAAAAAGCTAAACGGTGACTAAATACTTACACACCTCGGTGGCTTCCAATTACTACAACTTGACTTAAAGCATACATGCTTTCTATTCGTTTATGAAAAGTCGAGGATACCGTTTGCCCTCATTCTCATCGCCAAAATCTCTCTCGGCTCTAGTACCAGTGAAAATCAATTCTCTCACACAAACCTCCTGCCAAATTAGTGAATCACATTCACACACAGAAGCACACGCTTATACTCCGGTGGTTGAATCAATTGCATAGCACCTGAGAGGGTTGCATCTCACTGCTATGGCAGCGTCCCAAAAATTGCTGCCCCACAATCAAACGAATCGATGTGATGCCCTCCCTCCCCAAACCATAATTCTCAGCTGACACGTGATTTGCTGCTCTTTTGTGGGTCATCGTCACAAAATGATTGAATTGAACAATGGCAAAGTTTTTTTACACATGTAGGAAATGTGCAACACAAAAAATGTTTTCTAAAAGAGTTTACCCTTGATCGCTAGAGCAATGTGTTCTGTAGAAGTGCCTTTATACAAATTTTATTGACCTTTGGAATACTTGTCACTAGTCTGTACCCTAATTTGGTAACATTATTGTTTGAAAATTTTTAGTAAGTAAATTAGCAATTTTTGAGAAAACCATTTAAACTTTTGTTCAAATAACATTGTTTTAACGCTCCATTGACACAAGTGGGACGATATTGTGAGTCGTGCGCTTTAGAATGCTTAATAGGTTTAGTTTTTGCCGCGAAACCTCGTGGGATGTTTTGCTAGAGCAGTGGATGGGTCGCTTCTCGTTTTTGAGGTGTAAACTTGCTTTTTTGCACAAATGAGCTGCAAAACTATTGTCATTCACCACAAACTTGGCTTTTTTTACAGCATAATCGATTAATTGCATTGTCACGACATGAATGAAGTGTCAAAAATAAAAATTTGCCTGTCAACGTAGACGAGAGGTTACATCGCACAGGGCCTAATGCAATTAGACAATATGTATCATGCTCGAGGTGTGCCTATAAATTTGGCTAAATAATTACATTACTAACCATTCTGTATACTCAAAGTCCACACCCCAACTTCTAGCAAATGGTAGCTGAAAGTGCTTCACCTCACTGCTAAAACGCATAGGTGACAGAATTCACCCAAATACGAGCATTTGAGAGGAGTCTTCCCAATCACGTTTGTTATAACCCACCTATTATCCAATGCATATCTGCTTCATGCTCTGTCATACGGTTAAGCCTTTTTTTTAAGATTAGTCACTTGCTAAGAGGTGTTTGTGAGCACGTGTGTGCAGAAGCAACCTACTCGAGGTTCTCGCATGACGTAACTTTCAATGTGATAGCATCTATTGCAGCATGGCAATGAAAATTGAAATCCGAAGGTGGCAGCAGAATTTGAGACTTCAGAGCGTTACAAAAGAATCTTTAACAGGTCGATCGTATGCTAAGGCAACAGGTTTAAGTCCTATGGAGAAAAGGTAACATGTATGCAAACTAAAATAGGCAACATATTCGTGGCGCCCTCATCTGCTTTCGACATGTTAGTCAACGAGGCTGTTAAGAAAAATGATCTGATGTGAGACAAACTTATGCTTTGGTGGGAATGGGTCTTCTAAACCTCAGCTACGTAATCGCCATTACATATAGGTGAATGATCATAGCATTAATACAGATCACCTAAAACGAGTAAGGTGTAGCAATAAGCAACCCTAAAATAGGCTTATTTAACAGTGTTCTAAATAACGAATCGATAATACCATAGAACGTATTAATTAAACGCATCAAATTTTAAAATTTTTTAGATGATAGGTGAATAGGTAAGGCTAGAGAATCTTTAAAGGACGGATTTTGGCTCTTGATATGACTAGAAAAGTCAGTAAATGTTAGAGTTACGCAAGAAACGACAAGCATGGAATTGATCTTTATTTCAACATAGAAAACAGGATAATGCAACGCATTTTAAGGTCCCATGCATTAAGTTTATTTACCCCTGTAGATCAATCAACAATATTAGTAGTGGTATTTGTGTTCTTTGCATCGCTAAATATAACAATGGTAAAGTGCATTTGCCAGAATCTACTAACTTTGACATGCAAATATTCATTTGGGCCCGAAGCTAAGAAGAGGAGATTCATTCTTATTATTTAAAGCCAAGTGATCGTTTCGATTTTAGAACGAAAGCTCGTTTCTGATGCCTTCCCTTCTTTGCAATGCTACAAATCCATTTGTCCAGAGTAAGAAACGTTGTTTCTCCTATGCTTTAACTTTGTAAAATAAAACCACATGCATCTTAAAATGCAATGATCTTTTGAAACGATTAGTAATCTAGAATGATTTAAGTATGGTAATTTAACTTTTCTAATTTGATGCATTACTATATGACCTTAAAGCCGACACATCCCAACGTTTCATTGGTTCGTTAGTCGACAAAGTTTGTTGATCGTCACTGCGCTGAACATCGAGGTTTAAAGTTGGAGATGTTGGTGAAGAAAACGGTGAAGGCCGTAATCCTCATTGGGGGTCCCGCTAAAGGAACACGGTTTCGACCACTTTCGTTGGAAATGCCAAAACCACTTTTTCCAATTGCCGGATATCCCATGATTTATCACCACATCGAGGCATTTTCAAAGATACCCAACATGAAAGAGATAATTATCATCGGATTTTATCAGCCGAATGAAATTCTCACTCGGCTCATAAATGACACAGAAAAGGAGTTCGGCATTAGTATCCGGTAATAAATTTATATGAGTGAGAACAACATCGTTTGCTCTAGCTATTTGCAGGAATTTACCTCCCTCGGAACTGCGGGTGGAATATTCCAATTTCGGGATCAAATAAGTGCCGGTGGTCTGGATCTTCTTTTCGTCATGAATGCTGATGTTTGTTGTGATGCGCCACTGCAAGAAATGGTCGACTTTCACGTCAGCCTTAATTCTGTCGACAAATTTGTAATCCTCTCGACGGAGGTATGGTTTCTTTCGCTTCATTACATCTTATTAGTGCTTGTTAGTTTTTGAGTTTTCTACTTGTCTTTAGGCAACGCGCGAACAGTCCATGGAATTTGGGTGTCTTGTAGAGAATCCAGAAACAAACGAGGTTCGTTTAACCCAGTTTCACAACAGTCTTCTCCTTTTTCTTTGTTTACATTTTTTCCTGATTTTTTAGATTACCCATTACGTTGAGAAACCGGACACATTTGTTAGTGTCCGTATTAATTGCGGAATCTACTTATTTACTCCCAGCATTTTTAAATTTATTCGCGTGGCCTTTCTTGAACATCAAGACCAGAAGTTGTAAGTTAACCTAATTCGAGGAGAGTTTTTTCTAGCACCAAGCCTGGAGGGACTTGCAAAGAGAGTATTCACCTGGAGACCGAGATATTTCAACCACTTGCTGGTAGTGGCACTCTCTACGCCTTCCACACGGAGAGATTCTGGAGCCAAATCAAACACCCTGGGTAAGTCTTTTAGCAGCATGAGCGGCTTCATCCGCAAAGCTTATTAAAATTTGAGCCTAAAACCAAAATTTTATTTTTCCTCTCGATGCGACATTGGTCACCAACCTTACCCGTTTCCGGAGTTCTTTCATTATTTTATCCCCCTAACTTCGTTCAGAATATCGTTACGTATCACCCCGCCACATCCCTATACTACCTTTTACTGTCCGGAGGATTAGATGCAAGTCACATTTTGGTTTCTTGCTTTGCGATTTGTTCTGACCTGCATCGCCTCTAGGTTACCATCGTTTTCGCCTACTTTTCTGCATTTGTGTCATCATCCCACTTCTTGTAGGTGCTGCTGTATTGAGGCTCTTATATCCATGTATATCATCCAAAAACCCGATAACATTCTTAGTTTTAGGGTACTTTTGAAACGTCAGGAGTTGCACGAAGTTTGAGTATCTAATGCTGCAGTTACTACATTAAATTTTATGATTGCTCGCCTATTATGGTCATTGAAGCCCATCAAAGTTCCTACATTGGTAGCTCGTTAGTATTTTAAAGTTAGCAGTTGAGACCATTTACCGGTTGTCTTACCTACGTCAGGATGGTCTTTTGATGTTTTACTAATTCACGGGATCTTTCATACGGCCCTCTCTCCTTAATTTCTGCCCCATTTTCTCGACACGTTGATGATTGAAGATCGCTAAGCTCGTCCGCATCTCATTTAAAGATTTCGATCTTTCTATTCATTCAAGAGCGGTGATTTATGCAAACCGACAGATGCTGGCCCTTTACCATCGCACCCATCCCCACCGCCTGGCAGTTCACAGGGACACTACTTCCACTAACGGCAACATCGCTATCGACACGACTGATATCACAACAGAGGCATCAGGGGATAATGAGACAACAACGACGTCAAGCGCCCGCATCCTCGGTGATGTCTATTTGCACCCTACGGCACGTGTTCATCCCACCGCAGTCCTCGGTCCCAACGTGAGCGTTGGTGCGGGCGCCGTGATCGGGGCCGGTGTGCGACTTCGTGATACCATCGTGCTGCGTAACGCCGAGATTCACGCCAACGCTTGTTGTCTCAATTGTGTGGTGGGTTGGAATGCCGTCGTCGGTCGGTGGGCCCGTGTTGAAGGAACTGCACCGTTTGGTCCAAACCCCAACACGCCCTTTACCAAACTGGAGGTAGTACCGGTATTCAATGCCAAGGGTCAACTCAATCCGTCCATCACGGTTATTGGTGAGTTAAGAAAAAATTAGGATATGGTGTCTAATCCATAAGGCATTTTTGATCATTGACTGCTCATTCGCTTGCATTGAAGGCCTCTCGTCTAGTGTACATAGGTGTTCTCCTTAAATGCGCGACCTCTATTTAGAGGTCAAGGCTGCTGCACGGTTTTTACGTCTCCACACCCAATTGCATCGGTTCTAGGGCTGTTCATTCACCTCTTCCTTTTTCCACCCAGGCTCAAATGTCGATGTACCACCGGAGGTGATTGTGCTCAATTCAATTGTACTTCCACACAAGGAGTTATCACGAAGCGTCAAAAATCAAATAATCCTATAAGCCCCTACAAAGTCCATTCATTTAACTTTATTTATCCAACTTGACAATCCCTTTTAATTGTATGTATTGACACAATCTTGATTTGTGAATGTGGGTCAAAAATGTGATACTAGACAGTTGAAAACCACCTGTATTGAATTTAAGTGAGTCTGTTTGTTAAAACCACTGTAAAACTAAAAGGTGAGGTCCATTTTTGAGTTAACAGTTTAGGCGAAGGTAGGGTGGTACTTGTGCGTGCATGTGTGTGTAGTCTGGGAGACCTGGAGGTCACTCCGATTGTCTTAGAGTTTAAGGTGGATTCGAGACTTTGTGAAAGTTGATCTGAGACCTGAAGTGAATGATCTTGGTGGTAGTTAGTTCACTCACCTACCATTTTGCTTTTGAGGTCTAGGTTCGAAATTATTTGTGCAAGAATTGTCTTGAGTGATTGTAGAGTGACTAATCTTATTCATTGTTCAGGTGCTGCTACGGGACTGGTTGGTGCTTCCCGTCTTCCGATCAGTTCACAGATTTATTGGTAGTCTATCGGTGGAGATGTGCTGTTTAATTACCTGGTAGGGTATTTTGGATTTCAAATGACTGAAGGAACAATGAACTAGAGGAATGAGAATATTGGCAGGCGTAATGTTAATCCACGCGTTGTCACCACTTATTCTGCCTTCCTAAAAGTTCGCAACATTATGGAATACAAAATCGTTTACGAAGTACCAACAGTGCCATACTTTCCAAAAAATTGACGCTTTGGGTGAACCATGTGCCTGTCCAAGGTTTTCAGCATCGTGACATTAGGTGGGCCTTTGTCCATGGTTTTCCATTTTTAACACAGGAGCTCGGAAATATCCTAAAATAAAGCAATTACCTACATTTTAACACGCCACACTCGGCACAGTACTGCGTTTTTCACCTGGGTTTGGTCCCCTAACATTGCAAAGCCAAATCAGTCTTTTAATAGCCTACGCGTATATAATTCATGCAGTATGTAATGCTTTGTTTGTGTGACTACCTGATGTTAGGCGGCCACTTTGTAAACATGGGCTAGCTTTCGGGCCATGCCCGGGACCATTTGCCCTACCGTTTTCGGAATACATGTGTCCAGCTGCACTTACTGATTTCTCAGACTAGAAGGTCTCGAGACGCTACACAATGCCAATTAATTATTTGAATAAATACCGAATTTCTTTCACTTCCAAAGAAGCACACGGCACGGGGTTAGGCAACAACTGAAAATTCAAGCAGTATTTGCACTGTCGAAAATCGCTTTCTATCGTGTATCTCGATAGAAAATCGGGAGTGCTACCTACCACTAGTGACACTAGCTACGACCAAAATACGGAAAAATAGAGTAAACGATGACCTGGCTACTGTAGTGTAAGGTAACGATGTGTAAGGGTGGTGTGTACAGTCGTGCGGGGATCTCGTGCACAAAATATCATGCGTGCACTTCATGTTCATCATGTTACAGGCTATAGATCGGCGAAAAAATATTTTTAACCATTTACCATAAATTTGGATTGTACTTACAATAAACAGGAAAGTTAGATACTTTGGTGCATTAGTAAAACCTCAGTTGTTTTAGTTAATCATTTTCATTTCCTGGACGAGAATCAACACCACATTAATAAGGTTTATGGGTTCTATAAATTGAAATGGATATTGATCTTACACTAATCGTCCTTATGCTTAAAGATGGCCTGTAAAATATCAGGAAATATATTGAGCTTACTACCGGGTTTATGGTGTTGTTCGACAGCTGATTGGTAGATGTGAATGAGGGCTGGAAATTGTCTTTGATTAAGCGTTGAATTCTTTGTTGTTTTTATTTAATTTTTATGGGCGATGTACGGCCTAAAACCTGAGGCTGTGGAATCCAAAGCTGAGGAAGAAAATAAAGCGTACGTTTCCACCGTGTGAATAACTTTTCCGACTTTGCATTTGTCTTCATTTCGCCAAGGTTAGCATTTACACAATTGACTAAATGCCTTCACTTATTATCCTGAAATTTTCTTACTCGACACGTTTCTTTCCTTTTTTATCATGATAGTTTTCGGGAGTAGGGAATAGGTTCTTTTTGAGGTTTGTAACTTACGTGATGACATTAATCATGCACCAAAGCTAAGATGCTCTTTTTGTTCCTACCACTCTTTAGGGGTGGTTCGATTTTTAGCCGTTTGTATACTCTCTAATAGACTTCATTATGTCTTAATAGACCTGCGAAGATATCTGAATTCTCTGAGTTTGCAGAGATTTGTTGCTTTATTAACCACTTCGGAGAAAAACTCGGCGTTCTGCTCACCTTTCCTCGAATCGCTCGTCTTTTGTCATGCGAAACAGATGGTAGTCTCTCCCTTAATGCAACTCTATGTTTTAACATTGTTGGGCTTACCCCGTCGTTTAACCCTTTAAGCCGATCTACAATCTCTGACTACTCTGGTAGTGAAACTGCTGAACAAGATGCGTCTTCGCACTCAACTAAATCGTTGGCAGCCAGCTTTGGGTCGATTTTTGCAGCGTCATGCGTACAACTGTGACGAACTTAAGTCGGTTGGTGATGGACTCAATAACGGTAGTCTACCGACTCTCTTCTTCTCCCTTCCTCCGCAGCTACGTCTCCGTGTCCTCCTCTTCTGTCTGGAGACTCAATTCCATCTTAATGTGCCTTTCAAGGAGAAGGTGAAGACTATGGACTCGCAGACTCTTCGAACCCCGCCTTTGGGTGTGGACATCTTTGGCAACTCCTATTGGCTCCTCGTAGACACAGAATGCAATTTCCTTCTCTATCGCTCCTCTGCAGACGACATGAATTTAGAGGTTAGTTACTTCCCGCTTGATCCAGTACTTGGTGCATCTGCCGATTGTTGTCTTGCCAGTGCGGTTGTAATTCCAGCTTATTTTTTTAATCAACTTACTCGGTCCCTTCATTGCCAACACTTACATAAGCTTCGGCTTTCTGTGAGTTAGAGGATAATTGTAGTCATATTTATCTCTTAAATTCATTTTAAAATGGGGGGTCCAATGATGTTGCAAGTCGAGTAAAGTAGCATTGTTTAAAAACCGATGCATTATTATTGGGAGTTTTTTTCTTAATTCCATTAACTTGTTTTGACACGACAATCATCTTCAAAAGTGACACAGAAGGCAGGCTGTGCAAAACATCTCAAATTCAAATATACTTGTGTACTTTGAGGCGCTGTGCATTTGATTGAAACCTCGTTGTCATTGGCCCGTCATCATTTAACTTTTTTCACCCTTGAGGGCATCTCCTTGTATCTGATGCATCTAGACATGACTAGCATTTTAGAGACATTGGATGTTCTAGGTGAAGAAGGTGCAATTTTACTTTAAACATGTTGTCTTAATCGCTTGCACTTTAAGCTAAAACTTCTCTTTGATTATAGGGCGATATGCAGTGCACATGTTTGAAAATCGGAATTTTTGGTTGCAAGCCTATTAATCCTTTCTAATTTTACTAGTTGGAATCATACCTTTAACTCCTGCTTCCTAACTATAGCTACTCAGTGATTCGTTCTCCACTCTTGAGACTGTGATTGACGATCTCAAAGATGAGAAATACGAACAGACCCCCATTTCGGAGCTGTACTCAATCTTTCGCGTCTCTGCTAAGCAGGAACCTCCGGATTTAATAAACTTTCCATCTCCTCCAACTCTTCCGGATATCGTGGCACCAAAAGACGCCAAACTTGATGACACGAACGCTCATGTTAAGTCAGAAGTGGTGGAACCTCAGGAAAGGAAATCTGAGGGAACTGAACGGGAAGAGAAAGGGAAGACAGAGGAGCAGACTACTGCAACGTGGTATGTCATTTGCTCTTCCATCAATCTTCTCTTTTTATTTGAATCGCGTACTCTATTCCGTTTCAGTTTGGAGACACCTGCAGAACAAGTTGACGAGAAGCCAGCTTCTGGGGCGCTCGCTAGGTTAGTCATTCCGTTTTCTACATTTCTAATTTAAAGGCCATCCTTTTAAATACTCGTCTCCTCTTTTATTTTCAGCGAAGAACCCAGTAAACAAACAGAATTTGAGCATCAAGAAACCCATCAACCGAGCAGGTTGAACCGTCATTCCATTTACTTACCTTTATTTTACCAATCCTGTGATTAAGCTTCTTTTTTCAACTTTCAAGCGTCAAAACCGAAGAACCTCAGGAGACAATCGGTCTCCGTCGCAGTGGTCGAAAGCGCAAGCAGGTGGAATTTCTCGCGATGGAGTCCTTCAACAAAGGCACAAAATCGCGAGGCAAGAAGTCCATCTCCATTTCGACATCGAAGAAATGTCGACGAAAGGAAGGGAAGTTAAAAAAGGATAAGTTTCGAAAGAAAAAGGCATCAAAAAAGCGAAGAAGACGTTGTCGAGGGAAAAAATCCCGAAATGGTCATAATGGCAACAGCGGGTGTTTGTGGACTCGTTCTCCCGAAGACTCTGAAACGGACAATGAGGAGGATGAGGACGACGATATGTGGAACGATACCGGCTCGAATGATCCCGATGATAGTGGGTCCTCCCTTCAGGATGGGGAAAAACAATCACCTCGTGATTGGTTGGAGGAACTTGAAAGTGATTTTGACTTAGACGCTGAGGATGGCGGTGACTTGGGCATTGTAGCTGGACGAAACCTTCAGCGTCAAAAGTCCCAGGTTTTGGATGAGGCGCCGTGCCAGATTTGCACCAAATCAAATCATCCAGAATGGCTTCTCCTCTGTGATTCCTGTGATCTTGGATTCCATGCTCAATGCCTTCGTCCAGCTCTTCATCTCATCCCTGAAGGTGACTGGTTCTGTCCACGCTGTCTACACACTCGGTTGGTCTCTGCTCTTGTTGAGCAATTTTCTACTCTCCAAGCACGCAGCAAGAAATTGGACAGTGCTGCAAGGATGCAGGAACGCTTGAATTTTGTCAACATCAGCGTCACAAACATCTTACGAGATGAGCGAACGCGTCGTCCAGTTGTAGACAGTGATTCCTCGTCTGTCGAAAGTGAAGAGAGTTCTCACCGAGCAAGACGCAAACGTTCGCGTTACTACGAGAGTAGTGGCTCCACTTCTGATGAAGTCTCATCCTCTGAAGAAGAGGGTGATGATGACGAAGAAGATGAGGAGGAGGAGGAAGAGGAGGAAGAAGAAGACGAACTACCCACTCGTACAACTCGTCATCGGAATGTTCACTACAATGTGAATGCTGCATTTCAGCAATTGGATGAAGTGTTGGTGGAGGACGAGAAGTATGCACAGGAACGTTTGGAGCGCAGCAAGGCCAAAAACCAGCACAGCGATCGTGAGGAGACGGGTGAGGACAGGGACACGTCATGTGGAGGACCTCCAATGCCTGGTTCTGTGGTACTGAAGACTGCAAAACGGAACAGACTCTCTTCCTCTTCGGCATCTTCTGCCTCAGATAGTCGAGAACACAGCAAACGTCGACGACGTGTCTCACCTGGAAGTGAGGAATTTCGGCCTTCCGAGGAAAGTGAAAATGATGATGACGAAGAGGAGGAATATGAAGAAGAGGTGGAGCCCAACTCCTCATCGGTGGAGTCGGTTTCATCGGATCAAAGTTGGAAAGTTGATCGTAGACGACGGAGTGGGCGCCATAGAAGAGGTGCTCGAAGGTCCAAACATCTCCGTGGTGGGAGACTGGGTAAGGGAAGACGTGGACGTCGGATTCCACACTTTGAAGGTCCGTCTAGTGATGAAGATGCTGAAGACAGCGTTCCCCTTAGGTAAGGTAATTTCCTAATGCCTGTGTACTAGGTAATTTCTTGACATATTTTTCTGCCTGTGGTTGTAGACGCAGTTCAAGAGTTCGCGTAAACTATAAAGAAATAGAAAGCTCGGAAGAGGAGGGGGACGAAGAAGAAGGAGGAAGGGAAACCACAGTTGGAAGGAATCCCTCGGGAAGAAGAGCTAATGCTATTTCTTCTGGTAGTGAATATGCTCCGAGCGAGGAGGCGGAAGCCTTTGAAGAAGAGGAGGAGGAAGGAGAAGCCGAGGACATTGGAAGTATCGAACCTTCTTCTTTGTTAGCTGCAAAAATTCCATCCATCATCCCCACGGCTCCGAAGGCTGAAATTTCCCAAATTTCCAATCCGGTAGCTACCTCTCATGAAGTGGGTGATGGGAAGGAACCGCAAATCGAGGAGGATCCTATGGATTTGGTAAAGGATGACCCTATCTTTCAAAATTTCGTGATTGATGAACTGGTCCTGCCAATTCAGGAGACGGAGAATACCTCTGAGGTGCAGCAAGGCAGTCCCACACTTTGAGCACTTGCGTCAGCTTGTGTGGGCGTGTATGTAAATATTTGCAGTATGTGTATATCTGTTATGTTCCTTTATACTTGAGAAAACAGTGCGGAATAAATTTTGGGGTTCTTTTTGTTTATTTAAAAGGAAGTACATCATTTTGTTTATGTTGGCCCAACGAATATCTCCCTCTTCTTTCGTTCTACTTACAATTTTAAGTAGTAAATCACATTCATGCTTAGAGATAGTTATCCGATTAAAACACGGGTTTTTAAATATCTTTTCCATCTTTAGCACTTCACATAAGTTAAAAGTACTGGTTTTGGGAGTTCAGCTAGAGATTCGCTTTAAAGCTGGTGACAAAGGCAAATTCTGCTGCTTTATATACGGTTGTCTTAACTCCTCATTTATGAAATGTTTCTGGAGCATTTAAGACGGTTGAGGAGGTAGCTCTCTGCGCCGCCTTCTATCAGCTCTCTCCCGTGATGTGTCGCCTACTATTGTCCTTGCGTTTTATTACTGGTTGTCTCTTATATTAATAAAGAAATGTCACAATTCCCTATTGTTCTGTTTGGGTGAAATGTCGTTCATGTACGATGGTTGTGAAGCTGTCGGGAACGCTTTTTTCCATTAAATACATTCAAAATGACCAGCCAAAGAAGATTGGCAAATCTGGTTTTCTTTCTCTTACAATTTCAGTAATTTTATCTCATTCATAAGGTCTCGGTTTGTTTACAGAAAAATGTCCTAATCTCTTGACTTAACTAGCTTGTTGGTAGAAGATAGAATTCTTCACCTTCGATTCATCACACAGTCATTCGAATTCCTCTAACTGGCTTATATGATCTTTATTAAACAGCAGAGTACACGATATGAAGTCAAATGTAGGGGAAGGAGAGGGTGATGCCGATAAGTGGGATTTATTTTCCGCCTCTCGCCTACGAGGTACTCATTAGACAATGTGTGTGCGTTACAATCTGGTCCACTATTTCAGGTTTGAAGCCTAGGAGTGGGAAGGAGCGGAGTTTGGCATGCGTACTCTGCCCGACTTGGTCCGCGCTGTATGATATTTTGGAGGTGTTTATCAGCACCAGTGCATTTAAACGTTTCAGTAGTATAGGGTGATAAGGCGGTGTGATGGGCTAAAGGCCTGTTAACCTTTGACACCGTGTGGTCCCGTCGCACGTACGCGTCTGATCCATTCAACACAATCGTCATGGCGTAACGTTTTGTAATTTTACGAAACTTATCAATTTTACACAAAGGTGACTTAAATGATATCAGTAGTAGTTTGATTTAACAAGATAATGTGCAAATGGGAAAGAGGCTTGTCAGCTTCAAGGCCATGCCAATCCAGCTCGAATGAAGGCGTGTTATGCCAAGCAATGGGGAGTGTGAGAGGCCTTGTCGTGACCTTCATCCCATTGACTAACCGCATTTGTTTATTGCTGAAGTTGTCCTTACAGGCGTAAGCAGATTCGGACTTCGAGAGGTGAAATGGCAATTGTTGCAGAGGTATGGGAAGAGTATGGTAAAAAGACTATGTCGTTTTCCCTTGAGTTAAGGACCTTGAACTGCAGGTCAACTAACCGATCTCCAATTGTCTGTATAAGAAGTATGCAACTCGTTCACTCCGCATTCAAAAATAACCTCCGTCTACCGTATTCCTTAAAAGCTAAAAAAAGTTATATGAATGAGTTCTTCCTAGTGCAGATGTCTATAACATCTGTGCGCCCTTAACTAAGTGCCATTCCGAGGATAGCTTTAAACATACCACCGTGGCGGTCCAATTTGGAGGGAGTGAGGACAGCCGCTGGATTGATCCCGTACTATAACCCGTCCAGTTCATAGCCAGTAAATGAACAGAGAAATAGGACCACCTTAACCACACTCAATGCAAGGACTCCAATTTAAAGCTCACACCGAATTGATTCACTTTCAAACGCACACAACTATTGATCTATGCCACATCGGTTGAAGAAGTTGCACCGCCACTTCAAAGACAAGTACACGAATGCACGAAAATCCTCTGAGAATACAACAAGTTGGAGAGAGGAGGCGTTTACAGATTTCACACACTCTCGTCCATCCGATTGGATCGTCTCTACACCGAGTGAGACGGAGAGCGGGGAAGCGCGTCGGATAAGCAGATTCCAATTGCCTCCAGAGACGGAAGACTGGTCCAAGTCAAGACTAGTTCCAAACTTCCCCAGCGACGAAGATGGCTATCGAGGCTTTGGATTGATATCCTCTAGGGACTCAGAACCTCAGGATGACTACAAAGGGCTCGATCATAGGACCGCAAGGCGTGAAAATGGTAAGCTTCTCAAAGTGGCTTGACATTTGAAGTCTTCATCCTGACTAACATCTTCTTCGCTCAGTGTACGTGTTATATAATCCTTTGAGAAGTCATCTCGATCCCTTCTGGTCCTAAAAGCCTTTCTTGCACTTTGAAGTGGAGCTAACTCCAACCCAGATACTGCGACGATGGACAACAATCGTCAACTTGAGTGGCCTGAAACGGGAGGGTGAAAAGATAACGGTCACTCCGGAGGCGGCAAACGATGTAAGTGTACCAAATAGGTAAGACATACCAACCCATTTGACGTTAGGCGGGTTTCGGTATCTCCTTGACCAGTCTTGATAACCATTTTGTCTGCCTCGACCATCCTCGACGCCTACGGCCGCTGATCCAGTTCACGGGACTGTTTAGCCATTGAGACAAGGTATAGTGGAGTGGCATGTAAAAAACTTCGCAATACATCAGCAAAGTTCTGATATGATACGGGAAAAAAGGAAGGAGGGAGAAGAGGGCAAAAATCCCAACACTCAGAGGTAAGGGAGGGAATGAACCGGAGTCAGTGTTTAAACTAGTCACTTCGGGGCAAAAAGATGTGCGACACCCCATTACTTAATACCTCTCCCACCATTTTCATCTCAGAAAACCTCCTCCGTTAGGGCATTACCAGCCTAAAATTTGGTGCCATGATAGTGTTACACCTTGTTGACGAAAACAATCTCTAATTCCTTGTTTGTTTAAATCGGGTATTGCTACGTGATGGTGTACTTTTCCAAGTTTGATGTCTCGAGGCCATCACCTTAATCAAATGTTGTGAACGAAAAATAGACACGGATGACTTTTTCAATGAGACTAAATGCAGCAATCAGCCAACCAATCTGCTACCCACTGAGCTTTCTGTATGAGGAGAAATTTGAACCTCTGGGGAATTATCTTGTGTGGCTCCCTACGCAGAGTGTTGTATCTGCGATGTTGTGCGATTGTATCGAATGCACCTGAAGAGGCGTACACAAGCCGTTGGTCTCCGAATGGCAGGAACGAGGGTGTAAGCAGTAGCGAAATGTGACGATCTTCATAACAACCCAACGGAGCGCAAGTCGTCGGGTGACTAAGGCAACCAGACACAAACATCGCGTACAAATTGTGATTGACTGCTAAATGGAGAATAGCCAACCCAGACAAATTGTTTTGGATTGCTCTTGATCCGCATTACCAAACCGTGTTGGTCATCATCATCAAACGCTCATATTTGATTATGCTTCCCGGGAACGTTTTTAAAACGCAGAAGTAGTAGTAGAGAAGAAATATGACCTATTCCACGTAAGGGTGAGGTACCGTACTTAAACTGGCCGATGTAAAAAGGTCCGACGTCTACGTAAGGACCTCCACTCCTAATACGTCCTAACATCCTTCAGAGGGGAAGTTTCCATCATTTTAGGAGATTAATGGTGAACAATTAAGGATATTCTTGGGTGTCTTTGAGGTTTTCCCACTAAATAGGAGGATCTGCTCTAATATGGCAGCTTGAGCCACTTCATGGCCTAGGCCTGAGCGGAATAAGATCTTGCGAGTGTACCGAATTCAAATAGGCGCGTTGAAAGCATGTAAATGTGGCAAATAATTTAAACGTGCGGAAGATACAACCCACTAAACTTTTACATCGCGGAAGTAATTGCCAAGTTTATTGCTATGCTTTGAGCTGTTAAGCTTTTCCAAGAAGGCTAAAACCAATCACGTGCAATCTTGTTTGAGGGAATGAAAGCGTCTCTATTTTATCACACAATCAAAATTTTTTTGATAAAGGCTTGACTTGCTAAGGCTATTTGAAACCAGCATTTTGATACACAACAAATGGACAAAGTTCTAACTCGAAATTCGTAGCTCTAACAACATGCGAGAAACAAATCCTAACGCATTTCTAATCACGGTGTTGAGCGAGGAATATGTCTTTAGGATTGAGATTGTAACAACCGGCTCCTAAAATTTTACAATATCCACTTGTGATCCCAGACCGAGGCATTGCACGCGGCAGCGCATTACATGACAGAAAAATTCGGTCCGAGTGCAGGTACCTACGAAAAGTGGCGCCAGTGGTTCCTACCCGTCTGCCACCCTGTTCGACGAAGACAAAATATTTTGAAACGCTTCGAAATCGAATACCGCGTCAATGTTCAAGATTACGAACCGGCAATGTACGTCTCTCTTTAATTCTGTAATTCAGATGACCTGCTTATTTGGAGCTAAATCGTCCGTCACATTCACTTCACACATAATTAATCTTTGCTTTTCACCTCAGGCGATGATTTAGGCAGATCTTAAGTACCCCTAGTCAAACAATGCGAGTCAGTTGCATCCTCCCACGGTGCTAGTCAACCATTCTACAACTTAAATCTACTTTTTCCCAAAATGCACGAATTTAAAGACACTTTTAACCGATGCATAGTACAGCTAGAAAACTAATGGTTGTGAGCCACCATCATTGGAGCCTCAAAACACCCGCACTAGTGTGCACAATTAAAATAACTACCATACAAACCACTACTAGTCTGTTTACGAAATTGTTAGTGAGGGTCCTACGGGTTGACACGATCACCTGCTCCATCGCACTGCCTTTGGTTTTTTCATCAACTCAAGCAACAGAAAGTACTTGTGCTGATAGACAGAACTAACTCGTGGTCAGGATTCTTCACCCCACCCCTCTGACACCGATGCCACGCGTTATAACTAATGATGACCTCAGAGTACCCTCTTATTTTGTAGGCAAGAAAATACGGGCCCAAGTGTACAGATCAGGTTCTACTTGCTTGCAACTTATCGTCCAAACTAGCGATAATAATGCCCTTTTGTTGTTCCAATCCTAGGCGACCAATAGCAAAGCTGATAAGAAGGAACATTCGACAACTTCTGCACAAGGAGTATGCCCCACTCAACAATAGGATTTGGCACGAGAAATTGGGCCAACTGCTCATACAGCAGAGCAGAGTAGGTCTTTATTTCAACACTTTGCTTTACTATGGCCCCACTGGTGTGTCTTGAGCGTCCCGTTAATGCTAACATCACAATGCTGAAGTTAGGCTAATCATTGGTTTTGAAGGGACTTATGGCATAGACGAGGAACTTCTTTGACGTGGAAATCAAATCGTAGAAAGCATTAGATAGATGCACATTAATTGTGGAGCAGGAGAGGAGAGGAGAGGGAGATCCGTTCATCTCTTGCCCTCTCTTATGACAGCAAAGGTCTTGCAGACAGTTAATCGCTTTAAGTAGGTCTGGTTAATGAAAAGTGGTGGCCTAAGTTGTTGCCTCTGGGTTTCACCAGTAACGGAGGTAGGGAGAAAAAGCATTAATTGACCTCCAGACAGTTCACCACTGAACAATTCGAAACAAATCTATGACACACATGCACGCCTTGTTTAGTCCCTTGTGACTAGGAGGCACGTGACGCCTTCACAACTGTGTGTGTAGCTTGACATGCCGTTATAAGCAGGAGTGGATCACCATCTCTACTAGGTCGACTTAACTGACCACATGAAAAAACTGGAGGAGCGTGAGAAGCAGAGACAGATGGAGCTACTTCAAAAGGGCATAATCAAACAGGATATCTACGATCAGATCACTACAAAAAAGCCGATTGTAAAGCACAAAGTTCGTCGACCCAAATCCCCCAAAAGGGGCAGTCCGACAGCAACAAATCTGTTAGCGCACCTTGATTTGTTCAACAATGAAGCAGTTGCGCCCAATTTGGATCAATTGGTGAGTCAAAACAACAAAAACAACTGTCACATTTGACACCTAATTGGAGGATGTCAATTTCAGAAAGTTGCAGTAACATCTCAACAAGCTGCATTGAAAAAGAATGAACTAACCTCCGACCGAGATATTGAAACATCCATCACACCCCAGTTGCTGCAAGAGTGGAAGGCCATGTTTCCGAGTCGTACACCTAAGCACAAAATTTTGATTCCTCTGGAGAACAAATTTCAACGCGATTTAAGTTTACTCGATGAACCGATCGAGGCTGTCAAGGGTGAAGTGGCCTCCGATGAACGACGCTGGGAGGATTGGGTCACAAACGAGGAGGTCAGCTCGCAAGACAGTGGTCGAATCCACGAGGATCAACCCACACCTCCCACACCCACTGTAAGATTAAAGTCTGTCAAAAAGTAATGATTGCTAACCGCCTTCCCTGTCCTATAGGAGATGAAAGAGTTGTACAAAAAAGCTCACAAGATACTCAACACTCCCATTTTTGTAAGGAAGAAGGTGTCAACAAAACGACCATCATCTAAACGTGGCCGCAGATAACCCCAACTGCTTCCATCTACCAACGTCTACCTTCTTTTTTGATTAAAAAGTAAAATAAAATGCAAATAATTATACTAGATGCAAGCCACACAACCACATACACACACATGTGGGGTGCCGTTGAGGAAGTGAGTTCCATGATAAGCCACCCCAGAGGGGGACTTGAAAAATACTAAAAACCGTTTTAACAAACCCACCACCACCACCGCCACCACAATAATTGCGCCAACCATCCACAGTGGTGAAGGTAGACACCAAAGGGCACAGTTGAGGCTAATAGAAGAATCAGAACAGCAAAAGGAATTTAAGTGAATAGAAATTATGTGAGTATGAAGAAGGGGAAAGGGAGGGATTAAAGGGCTACCCAGATTTGGGTTTGCCGCGTCGATTGCGTGCTTTCTTGTATGCTGCCACGACTGACTTGTGAGAGGCTGAGTGTTCAACTGGCGCCTCTGCCGAGTTTGCTACACCCGTGGTGTGGCTAATCAGTTCAGTGATTTTTGCAGTGCCCTCAAAATCAACATTCCCTTCAGCTGAGGTTGCCCTTTTAGGAATTTCTTGCTCAGCAGAGCACTCGGTGACGGTAGAAGCAGCTGAGTTGGAAGAAACGGTTTGCAAATCTCCTTCCTCCTTTGATGTCTGCAACGTGTCACCAGATTCACTCACTGCAAACGTGGATGGATTTTTAACTTGTTTTAAGGATGCTTTTTTCTGAAATTCCTTATTATCTAGGACCATATCTCCGCCCTTGATTACCGCTTCGTCTTGATTCGATGGCTCTGCGTCTACTGATTTGGCCTCATTCTTATCCACTTCTTCAGTTCCCTCCTCCTTCGTAGTTTCCTGGACATTGGTAGGGCAATAGCTAGAGGCAAGGGACTTCGCCGGCTGAGTCGCTGACGCAGTGTTCGCTACCGTTTCAAACTCGAAGTCGTCAGGATTGACAGATTCAGACCCAGTGGCACCTCTACTATGCTTAATCACGGGTTGAGAAATTGACACATCAGCGGATGTCGAAGGCAGGCGCTTGCGGTATCCGAAGAAACCGTCTGGAGCTTCAAACTGAAAAGTAAGTAACGTACATTACATTGGTTAGTGCAGCCCGACGTGATGAGTGAGGCGGCGACAAAATTCTTACGTTAATGCGGAAATCCTCAATTCGTCGATACTTGTTGAGCAGCTGAGAAATTCGAGGATCCAATTCTGGCTTATATTTACCGTAGTGTAAGAAAGCCCAAAATTTCTCCAGACCGTACAAATGACCGGCGTCGTAGTCCCTGAGTGTTTCTTCCTGCAGCAGAAAATCAGCTCAACTTGTATGAGGCATAGCCGAGTCCGTAAGACAGTAGTACCTAAAAACGCACCTGGAAGTCTTTGAAAAGAACAGGGAGGAATCGACGTTCCAGACCGTAGGAGTAGAATCGAAAGAGGCACTCAATACCATAACGATAACCGACCTCAGCATCCGCCCTGGCCAGCTGCCTGAACTCGCGATACATCTTATTGAAAAAGTTGTCACGCAGAAAGAAGGACCAGAAACGGTAGAGAGTGTTCATCTCCTGCGATTTGCCTGCACCACAACGCTCCCTGTCAGCTAAACAAGCAGCACGGTAGCGCATGTAATCCTTTGAGGTATAACCGCCCGCCTTCAAAACTGACTGAGCGGCCGTATTGTTGCGGAAATTGGGGGCGAAATTGTTCGCCGAATGAGATGTAGAGGCACAGAATGAGGTTGCATGCCTTCGCCTGCCTCGAACCTTTAAAGGGCTTTCTACCGCTGCCTCCTGATCTTCTGACTGATTGCCACTAGTGTTATGCGAGCGCGTTTCCGACCCACTTGATAGATAACGCGACTGGCTGCTAATTATCACTGTTGTCCCAGAGCAGCAAAAATCACTGTAATTGGAAGGCAATTAAGCAATAAAGGTAACCGCCTCACGTGCATAAAGAGTCGTTAACTCACCGGCCCATAGACACAACAGTTTTGTCTTTGTTCTCCTCAACGCCTATATCGGATGCAAAATCTAAGACACTTTTATCACCCTCACAGAAGGAGACGCTAGACACGCGTTGACCTCTACTAGAGGAACGACAGACCCCCTTTCCACCTCGTCCGCTAGATTTGTCAATGTCGAAGGCAAAACCGACATCCAATTCATCACGCCGACGCCTACCCCCTGCACCAATTTTGACAGGGTAGAAACCGACCACACGACGCGGAGTCCTAGCAGCTGATAAATGCGATGCCTTCCTTGGTGTCTGTCCCACTTGTTCGTCCACCTTCGAGGCAGCCATTGAAACTTCGTTGATAAGAGCATCGACGGCAGCTTTTGCGAGGTGAAAAGATTCGGACTGCTGATCTTCAGTAGTGGCAGCATCAGAACCATCCTTGTTGCCCACTTGAAAAGCAGGATTCCATTGAGCCATTTGGAAGTTGGCAGGATAATAGATAATTGGCGGAGTGAAAAATGGTGGAGGTTCAATGATAGTTGAAGGATAAAAGAAGGGATATTCCTCCATTTCCGCAGGCTCATTCTTCTTTCCACTTTCTTCGAGCTTCTCAGCTGACGGTTGTTCGCTCTGTGAAGCGTGGGTCTCAGCGGAAGGCGGTACCTTATCTTCAGCAGCAAATTTTAAAGTTGCGAAATCCTCGTCCGACAAAAGTTGAACCTTAAGAAAATAGTTTTAAAATGCGGATACCAGGAAACCTACCTTGCTGGGCTGGTTGAGAATATGATGATCGTCCAAATTACCTAGGTCGGAGAATGAGCTGGTTCTGGAACTAGGATAGTCATCAAAGTCGTAGTCGAAGTCAAATCCCAGACGAGTGTATGATGAGCGACGCTGACGTCGTACGCTGCTCTGATAAACCTCCAAACCGTGCTTAATCTCCTGCAAATGCTCAGCGTGAGTTTTAGCCCTGAAGTGAACAAGTTTTTAGAAAAGTTGAACGCAATGACAAAAAAAACCTTGACTGATAATCGGGATTAGGGTGTCGATCCCCACTAGGGTGCTTGCTGTAAATTCGCTGCGACACACCACCACTTTCAGATTTCTGTGATTTCTGAGGAATGCTGTGGTGACTGTGAGTAAATACTTTGGAACGAGGTTCAGAGACAGAAGTACTGGTAGATAAAACGACAGCAGAAGTGTTTGATTGCTGTATATTCTCTTCCGACACCTTAGCAGTAAGGACAGTGGTTGAAGGATCTTCCCTCTCGATCGCCCGCTCTGGCAAAATGACAACAAGATACTTCAAAAGATCTTCTTCGTCTATGTCCACAGAATCAGAGGAGGATGAAACTGCGCGTGATCGAGAGTGGGCCTACGGCAAAACACAAGTGAAAAGACTGGTATTGCAGATGGCATGAAATGAGATTTTAAAGGTATCTTACTGATCGTGAAATCTTTACAGTTTCTGCATCGCCATCACAAAGAGAACGATTTGTAGTTCGCTTCGGACGGCGGTCAACTGTTTGCCAGAGTTCTTCTTGTGACTGTTGTTGTTGATGCTGCTTTTTCTTTTGTTTAAGCGAGCAAGATTCCTCAAGAGGTTGTGCTAAATCTACCTCTTGAGTCGGCATTGAGGGAGACGGTTGCGGTTCAAATGTCGAAACAGGGCTAGATTGATCAGGAAATTGTAGCAGTGGATGCGGGGGGATGGGCTCAGGCAGTTCTAGAAAGTAAGCTAATTAAGGGAAACAAATTAACAAACTCGTTGGAGCTGGCGGAGGCGATGGAAATGAATTGGGGTTGATTCGGCGTATTCTTTTCTTTGTTTTATCAAATTCGACAATTGTACTCCCATCACAAGCCTTAAGAAGATTAAATAAATTAAAAGAATGATACTGTGACTTACTTTAAGAACATCATCAAGTGTTGCTCCTTGTGAAGCCATTCGAGGAAAGCCCAATATTACACTAAGCGGGATGAAGCGATCTTCCTCTATGAGACCCTGCAAGTAGGCGTCTCTGCCATAGTTCGGGTCGCCAAAATAATACTCTACTTGCATTTTGATTCTCTTTAAACGTTCTGATGAGCAAAACATACACTTTGAGTGATAACAGCAACAACCAGTGCGTGTACGATTGAGACCTCTGTAATAATTAACAATATTAGGATCTACACACAAATAACCATAACAATCACATACCGAACCCAGGTAAGGTCGGATGAAGTCTAACCTCGTACCCCACAAAATTTGGCCCGATGAAAAGGCAGGAACGATTCCGATCACACACTGGTGGATTCGAATGTAAGGGTGATTTGTTATCATTGCTAATGTCACAAGGCGCACAAGATCCAACTTGAGTGCGATCATTGATACCAGTTGACTGACTGCCTTCCTTGTTATCCAATTTAGTTGGTTCGGCATCAGTTTCAAACTTTTTCCAATTTCTCTTTTGTCGACGTTTGACCGGAGCTGATTCTTGCACATTCTTTGCACTAACCTTACCCAATTCAGGCCATTCCTCCTCCGCAGATGGGTTCATGATGTCAACCATTACGCGAATGCAGTGATGGTATAGGCAACTCCTAACGCTCTTGCAAGGAGTGAACAAACAACTCGATCAAAGCAGCACACGTGCTTCAACATCAAACACTCAGTGATCGAATTAGCACATTTAAACTAGCTCTTCATCATATGGAGGATGCAGGAGTTTATTTGACGAAAAATAATTCATTAATAAACGACTCTAAATGGGTGATTGTAAAGCATAACACTAATCTAAGTCTTATAAATAGGCGAAAGAAAAGATTCATCTTCCAACTCACAAATGCTTAATTAATGCTAATCACCAAGGTACTATTTATAGCTGACTTTTATTGCTATCGCGTTTTTCCTGCTTTAATTCCCTCATCTGCGATTCTTAAAAAAATAATCTCTGTGGGGCCTTAGTCGAAATTTCAAATTCTGACATGTTTGAACAGGTAAAGGAAGTAGGGCATTGCGCATTTACTACAGCTATTGGATTTATTCCGCCTTCCATTTGTAGAAGGCATTTAAAGACCAATCTTTCATAAATCTACAGCTCCTTTCTGATTCGAACAAGCCTTAAGGGACCCATCTGAAGCATCTTATGTTTTCTTTCCTTATGCCAACGCGAAAACTTCGTCTTTATTTTAAACTGGAGTTAGGGGAAGAGAAGTAAGGAAGCATGAAATGCTATTGACTGAGTGTGAAGTTATGAGATCTGGATGCGGCATCTTGCAGGCGAGCGAAACTTGACTATATTGTGAAGGATTGCGCCGAGACTGGTTGAATTCACACAAAGCCCCTAGTGTAGGAATGTATATGGAAGGGATTTACGAGGACATCGATTCAATGAAGGGAGGTGTAACGTCTTGTTTATGTGACTACCTGACATTTGGTGGTTACTTTAGGATTTGTATGGCCCTTGTACACGTGAGCTGGCCTTCTGGCCTTGCCCAGTCCTATTTGTTCTGTTATTTTCAGAATACATGTATCCAGTTACACTTACTGACTTCTTATACATGAGGAACAACGCAGTCCTTCACTTATGTGATCACTTGTGTGACTGGCACCTCCTTTGATACTCACCTTATACTCGGCTACGTGAACTCGCATTCCAGCCAACCCGAAACCTAAACCTCCCCACTCCTCACTCACTAGAAGCACTCAATCAAATCTAATGGCCTCTCCTGGGAATTTGCGAAATCCTTAGTTCCAATTAATCTATTACAGCATCAACTTCTTCCCCGCCCCTAAATGGGCGACTTCTTCCATTGGTAAATGGACTGCACAGCTTTGAAAACCCATTTCCATCGACTATCAGCAATATCACAAGACATGATTCCAAGCAAATGCATCACTGCTAATACTGACCTGGCAAAACAAAGGTGTCTCAAGGTCTCAAATCCTTCCATAAGAACTAGTTTAAAATTTGTCTTCATGAAGAAAAGTTAGGCTAAGACCTATCTCGAAAGTCAGCTCGTAGGACGAAGCAAGACGACCGCCGACGTGACCGCCAATGTTAGAGAGCAAAGTGACCAAAATGTTGGACCCACACAAAATCTGGGATTCACTGCCGACCGGATGAGGTCAACACCAAGAGCACAAACAGGAAAATGTCCAAATTCTCCCCCCATCGTGTCAGAACCAACCTCTGCTTGAAAGATGGTTCCAAATCCACATACTCAACATTTACTTGAAAAATATTCTGTACAAGTACATCACAGCACCCTAACTCCTTTTCAACTCATTCAAAGCGGTTTCCAAATCAGCTTCAACGAGGAAATCTCTCTTCGCCAACTGAGCTTTTAGTTTTGCCATTTCCAGTAGATTTTCCAAATCCGCACCACTGAGAAGAGGCAAAAAGGGTATTCAGATGTTCAGCCTAAGTCCACACATATTTACAGGTGCGTAAGCAACTACTCACCTCATTCCTTCAGTTCGACGGTCGGCTGCAACACGTTGCAACACATCCATTCCGCCCTCAATTCTTGGAGCAGTAGCTTCACGAGTACACGCGGAGAGAACGTCAGCTCTCTCACGCTGTGACGCCGGAGGTGGGACATACAAATGCAGACCCAAGCGCCCTGATCTCAAAACTGCTTCATCGATCATGTCCTTCCTGTTTGTCGCCCCCACCACAAACACCCTCGCCTGTCGATACTTGTCGATTCCATCCAATTCCACTAATAACTGATTCACCACACTGACTCGGCTACCTGCAGTCCCAAAATAAGCAACATAAGCACGTCAACCTAGTGACGGTTCTGACTGCCCGAACAATCACGAACCTGAGGCTTCATCACCATCTCGTCGTGGACAAATAGCGTCGATTTCGTCAAAAAAGATGAGACAAGGTTGACATGCTCGTCCTCGCTCAAATATTTCCCTTATTCGACGCTCGCTTTCACCTTGAAACTTGTTTAAAACCTCCGGACCCTTAACAGAGAGAAAGTTGAGCCCGGCAGTGTTGGAGAGGGCCTTGGCAATCAGTGTCTTGCCACATCCGGGGGGTCCTTCCAACAAAATACCTCCAGATCGCCTTCGCAGTGCCTGCGCCCTCTCCCAGTCGTCTATAAGAAGCTAAGAGAATAAGAAATAATGAGGTAAAGCGCATTGGCTTTGAGATTTCAATCCTCAGACTACATGTCAGAATAACGATCAGGAAGGGCGGCTCTAACGTAAACATGTTAGAGCTCAGGAGAAACTGGAAGATTATAGGGTCTGTTAGACAATCCTGAAAGGAAGGCAAATTATAAACAGAGACGGATCATGAGGCAGGCTGCTTTGTCCTGAGATAGAGAAAGGCAAATACCCTGCAAAATGAGTTTGAAGTAATGCAAGGTAAATGATTCCTTCGAGGCAGTTAAAGACACGGAGGACGTGCCATGTAAAAAATGCTAATTACAACTAATCACAGAGCTCCCATTTTCCCAGTGAATTAAACTACTTTGTAAATCTAGAAACAAGAAAATTGAGAAAAGGGTTTCACGACGGGTGAATTCTATCCATTTCGGAGCAAAGCTTCGAATTGCCTTTAAAATTAGCCTTGCAGAAAATAATTTCAGATTGAACAGCGACAGCAAGGAATAACAGTAGAAACACATGAAGGAAACGTACCATAAATTGATTGTTGAGATGCACTTTAGTTTCCTCAAGTCCACCAACATCATTCCATGTCACATCGGGAATTGTCACAAATTCCGCTGTATTTTTAGCTGCTGGTGTGACTTGATTCAAGGCCGTGTCCAACACATCTCGTGTCACTCGACCGAACGACTTGCACTACAAACAGAGGTTGAAGATGAACGATGGTCACGCTCATGAAATCAATCATCCATTTGGCTGAAATGCAATTACTCACGCAGTGAACACACTTTTGCTACCGACTTGCACTACTTTAGACGCTTTCAGTCATGCTAAATAGAAAACATGGTTTAGAAAACGATCGTTTTGCTTCCAAATTTGCAGAATTCAGCGGTCTCGTAGGGGCATTTAGAGCCTACGCCTCGCCTGCCATCGTGATTATTGGAGTGCTCGGAAACGCACTCATTATGTATCTCTTTTGGCGTGAAAAACCACGTACCCGATTCTCAGTGTTTGCTATCAGCCTGGCTTTAGCTCATACAAGCTCCCTTATCATCAACACCGCATTAGATGACTTCCTCGGTAGAGGTTTGCACTATGCAACTGGAGGTGCATTTTCTCTCAAACTGGATGCCACATCGGAGATAAGTTGCAAAATGCTCGAATATTTGCCTAACACCATGTACTTTATTGCCTCTTACCTTGTTGTGGTCTTCTCCATCGACCGGGTGCTCAGTGTATACTACCCAATTCGATTTCATGCATGTTACTATCGTAGAGAGGCGATTCTAGCCTGTCTTATGGTCGCAATTCTCGGAGCCAGTGGCAACATCCCAACCCTCTTGGTGCAGACTTTGAAGACAGAAAAGGAGGGCAATATCGCCTGTCGCATGAACCGAAACAGAGCCATGCTGGCAGATTTCGCAATTGTTTTTACTACGGTTGTGACTTTCTTCTTACCCGTGATAATGGTGCTCGTGCTCAATCTCATAATCATCCAACAACTCCGGAGAGCCCATCAATGGCGCACAACAATGTCAAATGGTGGAAGAGGTGCTCAGGAGATGGGACGCATTACTGGCCACCTGGCAATGAGCACATGTTTCCTCCTTCTCTACCTTCCACTCGGTATCGTGGTGCTCATGCGCCTTCATGTGACCGTCAGTTTAGATGAAGAGAACACCCCGCGAGCTATTCGTATTATTAACTTGAGCAAGTTCCTCTCCTCCCTGAAGGACATCTCGTACGCAGTCAATTTTCTAATATACACTGTCTTCCTTCCAAAGTTTAGAGCTCGTCTGATCAGTCTTTGTAGCTATCGTTGACCCCAAAATTAGTGTTAACATGAAAAAAAGCAAGTTAAAGACCTGAGAAGACTTCTAACCTCGTCTATCCTGGATGCCTCTTCCTCTGATCTAGCCATTAATTCCATACGAAGGGCAAGAACTAGGCGAACAAGGTCGCCAGCTTCGTAGCCTGGTGTGCGGTGAGCAATGTCTCGTATGGTAAGATCCTTCGCCAACGTAAGCTGAGAACTCTCTTGTATGGGAGGCACATCCTCGTCGTTTGGGGTTGAAACATCGTCCATAAGAAAACGAGAGAGGAGACTACAATACATATTAGAGCCAGTTCATATGATTAAAGGGAACGAAAAGTCTAACCTTAACCGACACGATTCCTCCATCATACCAAAGGTAAACCTATGGGTAAATAGGTCGGTAACATCCTGCGGAAGGCTCGCCGTAAGTTTACGAGTTTCACCAACAACCACAATACCGGTACCAATGCATTCTGGAATAATAATAATAAACTACAAATAGTTTACCTGTAAGGAGTTCGTTTTTCAATAAACAGGTGACGCGGAAGGCTCCAACAGGGGAATTATGTTTCTCCATGCAATCAATGGCATCAATATGAAGAATACAGGGCGAATTAGTCTACCGAATGTTAGAACACGTATAAAGAGGCACACCTTAGCCTGATTGAAAATTTCGCGCCAGGTACGAATAGTTGGAGTAACGAGGCCTACAGCAACAGAGAGATAATTTACCTGAAGAGTCTACAAAGGTGTGAGGAAAGTGATCCAGAGTACCCCTGCGATGGCCTTGATAAGTGTGGTTTTTCCACAAAAAGGCGGGCCGTTGATCAACACTGTGGGCCAAACTTCCGGCAGATTCAAAGGGCTGAGATGACATCTCAGGGCAAGCTTCACCTGTTTCTAATTAAAATTATTAAAGGAAGAATAGGACACCAACCAACAAAGTTGAAGGCACGGTCTTCTCAATATCATCGACTTTCAGCGTCGGAATAAAGCATGGTATGTCGAGTTCTACAATAAACCACCATTGCATATGTTTCTACAAACTTTGTGCTGGTGAAGACTTCATTTTTTTGGGAATAGGGGCGTCGGGTTCAGTATCCATGACGTCGACATCATCAGCGGGACGTTTTGAGTCAGGTGGAACTTTAGGCACCTCATCCACAATCATTGATCTAGCACTTACATACCTTAAAGCTGTCATTGAAGAGAAAACGAATGCAAGCAAACCTTTTAGAGCATCTTTACGCCAGTTCCTAACATTATCCTTAGTACATGTCGTTCTTTTGTCGGCAATTACAAAATTTACAAATTCCTGCAAAGAAGAAGGATCATCCGCGCCTTCTACAAACTTATTTAAAGTAACAAACGCCATTTCTCATACGGCCTCCGCTAAGGGAATCAAGAATTTGCGTTGCACTTGTGGAGCATTGTAGCCCATAGGAGCATCCATCACCATCGTCGACGTGAAGCCACAGATTGAACCTACCCGTGGCAAAGTTGCTGGGCTATTTGCAATGCATGATTAAGGTCACATGTACCATTTCCATCATCGGTGCCGTCGGATTTAATTTTATTTATTGCCAAGACTGTTTACCATTTATATTTTTGTGGCTTCGCCCACATAAAGGGTTTGTAAAGCTGTAGTATTACCTATCTTATGCTGACATGCCTTGTTAAAAGGCAGTATTTTCTAGCAGTGATATGTATATATCCATTGTTCATACCTCAAAGTCTATAATTTCGCCCTGTGACTTACACTGGTACTGCCTACACAGCGACATGTGAGTGACATTTCTTGCCGTTCTGTTGGGCGGAACAACTATTTTCCAATGTAGTACATAAGCTCATTTTTAAAGGAACATCGTTTGATGCAAGCGTAAGCATACTCGTTGGTTAGCAATTAAAAAAATTGGAAAATTGACTTTAGTGTTTTGCTTATGAGACTATCTGACGTTTGGCGGTCACTTTAGGACTTGTCTGGGCCCTGTACACGTGGGCTGGCCTTCGGGTCGCGCTCAGGCCCCATTTCTCCTAATGCTTTCGGAATACATGTATTCAACCCCACTTATGCCTTCTACTACCCATTGGAAGCCTCAAGACGCTACATTGACATTTTTGCTTATTATTCAAAGGCATATTCAAGAATAAAGGACGTCAAGTTGTGTAGCGTCCCGAGACTTCCCACAGGGTGGAAGGTGACAGTAAGTGAAGCTGGATACATGTATTCCAAGGAGGACAGAACAGATGGGCCTGGACATGTCCCGGAGGTCACCCCACAAATACGATGGCCAGACCTGTAATGCTTTGTTTATGTGACTATCTGACGTTTGGCGGTCACTTTAGGACTTGTCTGAGCCCTGTACACGTGGGCTGGCCTTCGGGTCGCGCTCAGGCCCCATTTCTCCTAATGCTTTCGGAATACATGTATTCAACCCCACTTATGCCTTCTACTACCCATTGGAAGCCTCAGGACGCTACAAGACCAATTTTAAAGTGACCGCCAGATGTCAGATACTCACATAAACAATGCATTACAAATTGGTTATGGGTTTGGTGTTCTGAGGGCACCTAAATGCATAAAGCATCATTTTTTTAAGGATTACTTCCAGCGCAGCCTTTCTTTCCTTTACCCTATTAGCTATTTACTATATTTGTATGTACGTTATTTTGTTGTTTCAATTTACTTGTAATTTTGGGAAACATCTTGCTCGGTGGAAGGCATTATGTATGGCAGGAGACGTACCCAAGTAGGAAAGAGAAAAATTTGAGCCTTGGCTTTATCCCAAAGCTTAGCCCACCCGTACTTGGGCAAAGTAAATGCCAAAGTGCCCGCCTGTCATACAGATGGTTTCGTAGACATAGCGTATATTATATTTTTTTCATAGAAATTGAAGAGATGTTTGGCGCAATGGACATTAAAAAGGGAATTCAGGGGACTTATGTAAACTAAATTATGAATGCTGTAACAGTCTAGTACTTTCTTATATAAGGACAGGCAACGAACATGCATGCTTTCATGCAGAAAATAATGTGGTGAGACTTTTGGCATGATTCAGTGTCTATTTTGCTTGTTTGAAGTTTACGATTAAGCCGACAAAATACTGAACAAGTAATGACATTTTAACGTATCCAGCAGATACTTCCCAATAGATTGGTAATAGAAGGTGTGATGATATGAGTTGGTTCGAAGGCTGACCCATCAAACCAAGGACATGATGAATGCCTTAATGGACGCTAGTCATATAGGCAGTAGAATGAACGTAGTACTATGCAGTCCATTACCATCCTTATTCATGCAGTGCTTCTTCTTTATGATGGATGTCAATGATAGTTGTTTTGCTCAGTCAGGCCTGATAGCACAGTCCATGATCTGTAGCTAGACTAACCATCAGCGGTTTCACCCTCAGTATCAATGTAGCGCCTTAGGACTTCCCGCTATGTAGAAGAATTTGCGTTGAGCAGAATGCATGTATTGTAGGAGAGGAAGAAGTGATGGGAGCTCGGGTTAATTTAAAGGCCATTGCACGCGTACAAGGGCAAAATGAATGCCAAAATAATCGCCAGACATCTGGTGGTCAAAGAAACAAAGTATCACAACCACTAACATCATCCGCTCACAACTCACCACTAGTCTCTGTTCCTTTGACATGCTCAAGTTCATTAGGACTTTGTTTCACTTTCCGCCGTCAGGTCGCGTTTAAGATCCGATGAAGCTCATTTGACAATCAAGGCCAGTTGCGCACAAAAATGCAAGTAAGTTATAGCACTGACATTGATTCACTGTCGGTGGTTATCTGGTAGCCGTAAAGATGCAAACTTCTGATTCGTCTTTCCTTCGCTTGCCCTTATCCGAATCCTTTGAAATAATATTATGCCACTGGAAGTCCCCTTCCAGGAGCGCATCGATTTTGAATGTGGTGAGGGTCCCGACATCTGACCTTCTGTGGTAAAGGCCAGGGTCATCTGTGATGCTTTACGTGATCACCTGAGGTCTGGTGATTACTTTGAGCATTCACCCTGCTTTTGTAGGCGTAAGCCAACCTTCGAGTCCCTCTAGAATGCTTGTATTTAGCGAAGCTTAATGCTCTCTTTTGGCTAGTGGGAACTTACGGAGTGCCACATCATTAATCATGTTTTTTTTTCAAAGACTTCGCGCACATATTACGACCGTATGTAAAACGTTTTAGGCGAAATTGCAAGCCCTGACTTACTGTTAACCAAAAAACAGATCAGTTCGAACTAAAACCATGCCTTGCACGACCTACTTATATGCAAACAAGTAAACTATCAACATACACAATCCAAACTTCAAAGTGAAGACGGTGGTTTATTCGAAGAGAATCAACGATGATTAAAACTCAAGAACATGATGCAATGTTCACATTCAAATAAAGGCTTGCAAATTCCACGGTAAGCAATATAACAAATGAACTGAACCGCACCGCACCTCCTGCCTCGCCCAATGAGACCAGATCACGCGGACGATAGACACAGACCCAACTCTAGATCCGACTGCGCACCTGCGGAATCCACCACTTAAAAGACGAATAACCACACCCTCGCCAACTTAGCAACTTCGGGTCCAAATCCACCTCGGGAAATCAACACGTCTCGCGGCATGAAAACCACCTCGCCACCCCGACGCCATCAGGTCACGCCACAGTTTACCCATCCACCAAGGCCTTCGCACAAGAAGACGGCGGCAAACAACTAACCACACTCCCCCATTAGCCCATCAGACCACATCGAACGCCAATAAGCACATCCTTGCTGGGAATACAAATACGTTACACTGACAAAAACACCAAAACCACACAGAGCGTCCTAGGAATACTTTAGCCGTAGAGACGAGAAGAATTAATCCACCTCTTCAATGGTTGGACCTCGCTGACCGGACCCGGCACCACCCATGCCACCGCCAGGCATGCCACCTGGCATACCTCCAGGCATACCACCAGCACCGCCTGCCTCTTGGTACATCTTGGTGATGATGGGATTACACACACTCTCCAATTCCTTCTGTTTGTGCTCGTATTCTTCCTTGTCCGCCTGTTGGTTCCCATCCAACCACTTGATCGTCTCTTCACACTTCTCCGTTATCTTCTTCCTATCCGACTCACTTATTTTATCTTTCACCTTCTCATCCTCCACCGTTGACTTCATGGCAAATGCATAGCTTTCCAAATTATTCTTCGCTGCTACCCGATCTCTTTGCTTCTCATCTTCCTGCTTGAATTTCTCTGCGTCATTTACCATCCGCTCAATCTCCTCCTTTGAAAGGCGACCCTTGTCATTGGTGATGGTGATCTTGTTTTGCTTTCCAGTCGACTTGTCTACAGCCGATACGTTAAGAATGCCATTAGCGTCAATATCGAAGGTCACTTCAATCTGAGGAACACCGCGAGGAGCTGGAGGAATACCAGACAACTCGAACTTGCCCAGCAAGTTGTTGTCTCGTGTCATCGCACGCTCACCCTCGTACACCTGGATCAATACACCCGGCTGATTATCCGAGTAGGTGGTGAAGGTCTGCGTCTGTTTCGTTGGAATCGTCGTATTACGTTTAATCAGTGCAGTCATTACACCACCTGCCGTCTCCAGACCCAGTGACAGAGGCGCCACATCCAGCAGCAACAGATCCTGCACCGCCTCTGATTTGTCGCCACTCAAAATGGCTGCCTGCACAGCCGCACCATAGGCAACAGCCTCGTCTGGGTTTATAGACTTGTTCAACTCGCGACCATTGAAAAAGTCTTGTAGCAACTTCTGTACCTTTGGAATACGTGTTGAACCTCCCACTAACACTATATCATGAACGGCAGCCTTATCCAACTTTGCATCACGTAACGCCTTCTCCACTGGATCCAGCGTGCTGCGGAAGAGGTCTGCGCACAGCTCCTCAAAACGCGCCCGCGTGATCGACGTGTAGAAGTCAATTCCTTCCATCAACGAGTCGATCTCAATATTCGCCTGAGCACTCGAGCTCAATGTTCTCTTTGCTCTCTCACAGGCTGTACGCAGACGACGAATGGCCCTCTTGTTCGAAGTCAAATCCTTCCCTTTGTGCTTCCGCTTAAACTCCTCCACAAAGTGACTGACCAGACGAGAGTCGAAGTCCTCACCGCCAAGATGCGTGTCACCGGCAGTTGACTTCACCTCAAATATGCCATCCTCAATTGACAGGATAGACACATCGAAGGTTCCGCCGCCCAAATCAAAAATGAGCACGTTGCGCTCCTTGCCTACCTTCTTGTCTAAACCGTAGGCGATGGCAGCTGCTGTCGGTTCATTGATAATACGCAGCACGTTCATTCCTGATATCGTTCCAGCATCCTTCGTTGCCTGACGCTGACTGTCGTTGAAGTAAGCCGGTACCGTAATTACCGCATCAGTCACCTGCTTACCCAGATACGCCTCTGCGGTCTCCTTCATCTTCATCAGCACCATAGATGATATTTCTTCCGCACTGAACTGCTTCGTCTCACCACGGTACTCCACTTCAATCTTCGGCTTGCCGCCCGAATTGATCACTTTGAAAGGCCAATGTTTCATATCGCCTTGCACAGCCTTGTCATCGAAGCGACGTCCAATCAAGCGCTTTGCATCAAATACAGTGTTGCTGGGATTCATGGCAACCTGGTTCTTGGCAGCATCGCCAATGAGACGCTCCGTATCCGTAAAAGCAACATAACTCGGTGTAGTACGATTGCCCTGGTCGTTAGCGATAATTTCCACCTTGCCGTGCTGAAACACGCCAACGCAGGAAAACGTCGTCCCTAAATCAATACCAACAGCTGGCCCTTTCGACATAACTGCAATATTGAAGCGCAGGCCGTGGTCGCGAGGCCTTATATAGCCGCAGAAATGCGTTCTAGAGCAAATTCAAGATGCGTGCAAAATTCTCGAACATTCCTACCCAATAAGAAAGTGCCATACCGTAATATCAATTCCTCATTGGTTGGCAGCAGCATGCACAAATGAGGACGTGGTGCGTGCAGGTCGAGGCTTGACTTGGCCTCGACACGTTGACGCCAAGCTTGTGAGGTCATTGACCAGTTGGATATACCTTCCTTAGCCAGTTTTGCTAAACTAGAACTGCGAGGGGAGGCAGAAGAGAAATGAATTAAATCGTGAATTGAATAAGCATATCCTTGATTCGATTGGGGTCAAGAGAAAGGTTTCATAACGAAACTGGCGTGCGAATGAGTTCAATCATACGGGTTACGACAATGTTGTACTGAACAACGGTTCTCCATTATTATTATTGCTCATTTCTGAAGCGATGTAAGTTTTTGTCCATTAAGAAAAGCTATGGAAGAAAGTAGCGTGTGTAAATAATAATACACACGAGGGTTCCAGAAGACTTAGCAACTGCTACATCCGCAGCGTGTATAAAGTTGCGTGTTGCAATCCATGAGAACCGGACTAGCACTACAGCTCGTAGTTCATGCGGTATCAACACCAACTCGCCTTCATTTCGCCTTTGTTTAGGCAATTGGAGCTCTATAAAGTTCTATCAGTTCAGCTTCCTCCCCGTGTCATCAGCAGTGTGTGGTCAATTTCACCTCAACACCTTATTAGCAGGGCCAATAGGTCGTCTGGAGCGTTCTTTCAGGTCATGCTACTCACATCACGATTCTAATCAAGACAATTTCGTCATCATTCGACCTCATTAGAGCTCCACCCACCAGTGGTATTCTCTCTATTTTTCCATTCTTTACACTACATTTTTTCCCTTGTCAGCAAATCCCCCATTTGTACTTGAGATGCTTTCAGCATTGGGCGACTTCGGCCCCTTATTCCCCTTACTAGAGCAAGTCAAAGTTCCCATCTTTTATAACCTCTTCGTAGAAGTAGTCGCCTTTCCAAACTATTCTGGCAGCTCATTGTATACATCTGCCTAGTAGTTTAGCTGTTTCACCAAAAATATCTTACCTCCTTCCTCCTTCTGCGTTCATAGAATTGACTGACCCTTAAAGGAGCTCACGATTGCTGTCACTTCGACGTTGTAGAGACAGTCGATTCTTCAAGGCGTTCTCTCGGCCCAATCATCTTAATGAAGGTGGTGAGTCGCCTGAAACCTATCAGCATACCTCGTCGAGGTTGCAATGCCATCATTAACGAGTCAACGTCGTTCTATGCCTTTCCTCACTGCCCTCGGTGGAGAGCTTAATAGCCTTCTCGAATATACGATTCATGCGCAGTGCGTGTGGGTCGTAACATCTGCACAGGTATTAACCTGTTTGATGACTCAATCCGCGTGCGACACAAGTAAACTACAGCCTCCGATTGTGTAGAATTCTACTCTATGCACGATTTTAATCACACGTGTCGACAACTACCACGCAACCCCTTTTCCAAACTCGGGCTCTCGAGACCTTACGCATGTAATAGACTTACAACCATGGGGGCTATTGAACGAAGAATTCCCAGCACCTTTTATGCACCAAATATCCTCTAAGCAAAGCATCCAGGCACGTGTCAGTGTGGTTTAGTGTGTGTGGGACGCTAAGACACGCATCGATACGAAGACCTTCGAAATCGTTTGCGTTAAGGTCTGCCTCGACAATCCCGCGTCCAACTATGGACCGGTGTCAGCAACTTTGCAGTCATGAAGTGCAAATTTCCTGCAAGTGAGTGTTTTCAGCATTAAATAATAAATAATTTCAAGGTCAAAGTTATTAAAGTTACTTCTGCAATGCGCATTTTGGCGATGAGTGACAACACCGAAGCAATGTTGCCTGTTGACACATTAGAAACACACCCTACTTGTAGGCGTGGCATCTACAATTGCAGGCGACGTGAATGAGTGTTGAGACTCCCGTTAATCGCTTGCACAAAAGAGTGGAATGGCTACTTTTGTATTCACGACAGTGCATTACTGCGCAGCAACAGATCGTTTGACGAAATAGGTCTTATTCTGCCTTAAAACATAAATTTTCAAAGACAAAAAATTGACAATTTCTGTTGGAAACACTGCAAGATTAGCAAACATTAAAGGTAGAAAAATAACGACTTCAAAAAGGCATTAACTTAAGAACAATTCTAAGAATCTCCCACGGCCGCTAGTTTTGTGAGTAAACTAGCACCTTGTCTTAATATCGAAACAACAGCACCCTTCTACAACAATAGAAATGCAAACAACCACAAACTAATGTCCTGGTGCATGTAGCGGGAAATGTTGAGTAAACGCCAGGCGGTACCCTATTGCCAAGCCGATCACGAAGACGATTTTCCAAATGAGTGATTTAAAGAGGCCCAGAAGGGGAAGCTTGTATTAAGTACACCATAACGTCAATAAAGTCTAGTTATAAGCATAAAGAACTAACAATCTACCGAATGATATATGCTGGGTCATTTAGGCAATGCTTGCCCTGATGTCTTTGGGTGTAACAAAATTTGGACTATAGTAGATGCGTGTAACACATTGCTAAAATGCCTGCGATAAAATAGGATGTTTATATAGTAGTACGCAATGCACATGAGCGTTTATAGTTTATTTTGCTAATATCTTATACCATTTTTTCGTTCTCAGCAGTAGGCAATATTCTTGTAATTGTAATTATCTAATTTGTTTGCCATCGTTTTGGCAATGGCTAGTGTAATACTTTGTTTATGTGGCCATATGACGTTTGGCGGTCACCTGAGGATTTATCTGGTCCTTGTGTGGGTGGGCTGGCCTTCGGGATATGCTCAGGCCCGTTTGTCCTGTCGTCTTCAGGATACATGTATCCAGCTGAACTTACTGACTTCTTGAACCGGCTAGGAAGTCTCGGAACGCAGCAGCTAGTGATGATAATTCGCAAATGCAGTACCTAGTTCTATTCGCAGCAAAGTAGCGTTATTCAAGGAAATGATTTTCCATT